TTGTAAGTGAGAGGACCAGTAATGGGACAGTGCCCGACTGGAACTTAAACACCGTTCATTTCACTGTCCCATTACTGGTCCTCTCACTTACAACTGCTGCAACCCGTACACTCCGAGTACTAAACTAGACTATCGCTGATATGTCCTCGGCGGATTGGAAGACCGTCTAGGATTCGGAATAGGAATAGCCCTATAAGTGGGAAACTTCGGTCCCCCAGGAACCTGTTCCCTCACAGCCGCAGGTCTAGGATACTGCACAGGCGTAGGCCCCCTAACAGGCACAGGAACCGGCCTGGTCCAATTCTGATGCGGCATAACAACCGACCAATCATCCTCCGAGCCCGAATAACTGCGCTCACTCCTTCTCTTCTTCACAGTTTTGACTCTTGGTCTTCGACAGCAACAGCATACTACTATAAACGCAAGTATGAAAGCGCCAACGACAGAACCCACGATAGCGCCGATCTCCGCACTCGTGAGACCGTCGCCGCTGTGCTGAGACGTTACGGGAACTGCGGGACGGTCCGTTGAGAGTGTGACGTGGGTGGTGTAAGTTGTGGATGGGAGAACCACTGTTTGGGTTATGACTTGCGCCTCTTGGCGGGGGATCATGTGGGGAGGGGACATTGTAAGACAGACAGCCTCAGACTAGTTCATACAGATAGGTGGGAGAAAGTGAAGGGATTCGCAAAAGTGCAGAAAAAGAAAAGAAAAATGCCGGGGGCCGTAAAGCACTTATTTAGAGACTCTGTCTCACGGGAGAGGCAACCTTTGCGCGAGACATATCGTCTGCTGATGCTATTTGGTCCCACGGCCCCCAAAGTTCTTCTGTGCCGGAACAGGAATGACTGACAGGGGATGTAACTGTATCTGTATGCGTTGAATGGTCAGTTGGTTGAAGTTGACCAATGGTAAGAGACTGATCTCAGAGAGGGGTGTGGTGGTGATGCAGGTTGGACTAGGCTGCCATAGCTATTGAAGATGACTGCGTCGGTCGAGTCTGCCTTTTCATGCGGATTTTGTTGGTTTCCTTGATATTGAGGGTATTTGTGGTTTGCAAATGATGTCCATGCAGGTGTTGGTTGATTAGCAAGTACTCAGCCTTGATGACTGCCGCGATAGCATCATTACCGAAGGACCAGCAGATGCAACGAGAGTCAGAAGCCAATATTAATACCTACCCAGAAAAGAATAGTGAGATAAAATGGAACAATGGATGCTACTCTCCGGGTATTTACCACTTACCATCTGCATCCACTCAAGCTTTTGAAAGGATCAATAACCCAGGCTGACTCGGAAGATAAGCGAGACCGATGACTCGATTTGTGATAAGCTGATATGACAAGATCTGTCATTGGAAATGTCTGACACCCATGAGAGTATTATGGAATCACTCCTACTGCCATGACTTTACCAAGAACGAGGTGACTGGTTATCTTCATTTATAAATTATCCTATCTTATTATTCCATCAAGTCTATCATTATCCATTACACATACATAAGCGCATCTCAAGCCTCCTTATCAAAATTATAAAAGAACTCAGCTCTCCACTTACACTCACACTCAAAAAGACCTCCAAATCTCCACCTAAACACATCCCGAACTTTTTTCTCAATACTCCAATTCTCATCCTCAAGTTCTAACCCCAGCATAATACACCTTACAACAAGTCTCCAGCACTCCTCGAGATACACATCAAGCTCAGCTTTATTCTCAGGATGAAAAGGCTCACCGGCGACGGGTAAAGTCCGCCTGGCTGTGTAGTTTGCGCTGGAGAGAATATCGTCTGACAATTCTGCTGGAAGACCCTTGTTGTGAAGGACTGCCTGGGCTTGTAGAATGTCGCTTGCGTGCGGTTGATAAGAAATTGGCTTTTCGAAGGAGAGTAACTCGTCGTAGGACATTAGACCGTAGGGGTAATAGTCCAGTTTGTAGTACCCATCGGGGACTTCGCCTGTTTCTTCGTAGGTCTTGCTTATGGCCTCTGGCAAGTTGTATTTGTCCACTTTCATAACGTGTTTCCAACGGGTGAAGTCGAAGGGTTTAGGATACTTTGTGAACTGCTCAGCCTCGATGCCAAACAGATCTCTGTGTGGATATGTCGCGATCGGACAGCCAGAAGATATCGTGCAGCTTCGAATGGCACGTTGATAAGACCCCAGTTCACGATATCCGTCCTCCCTCAAATCCGGAAAGCAGTAAATGATGTTGAGAATCAGATACATCGTCATGGCGTATTCGCAGAGCATATCCCAGCCGAGAGCATTGCCTTCGCATTCACAAGGTCCGCATGTCCACCACTTTATCAAATAACACTCATCTGAAGAACAAACTCGCAGTATGGGATCCATTTCTCCGTGCAGGATCAATGTTTTGATGAATTCGAGATTGCGATATGCTCTTCTGTTGTAATCGTAGAACTCGAAGCAGTCGTTGAAGATACGTTCTCGTTGAAAGGCTGCGGTTTGGCGTTCCTTGAGAGGTAATGCGCAGTCGCAGTCGTTTGTATGAGTACAGAGAAGACCTTTGTCAACCTTGGAGGAGCCATCTTTTTCTTTGCGATACCAGCGTTTGACTGTCGGTGTGATTTTCTCAACCAATTCATCTGAAAGAATAACTTCGTCTTTGGCGGGAGGATAGTATTGTGCTGGTCTATCGTCTTCACCGGTTATGTCCTTGAAGAAAGAGCCGACATTGATAGGGTCAAATTTATCAGGATATTTCTTCCTTTCTTGCTTTGCGTCAATAGTCGCAGTTTTTAAAAGTGCATCAAAGAATTGAGATAGTTTTTGTCTTGACTCTGGTGTATTTTGTGGATGAAGGTTACGAGCACCATGTTGACAAGGGTTCGTAGTCTTGAGCTCAAACACCGAGGCAAGAGTCTGCCAAGGCAGTCTTTCTGCTTGATGTGCCATGTTGTCGATACAGAGTGTATTTCAGTCTCGAAATATGAGAGAAATGGTTGACTTTATAGTCGAGATTATTTATAGTCTGTAAGTGACTGCGCCCAGCTGTGCCTTAAGCTAAGGTCAAAATAGAGTCATGTAACTTCACTATTTGAGTCTGGACCGAAGGATGCGCTTGCAGAAGAAGCGACAATACGAAAAGTCCAGTGACTCACTCATAATAACGTCATTAAGAGATCCGCTCAATGCTTATCGCGTTCGTATTCTAAAGGCAGCGCTTAGATACCAACATCCCAACTGCCGAGATATCATTCCAAGGGTATTAATACAACTTCTTCCAATAAATAGCATCAACCTTAACAATAGCAAACCTCAAAAACGGCCAACTCTGCACCCTCATCTTCAAAGTCCTCCTCCAAGTAGCAAGTAGATTCTGATCATACTCAGACATACCATCCTGCAAACAAAGCATATAGCAAAACAAGCCAGGATACGCAAGACAATTTCTCGTATAAGCGGGCCAGAACGCAGATTGATGGCGAGCGTCGAGGCCTCGTATGAACTTTATGACTGTTTGGATAAGTCCGCGACAGGATTGTAGTACTGTTTGTTCTGCGGGTGAGGTTTTGGATATTATTGGACGGAGGAGCGCGCGGAGAATGAGGATGTGCGTTGTGTAGTAGGCTACGTAGAGGGAGCGGTGGCTTGTTACTGAGTCGTCGGCTTCGGAGTCGTTGGGGGTGTCTCTTAATGATGGGGGAAGGGATTCGAGCCATTGGAGGAGGAGTTGGCGTGGACGACGGGCTTGGTCGAGGAGGGTTTCTAGGACTTGTGGACGAGATACAGCGCGAAGAGAGCTATTGGGTTAGTATTGAAGGGTAATAGAAGGGGATGACTTACAAGAATTGGCGACAGATATGACTAGTGATTTCCGTCAGTGAACATAACTGAATGATATAATCCGCCGACAATTTCTGAATATAATCAGGAACATCAACATCAATAACAAAATCATCAATCGTCAAAGGCTTAACATCCCAATCCTCTTCCGAGATCATAGAACATCTTCCATGCGTAACAGCTCTCCAAGTATACTCCACATAAACAACCCACCACAACCTCCTCCTCAACCTAACTTCCCAAGCCGGCAACTTCCACCCCTTCGCATCAACATTCAATCCCAAAGACTGCGCCATGGCAAGCATTGAACTCGCAAGTGACCAAACAAACGGATTCTCTACACAAACTGCATCAAAGGGCGTATGGTTGAGAAGGAGGAGATAGATCTGGATCGTTGATAGGCGTGGGAAGTGAAGTTCTTTTTGTAGACATGTGTAAGAAACTTGCCACAGCTTTGACACGTCGGGTTTTGAGTAGGCGCTGTCGAGACAGAGTTTTTCGTCCCAGGGTGTGAAGGGGAGGGCGAGGGCGTATAGGCCTGCTAAAAGACCTGTCGATGCGGTAGCAACGAAGTGTTCTAAATCTGCGAAGACTTGGGAGCGTGATAGAATTGGAAGCGACTCAAAGACGAATCGAAAGTATCTGCCATCGTTAATAAAGATACAACCCATTAGCTTTTGACTTACAGTTTCACAAGAGCAATCCCAGTCTCTTTATCAACCAACACCTCAAGATATTCCCTCTCATCAAGCGAACTCATACACCCACTAATAACATTCTGTCCCTCAACAGCAGTTTCCGTGCGACTCTGCAGAAAATGAAGCGGCGCATCACCAGTCTGTCTCCGATACGTAACGCGATAAAAGTCCACCTCATCATCCTTTGTATACGGAAAATGCTCCAGCGAAAACGGATCCGATTCGTTGGAAAACCCGATAAAGGACGTTGAGTAATGCGGTCTTTGATCAATGGATAATCTCTCGGGGGGTTGCGTCGGAGGACTGATAACAGCTGGAACATCTTCGGGTGGTGTTTGTTCAAACGTGGGAAGTTCGCCGTCTGCGAAAAAGTCAAAGGTTTGGTCTTCGCCGAATGTCAAGTTCCAGTTTATGTCTGCTTCGATGGGTTGCGGCGCGAGCATGTCGGTCAATGGCATTATACCAGCGCTATCGGAGGATTCTCGAGTAACTTCTCTTGTCAGCTTAACTCAACCAGGTACAACGATTTACTGCTCACCATCATGGTTACCAATTGGCTGTGGTGTCACACTCAAAGCAGTACTCGGACTCTCCCTCCTAACGCGACTATCCCTAGCCTTCTTATTCGGATTCCCAACAAACGTACACTCCCTCCCCGTGCGATCGCAAAGCTGACATGGCCGCGACGGATCAGGAATATTACACAGTACTTTTCGCGCGCGACATAAATCGCATGGTCTTTGTGACTTGGATCGATAGCGGCGCGTCCCTGCGACTTGGCGTGGTTGTGGTTGTAAAGAGGGAAAGTCCATGATTGTTGAAGATACGGATAGTGGAGGTGATCTTTAGTGGAGGCCGAGATACCGAGGGTCTGGTCGCGCTCATGTGACGTAGCTAATTAGTTTCGGGGACTAAACTGCTTTGTGTAGTGTTTTAGATTGAGTGTCGGTGGATTTGAAACCACTTTATTAGGTGTCTCAGCAAGAATACTGCCGGGTAGATAAATCACAATTGAAAGACACCACATCACGGTCAGGAAATGAAAGTAAAAAATAATAAATAAATGTGAAATAAATAGATGTAATTGTAATTCCATTGCTCTAAGCATTCTTGATATCTTGCTATAAAACAATTCATGTCATCATCCCTAAAGGAATCCAGTCCTCCCAAACGCCTCATCAATTACCCAAAAATAAAAACCATCATCTCGATATCATGTTCTTTCAAAATGTGATCACTCTAGAATCTCATCTAATACGCTCTCTTAAAATGCAATTGCTTATCGACTGGAAGGAGGAAACTCCAATCGACGATCGTGTTCGTAAGGTGTAGGTGCAGGAGAGTTAACTCTGGTAGTAAAAGCAGAGTCAATGTGGAAGTAGCTCTTGATAGAAGAGTACTTCTCTCCAGATGTACCTTCATCTTCCATGTATCGATCATCCTTTCGGATGATGGGTGTAGAGATCTTGCTCCCCTCTTCAGGCTTGGTTGCAGCCTTAGGTAGGACGCGACCACCGCCAGCATTGGACTGGGCGTTGTCGAGATCAGCAGCGCCCTTGGATCCCATGCCGTCCTCGAGGAGCTCACCACCCTCCATGACTGTGCGGAGCTCGAGGTTCTCATCCTTGGAGTAGACGCGGACACCAACGATGCAGATAGCATTCCAGGGCTCGGGCATCTTTTCCTCCTCAGAGTCGTACTCCTCTACTGCAGGGCCAGCGGCAGCCTGTTGAAGTCGAGGCTTGCGAGCCATATCGTCACTGCTGTACAGAGCCTCCCAGTCCTCGACAGGAGAGTCTGAGGACTCACCGGCAGAATCGTAAGCAGGTCGGGCACGCACAGGAAGAGGCTCCTCTTGCTCGACAGGGACGGGAGGGCCTCCACTGACAGGGGGCACCTCTTGTTTGTCCTGAGCGGCGTCGGCAGTGGACTCGACACTCTTGGGAGTAAAGTGAGGTGATCCAGTGGAGCATGAGATGACGCCATCGTCAACCTTGTGATCGTCGACAACAACAGTCTCATCCTTGTCATTAGCCGAGAGCTTAATCTCTTCGGTCTTCTTGCTCAGAGCCTCATCATCAGCCTCCTGAGCCCTCTTCTCAGCTTCAGCAGCCTTCTCAGCCTCAGCCTTAGCGAGTCTCTTTTTCCTCATCTCCTCTCGCTCAGCCTTGACCTGGGCGTTGAACTCCTCGTCAAGACGAGTTTGTTCAGCCTCCCACTCGGCGCGACGACGCTTTCGCTTCTCCAAGTTCTTCTTGGTCTGCTGCTTCGAGACCTCACGGTTGGTAGCGCGCTTCTCCCACATTCGGCGTCGCTCCTTTTGACGGCAGGAAGAGGCCTTCTTCTGATCCTTCTTCATGCGCAACTTGGTGACCTTATCCATATGGTCCCAAGCCTTGCTATGAGCAAGATCATAAGCATAACCAACCTGAGCAAGCTTCTCGTTCTCAACCCTCTGAGAAGCCTCGCGCTTGACGACCTGCTCAACAGACTGAGCATTGGAATCACGCTCAGCGCTCACCTTCATGTATACAACATAGTTACCAGAAGGTAGGTCAGGAAGCTCGACAGAGACCGAACGCTCCATCAGGTAGTTACCGTGAGATCGGACGATGTAGTCTTCGGCATTGGGGCTATCCTCGTAGTGAAGTCGGAAGTGGATGCGGAAAGAGTACTGGCCCTGAAGACCCTTGAAGTATCGACCATCAAGCTGTGAGAGGACCAAGACGAGAGGAGTGTCTTGGGTGGCCTTGATGTGGAACTTCTCGTGGTAAGCTGCCTTCCAAGGGACATCGACTCCAATCCAGCGTTGGCAACATCGCCAATCGCGGTCGCGGAAGAGTCGGGTCCGGTCGAAGTGAGAGTACTTGCGGACGAGATCCTCATAAGAAATCCAGAAGACAGAATCGCTACCGAATTTGTGGTCCATCTCCTCTTGGACCTCGGCGGTCCACTCCTTTGAGCCATCGCTCCAGGCACCCTCCCAGATACCCTTGCGGACCTTACCCCAGGGGTTGCGAAGCTTAACCAGACGTTGACCAGACTTGAGGGTACGGGCCTCTAGAACAACGTAGGCATGTCCCTCAGAGATACCGTTACGTTCACCATAGCCGTGCTCGAGCAGACCAGTAGAAGCACCAAATAGAAACTCGTCGTTGACTCGTGACATCTCCTTGTCCCAGAATTCGTCAATATCAAGGATATCAGACGTCAGAAGCTCGGTAGTCACACCGCCAGAGAGATCTTCGACACCCTCGCCGATCCAACCACCAGCCAATGACGCATAGTCGCCATGCGCCTTGGCGTAGGCCTTCTCGAAAAGGGGGACCCAAGTCTCATTTTGGTCTCTGCACTGAGCAAAGAAGAGAGCCTTGGAGCCAGTCTGATATGTCTTGCGATATACAACCTCATTATCTTCGCGGTCAATCTGCTGCAGCAGATCTCTCTGCATGCTAGGAGAATCCCAGCATGGTGACTTGAGATAAAGTTTGTCGTCAATGATGGAGTAGATCCATTCGCCATCACGGTAAAACACAAAACCGTAAATGCCGATCTTGGTGTCATGCGCGACGCAGATCCTCTGTAGGCCCTCTGGAACGCTGGCTAGGGCCGTCAGGCCAGCCATGATCCAGCAATCGCCCAAGCTTCCCTGCTTGACGTCACCACCACTAACATTTTTCATGAAAGTTGGCTTCTCGAAAATTTCATGCACTCGCTTGACAGCCTTGGGAACAGCAGCCTTGGAACTTAGTAGTGTTGTTCTGTTCAGCTCAAACTTTTGTGTTCCCAGGTTGTTCAAACAATGTCCCTTCTCATACTTAAGATCCCAGTCCTAGTCGTGCATTAGCGCCACATTCATGCATAGTCTGGGGTTTCCCAGAATAACTTACCAAATCCCAACCAGGATCTCTATACCGCATGTTTACTCGCTTGCATTCTTTGATGATCTTTTCGACCTTTCTTCGGCATTCCTCTGCAGCTCGCTCGTAACCAGCCGATAGGAGCTCATTGGAGTGGTATGTGGCAGGAGGTTGCACAGGGTCAAAAGGCAGAACGGCGAGGGCCTTGTGAAACTTGCGCTTGGAGAACTTCTTCCAAATTTGGTTGATGGACTTTTGAGGCGGAAGCTTCTTCTTCTTCTTCTTTGTCTTATCGTTGTTGTTATTGGTCGCGGGTTGGACGCGAGGCCGACGAGGGTCGTCGGACTCCTCTGATGAACTGTAGCCGTGCATGATGGCTAAATGTGATGACTGTTATGTGAAAAGAGTGTTCGTTCCAAGAAGGAAGGATATGGTATGGTAGGTGATGGTTGTATGGGTGTCTTGTTGGGCAACAAGATGAGACCAGCACCCAGAAGGTAGTGTAATAGTAATAAGATTTAGTAGGAACAAGTCCCGATAACAAGAGGAATCCAAAAGACAGGAACAGCGAAGCCGGAGGAAGAAGGCTATATATACGATAAGAAATGGGCGAGGGGATGGGAATGTTATCGTTGAATGGCACTAGTCGTCCGCCACCAGCTTTCCGAAGTCATTCAAGGGTCCACGACAGCGCAAAACGCAGCCCTGCAGATTGTACTGTACAGCTACACCGACAGACAAAGGGGAGGCCATGGCGAAGCTCGTCTGATTCCTCACGTGCCGAGCTAAGGGAAGCTGTTGAGGTACGGTATCGAGTACTGTGACTACAGTATCGAAAGACATTCTCGAAATGTACCATTGACGCACGGCGCACCTTGTGCACCTGTCGAGGGACCGTCTACCGTGTGGATTGGCGAGACGAGCAGCAAGGGTCTTCTTGGCGTATCGAAACCTCCCGGAAGTGGAAGTGTAAAGTGTACCGGTACCGATACACTATCAGTACCCTGACTGGGTAGTTCACTGGCTCGCCAGGAGGAAGCACTTTGCTGGCTCATCCCAGCGCCTGCTGAACTGTAGCAATCTCACCTTGAGACGGAAAGGTGGTTTCAACCCGGTTGCATAGCACAGGGTGCATAGCATTCCCCTTTCCGACCGTCCCAGCTTTTGTTGATCCAGATCGCTCTACAAAATTGGATTCCCCTTGGCAAACTTGACAGTTTGACCATGCGACCCATTCGACACACTTCAGACTGGAGTCGTGAAGACAGTTTCTTTCAAGACGGACAGTCCGATGCCGGTTTAGACCCGCTGTTGACAAAGCAGACAGTGTTGTACTGTACGACTCCGAAGCGAATAGCCAGCCGAATTTCTGGCGTGCCCAAAGATCTGTAATCTTTGCCATCCACCGTCAGAGACCATCCAAGTGTGCTTAATTCCGATTCGTCCAAATAACGAGGCTAGAACTCCTGAATCGTTGAGCCGGAAGTACAGAAAGGCCCCGGGCTGTGGGTCGCCTTTTTTTCTAGGGGTCCAACCTAGAACCCGACTTGGACTTCAGGGTCCTGGGGGCATCCTGGCTTGTCTCTCCTTTAAGGTACTTTGGCGAGGCAAACAGTGCGGGACCCGTTTGTCAGAAGCAGGGACGCATTCGAGGCTGCATCGGGTGGTAGGCCTAGAGACATGCGGCATACATTGTACTGTAGAATCTCCTGCAAGGACCATTCGAACACGGACCGACAGTATCAACACTGTTCCCCTGAGGCCTTCAAGGCGACATTGGTGCTCAAATGACTGGTCGTAAATGTCTCTGGAATCAGGTGGCTGGACCAGTTGGTGTGATTATTTCCAAGACAAATAATGCTTTTTCCATGAATCGCTAATTCGATTTCCTCCTCGGGTACACCCTTGCTTCTGGAACAAAGAGGCGGACAGTTATCAGTACCGTCAAGTACAGTACAGTACATGCCTCTACAGGTGATAAGCAATTGACCTATGAGCGGTGACGGATTAGCCTGGTTGTGGGAAAAGGGTGGCAACGCATCCGAGAACGGGGGTTCATCTGACTCTTTTTCTTTCAAACCCCCTTCTCTCACTAATCACTGATGAACCTCAGTGACCTGGCGACCTGAGTTGCGCAAATCCATTCTCTTTCACGACTCAGCGTCGGTTTCAAGTACCCATAAGTCGCCCGAACGAATAAGAAATCTCCCCCGCATTCTCGATCTTCAGCAAGTGTATTAATTCCGGAGATCGAGAGCTGCTTATGGAGAAAAAAGATAGGTAATGGGTCCCTGGAGTTATTGATTAGGGAAGTCCAGGCTCGGAGCACGACAGAGCCTCAAGTTGCGCGGCATGGGAATGGAACAAGTGTTTTGGGGCAAACCAACCAGGCAGGCCCTGTTCCAGGCGCAAATAATGTTTCCAGGTTCCCTTGCGGGCGGAAGGGTCCAGGGAACATTTGGTGACTCGAGCCGGTGCACAAGGTCCGATCGGCGGTTTTTAGCGCCGCGTAGTTCGGCTCCAAGCCAGGCCAAAACAATAGCGTCTGACTCGAGTATCGACAAAATCCGGGGTTGTTAATTTCTGGGTCTTTTTTAGAAGGTGGTTTTTGAAGAACGGGACTTGGGTTTTGGATGGGCCCAGCCTCGTGGCCTGTCTGCCTATCCATTCCACATCTACATGCGACGCTGACAGGAGCTTAGCTGCAGTTTGAGGGTGAAATGCGACCCTGGATGTAGCTAGTCGTAGGCAGAATGGTAGTGAATAGACAACTTCGCTGCTACCTGGGGCTGATGTTCGTGAGGCCTCAGATGTTGTTCAGCCGCATTGGTGCGCGTTCGAAAGGGAAATTGCATCTGCATCAGCATCATGCATGCAATGTTGGAACTTCGAAAGGTAAAAAAACGCTCATTTTATCAAAAGTCTTGGCTCCTGCGACCAAAGATCCGTGTTAGTCACTTATCATCTTAGCCTAGAAGCACACTCCTGGTCGCCTGTGTCCCCTTGCGAACCAGCACTTACCTACCCAGATTTCGACGATCTGTGTTCCCCCCTCAAATGCTTCTGCCGTGATACCCCACAAGCTTATCTATCGAGCGACAAGTTCTCTGCAGCTGTAGTGACGAGCGAGTGTCATGGTTGTAGTCGACGAGTATCGATACTGTACTGCTAGCAAGCCGAGCGCTAGGCGGCTAACCACATGCGAATGACGCAAGATTCGACGTAGATGTTGAATTCAAGCTTTTGCAGTAGCGCAGATGTCGATGTCATTTGTTGAAAGATGGTGGTTCGATGTATCCGCGTGGTTGCGTTGGATGTGCAATGTTAGTAATTGTGGAGATGGCAACCACAGGAAGGTGCGCCCAATCGGTCGGGGAAGGAACAGGGTCATCCAGTACCTAGATTACGATAAGGAAAGATTGACTTCAACGTTGGGGTTCTCAAAAGAAAGTAATTTCATATTGAACGACAACTAAGTAAAAAATGAAGCAATGCTTGCTTGATCAATGCACAATGCCATATGCGCCTGCTTCCATTAACCATTGGGTATATCCTCCTCGGTATGCAGCATTCCCTTCCCTATCCTCGGCCAGACAATGATAGTATGCCCTCTTCCCAGCCATGCTCTTATTGCTTGCCCTTCGTATAAACTCGGCGGGCCTGTCGGTAACTTCTGATAGCGTTCAGATGGTAGGAGTGGTTATTTTGATCCGTATTGTTTGCGCCAGGAGGGTTATTCAGGAACGTAGAGGAGCTACCTCTTCTACTGCCATTGACCTCCCCTCCGGGCATGCTCCCTAGGCCGGGAGGCAGGGAACTTACGTGAGACATAGAAGAACTGCCTCTTCTACTACCGTTGACCTCCCCCTGGACATGTTCGCTAGGTGTGAAGGCGAAGACCCTATATGAGGCGTGGGAGTACCGTTTGGCGCAGGCATGTAAGAGGCCCCTCCCATGCTACCCATTGTAGAACTCCCTATGGGATAACTGCCCATGGGAGAAATACCCATGGCAGAACTGCCCGAGGTGGATGATTGAGAGAACCCTCCCGTAGTATATCCCATGGGACTATCTGTTGAGGTATACACTCGAGGTGCCCATCTAACTTCGCCTGGGGGGACACTGGGTTGGCGTATAGGCAAGTTCCGTTCATCTGTATGTTCCCATGGACTACTGCTTGGGCTGGATGTATGATATGCCCCTGCAGCATTACTTCCCATGGAGGACCACTCATGCTCCGCGAATCTGGCTGTTCCCATATCGCGCACCACTTGTCTACGAAGTTCCCTATCAAGGGAAGAGGGGACAAAATCGGCTCCAGGTGCCATGTCGTGCTGTCGAGATGTATTGGCTGGATAGCGAGGTGCAGAATTCATTGGGCTATTGAGAAAACCTCCATGTAAACCATTCGCATTGCCATTATAAGTCGTGGGAGGCCTATAAATGCCGACATTGTTGATACTCTGGCCGTTGGAATTATTTTGTACACTATGCAGTTGTCCCTGAGGCATAGTCCCACGATCCATAGAGTTACCATTGCTGTTACCAAAAGAAGCATTTGATGGCATAGACGAGTATCCCATATTGCGCGGGATGTTGCCATTCATGGTACCATAGCCAACCTGAAGCGGAGGCCCAACAAAACCACGCCTGTCGTAGCCATAGCCGTAGCCATTACCGTTCAACGGCCTTGAAGTATTAAGAACAGCTATCGGTTGGGTAGATGAGGGCGGGGGCATAAGGGGACGATTGGCAGTGGTCGGGGTATTTTGAACCGGTGGTCGAGGGGCAATGTTACTGAAGCTTCTCCTAGGTTCCTGGCCAGTGACAGTCTTCCGATGGGTGCGTTTGGCAGGCTTCGAACACTTTTTTGACACAGAAGGCTTCTCCTTAGAGGCAGACGGAGGAGGCTTTGGGGAGTCATCATTTGATGAGGCTGCACTAGCGGCTGGCTGTGACTCTCTCGGGCAGGGCAAGGGAAAGGTTTCTTGGGAATAATTAACAAAGGAACGATCTTGTGGGTGGTAATGGTAATACCGACCGATTTCCCGTTCAGGTTGTGGAGGTGCGCAAAAGTCAAAGGGGTTACCATTCTCCAGGATACCGTCGCCGCCGCCAAAGCCACCTGTGGCCGGTCCCAACGAAGACGTCTCGGCTGCTTGACAGTTCAAAGCATTGCCTTCATTGGAGTTCTCCTGAGGGGTCAGGGCAGAGGGGGGTTGAGAGTAGAGAATGGGAACATCCGGAAGGACCAAGGGCACGCCTTGACTGTAAGGCACAGGGTTGCTAGATTCGGGGGTAGGATCTGGAGGAGAGCCGGTAGTTTGACTCGATCCAAGTATCTGATCTCCCGCGACCTGTGAACTCCCCGTCTCCTGGGAGGTTTCGATCTCTGAGAGAATCTCCTCAATGCCCGCTATAGGAGACAAGTCGCCGAAAAAGTCTTGTAAAGTTTTAGTGTCAGTGTTCATGGGGTGATTGGGTTCTCTCTTACTGTCAAACTGGTCTCCAGTGTCATTGCCGCGCGGGCTGGGACGTCCTAACAACACATCAGAGTTGCATTAACGACTCCCAGGGAGCGACTTACTTGGTGACATCTTGGTATGAATCAAGTCTACTTGGTCGGGTATAACACTACCTTGGCCAGAATTGGCAATATACCTATGTTTTGGGACAGTTGTTGAAGTGTCTGGGGAGAGTATGAACAGGAAAGCTTGAGGAGGACCACTCCCGTTTTATAGAAGGAAGTCCCAAAGGACCTGAACTCCCCATTGACACACCGATGCCGCTGATTTGGACCGTCTGTTCCTCCCTACCTACGTACCGCAAGCTGGACAACCCCCTTCTCTAACCCTAAACCTCCGCTGTTGATTCCTTTGCCTTCCATGTGAAGTCGGCCCCATCTGATAACACAGCGCATCGCAACTCTGGACCAACCGTTTGTGCCGTGGCTTTTTGTCCAGTGCCATCTCAATCCTAAACTCAATAAAGAAGCGCCGTGTATACGCCAGTGTCAACATTGTCGCTTGTCGCGGTAGTTTAGGTCAAGCCTAGAGGTGTCTTGAGTGATCGATAGAGACCGGGGAAGTCTAAGAAACGCGGCATGAAGCTCAAGCGCAAGCTGGGAACATCCGTGTAATCGCATCGCGCGTCTCAAGAGCGAATCCGAGCTGTCAAGTTCAATCGCTGTCGCATTCGAGCTGCACAGATTCATCGTCGCCGCTGTCTGCTGTACCCAGTATATATGGTTCAGGTGAAAGTGTAAGTCAGAAATTCAGCCTGGATTTGCATACACACCCACAAGGAGCCGCAAGCCTTGTATTCCCGAGGAATCACTATCTAGACCTTTGACACCTCCGTGCGAGATTCTTGATTGGTGTATTTCCCCTGAATGTTGGCAAACCCTACCGCAAACCACGTGGCAGAGTAGGGCTGCATCTGATAGAATCGGTGTTACTTCCCAGCGCTGTGGATAAGATAAGATCTGATAAACTTTCCAACAGGCTTGCAGCCTTGCTGTCAATGCGCCTCCTTTCTCTGCCGACGTGTTCTCTTGGTGAGTTCTCGCCGTCGTAAGCGCGCGGCGATGTGGTCCCGGGTATGGAAGTTTAACAAGCGCGTCGCCGAGGTAGTAGAAAGGTGGCTCTGGCGCTGTAGTCCATGCTATCCACATATTGAAGCCATCAGGCAACTTCCTCCGGGCAACTTGTTGTCGCATGTTGTTCCCGGTTATCAGATTGTGGATGAAAAGGCCTCATTTCGGAAGAACAGGGTCATTGGTTTAAGGAAACGATAACACATCAGGGAATCGATTGGTTCGTAGCAAATGTGTTCGGAGCGAATATGTTCGGGTTCGTCTTCTGGGTTGTAGAGGGCAAAGGGTGGTTCGGGTGTGATGATTGACAGAGACAGTGATTCCCAACACAACATTGTGCTGGGTGAGTTGCTTCGAGGAAGGTAATACTGGAGGACATTGGGGATGTTATGATGGCCTTTACATTTGGTAAGATCTTGGAGACAGGTATAGGTAACAGGGGTCATCACAGCAGGTACTAAGAGATATTCGACAGAGTCCCATACTGCTAACCAAGTAAACGATCATTCTTCCAGTATAATATGAAGCTACTGTGAGGGTGTTAGTGTCTGATCCAAAGCAATGAGTGTAAAGTGATTGGCTAGATCCGTCGAGCAGAGGCAGCCAGTGAGGTGAGTCCACAAACAGAATGTTAAGCGTATGAGCTATAAATAGCCTCTTGGACTCGGCGATTTCTCGTTCCAAACCCATCCATATTAGCTCTTTCTTTTACAAACAAAGGTACACCAAAATGACAAGATGCACTTACCAGACTATTGACACTTTCTTTCATACAGAGAAGTGTTACTGACTTCTATTCCAGAGTCATACTGGCTGGGTCGGGTCACCTCTTACTTGAGACGAATTTTGGACGACACTCATCATGTGCCCCATATGGACATCACGTTGGAGACGAAAGGGTGGTCTCTCCTTTTATATCTTTTATATATTTTTTCTTTCATTCTCTCTTTCTTTTTAGGAGAGGTCATATTCCTTGGCAAAGACTGGGCCTATGATATCAGGGTAAGCCAGGGTATCATATACAGGGGTATCGTACTGTCGGGTGATGTATCAATATGGTCAATGACAAGGGATTAGCAACAGTATTTTGTGTGTTGGATGTCATGATACTTGGATGAAGGAGTAATGTCGCTGATGCCAAAGCTCGAAAACACGTGATGGTTGAAGATTGAAAAGTTCGGAGATGTCCGAAGAGGAGAAGTGATTATAAGGAATTTCTCTGGCAGGTAACCCTAATCCTCTGCTTTGTTCAAACCTCTTTTACTTTATTGTTAATTTTGCTGATTTGTTAAAGCCCAAATCGTGCAGTTATCGGAGTCGATGCGTCAGACATTGAATTCTATCGAGAGGAATTCTAAGTGTCATTGTCCCGGACGTTGTAGCCAATGCATATGTTGCCACTGAAACCCTTCTTCTGGTATCTTTCGTTGTTCATGCAAAACAATCGCATCAAAGATATGGGAAAGCGAGAAGGCACACTCTGATATGATCGATCAAGTATCAATTTCATTTGGCAAATCCGAAACTCCTCTCGAAAGAATCTTCATCCTTCTCATCAACCTCAAAATCAAACCTTGTAACATCCTCAACATACGGCCACAAGTACTGACTCGTTACCCTAGACAATGATTAACTCCTCGATCTCCATAACTCTCTTGCTTAACTCACCTATGATGTTCACTGCTGGCTTGATACTCCGCCAACGCAGCAGGACTCTCATGAAAACTTAACAAACAGATTTGATAACCCTTGCTACGCTCAATAGGATCTGTGATAGACGGACCGCCTACGGCGAGGCGTTGGTTCTTGACGCAGGAGAGATTCTTCAGGGTCTTGAGTTCGGTTGTGAAGGTCTCTCTATGGGAGGGGGGGACCTCGGGGCGGAATTTGAAGAGAACTAGACTGTTAGTGAGACTTTGAGAGGGGAATGTTGAAGGTTCGAGACGTACCGATGTGGACGACAGTCATTTTGGTTATTTTATATGTGTTGATTTATTGTTGGTTAGTTAAGTGATCAAGGTTGGTAGTATGAGTTAAATAGGTAGTTGTGTTGATAAGAATCCACTCACTTACAAGCGGACTTCTCCCGTCGTTCGGGAAACACCCGCTTTGCGACCTCAACACGCCGTTACACCCAATGGGAGTCCAGTTAGTGATTTATTTTAGATTATGCGCCTCGATGACTGTACTCTTAGAAAACTTGAATAGAGACAGAGAGTCTAGACTAATTGACATCACAACACAGAAGGCAATCACCATGGTATGAGGCTCAGTTTTGAGGTTCTTAGATCCAGGTCTCACTACTCTAAGTATCTAGTCTAGCTCTCACTACAATCAGTATCTAGGTATCATTGCACTCAGTATCTAGGTCTTGCTACACTCAGTATCTCGGTCTTGCTACACTCAGTATCTAGGTGTCTCCTCGCTTGATATCTCAGTAGGGTTTTACTATGCCCAAAGTCCATGTCCATCTACCAATTTGCCTTGCCTCAACATCTTGGTCCATCAATCTACTCACCTCGACTGTACTCAACATCTAGGTTGATCCGTCTGTCCACTTTGACTGCATCCTTACTCTCGTCCATAGATGTTGAAAAGCTTCTCACCAGGAGCAGCGCCTGCTTCAACGACAGTCTCATTCTCCTGCCCGCCGTCCCGAACGTCCATGACACTTATAACAAGCTCCCATCGACCAATGTCCAACTCGAACCAATACCTTCCGGCTTCAGTAGCCAGCCTGTTCTGGATACGGTCCCAGCATCTGCGCACATTGGGCGGAATGTCAAAGTTACGATCGACACGATACTCCTTTCCCTTAATGTATGGATAGATGAACTGCTGCGATGCATCAGGACTCACAAGTCGGAAATTGAGAGTTTGGCCAGGTCCGAGCTCACAACGAGGCTTTCCAGTAAGCTTTCTCAGCAGTTCTAGCCCGCCGGTCGCGACGCAGCGGGTGCATTTCGCAAACTGTCTGCCCCCTGGCGAGATCATGGGCGAAACGTTGGAGTATTCGTCTCGGGAGGGCGGGATACAACGTCCTCGGATAGGATGATGACACTCTACAAAAGGTTTCATCACGGCTCTGCATTTGGGACAGGAATACTTATAGTGTCTTCTCTCTTTGGATTGAATCCACTCTTCAATGCAACTCTGACCAAACATGTGACCACAAGGAAGAATGAAGGCTTCATGACAGAGGTTACCGGGATCTTGGCCGGGAGAAGTGGCCATTAGTTCAAAGCAGATGTCACAGGTGAGACGGAGGACACGCTTGTTGTCGGGATCATCTTTCACTTCCTGGAGAAGGGTGGGCCAGTTGGTATTGGTGATGGGGTCGGTGTTGATAGGATCGGTAGTGCTGGGGTCAGTGCTAGGATCGGCGTCGATAAGGTTGTTGTCGGTAGGGTTGGTATCGGTAGAGTCAGTGTCGGTAAGGATGGTGTTGGCCAGGTCGGCGCTGATAGAATCGGTGGTGGACTCCATGTCGGGCAAGCTATGCTTTGATGATATGTTAGATTGAGGGATGTCGCTTACCAAAGAGTTGGTTTGGAAGGGAAGAGTTGTTTGATCGGCCATCGAGAACGGACGGTAGCATTTTGGAACATCTGGCACTGGGAAAGACGGGGCGAATTTCTTTGTTCATTGACCGACCAAGCTGAATGGAGAGAACTGGTTCGTCGCAGTGGTGAACAATGGGGCTGAGCAGCGTCTTGTTCAAAGAATAGCATAGCCTCTGAACAAGGTGATAGTTCTGACATGCTGAGTGCTGCTCTCTGCTTGTTCATTTGATCTTCAGTCTGTAACCCTGAGTCACTTGAGTCCAAGATACGGCATTAGATAGAAACGGTATAGAATTTATCATGAGAGTGTAATAACTTGAATTCATCTATCTAATACTTCAAAGCCTCAGCCCCAACCTTTTCAGCCTCAGCATTCAAAGCATCAATCTCAGCCTGCACAAGCGGAATTCCCGTCTTCTCCCTCTCCTTCTGATTCAACTGCTCAATCTCACCAGGGAAGTAAATCCTCTCCACTCCAGCCGCCTTTTCAGATCCCACAACCCGCTCGTACAAATACTGCATTCTCTCGCGGAACTCATCCAGACTCATAAATAGATCAGGCTTGATAGCCATGAGGAAATGACCAACGTCTGCGGGCTTGGAGGGATCGTAGGGGCCGGTGACGTGGCCTGCGAATGCTGAGCCTGAGAGAACGCCGGAGAAGACGTCCATCATTATGGCGAGGGCGGAACCCTTGGGGCCGCCCATGGGGAGCATTACGCCGCCGAGGGCAGCTTCGGGATCATCGGTTGGCCGTCCCTCTGCATCGAGAGCCCAGTCCATAGGAATCTTCTCTCCTCGTCGCTTCGCCTTGTAAATCTTTCCCCTAGCAGCCACAGAAGGCGCCATATCCAAGATAAAACTCTCCATATCGCCCTTTCCAGGCGCACCACACGCAATAGGTGAAATACCGATAAGCTTGCTCTTGCCTCCAAAAGCAGGCAAAGCAGGACTCGAGTTTGTGAACACCAAACTCATCATATTCTCATCCAAAGCCTGCTGCACAAGCCAAGCACTCATACCAAAATGGTTAGAGTGCTTGATACTCGCCATACCAATGCCAAAGACCTTTGCAGACTCAATGGCTGCAGCCATGCCCTTGTGGGCAGCGACGAAACCAAAGCCGTTTTGGCCGTCGACTTGAGCGACGGCTGGGGTGACTTGGGTCAGGATTGGTTGGCCGGTTGCGTTGAGGACGCCCTGGCGGATGCGCTCCATGTAGGAGGGGATGCGGTTCATGCCGTGGGTATCGACGCCGCGGAGGTCGGCTGCTATGAGGCAGCGAGCTATGATTGCAGCATTTTCTTGGGGGATGTTGTTGCCTTTGAGGACGTCCTCTACGAAGCGTCTAGCTTCTGAGGCTGAGACGGGGAATTTCTGAGAGGATGTTGCGTCTGCCATGGTGGACGCAGGTGAAGAGTCAAGTCTTAAGACAAGGTGGTGTATCAATTGACAATGTAATCAGTGTCTTGTTCGTTGTTGTAAATGATGATTGTCTTACAAGAATGAGATGAGATAGCCAAGCTTTAATAGACGCTATCTCCAGGCTGTGCGGGGAAACCCCGTTCTCTATGTTTTTCTACTAGCGGCGACTCCCCGCGCGACACGGAAATTCTCCATCTTCCATCCTCACAATATGAACCCGGCACTGAACATTCAGTGACCAAGGAAATTGCGATAATGCCCGAAACCGATAACCAAGATGCTGGGACTCCGTCCGGGAGGCGGTCGCGCACGAGGAGCGGTCAGCCAGGACGGAGAAATCCCCGGCTACGGATGGCCTGTCTCCGCTGTCAAAGGCGAAAGATCAAAGTACGTGCACCATGGAACGGAGCAAAGCTCTGTAGCTGACTGGTCTAGTGTGACGGCGACTTACCTACGTGTAAGAATTGCCGTAATTCTGGTGCCGTGTGTACAGATGGGGAATCAGCTCGTCTGAAAGACTTACCTCGAGAGTAAGTACCACTATCTCCATCAATGACTACACTAACCGATAGTCTAGATACATCTCAACACTGAAAAATCGGATATCATGGCTAGAATCAATAGTCAGGTCAAGATGTCCTGACGTGGATCTCACTCAAGACCCTCCAACAGACATTGAAGGTTTGGATGAGACCATTCTTGAAGATACAACACTTCAATCACCCGCGCCAGCACAAACAAGCACCCTCGACATCTCAGAAACAATCCAAGAACAATCGGCTGTTGAAACACCCAATCAACCAGTCAGCAGGTCCGCCCCAGGACCTAGTGCAATAACCCATGAAATCGGTCTCGTATCACTCGGAACAAACCAAGATCCCAGATACATCGGTCCATCAAGCGGATACTTCCTCGCGCGTGTAATGCTCGATTCAGTATCTAAACAAGATGAAAGACTCAGTCGAAATGCACCATTTCCTACGAAATTGGTCGAAGCGATCCAGGGACCTTTGCCTTTGCCGTCGAGGGAGATGGCGACGCAGTTATGTGACGCTTACTTCAGCGCTATTAATTTACAGTATCCTATTCTTCATCGACAGACTTTCGATGGAATGATGGAAAGGGCTTATGAGCAGGATAGTAATGATCCGGTGGTCAAGTTCCAGGTCTTCATGGTTCTAGCCATCGGCTCAGCGGTGTTATCTGGTCGCATACGAGCGCGCATCCCAGCAGAGTCATACTGTCTTTCCGCGCTCCAGTATCTTGATGAACTCAACTTGGAAAACTCACTTCAAGGCGTGCAATGTCTTTTGCTACTTCTCATTTTCACAATTCATAGTCCCTTTGTTCGGGTGAATGTGTGGTATCTGGACTACCACTGCATCGCTGCCCTACTTGATCTCGGACTACAGAGAAATATCAGTGCGGGTGCTGGTATCTCTTTGCTAGAGCAGGAGATGCGGGCGAGAATCTTTTGGGCTATTTACACGTTTGATCGTGTCATTGCTACCATGATGGGAAGGCCTATTGGGATACGAGATGAGGGTTGTGAACTTCGGGTAAGTGTACCAACTCCTTCCAACAGACGAGTGACGAATTGACGATTCAGATGCCCCTTGGTTTGTCAGACGAGCAACTCGCAACACCATACCAACAAACCACAGAACAATCAAGCGAAATGCTCTTCGCAATCCACCTCTTCAAAGCCGCAAAGCTCAACTCCGAGATAAAATACATTGCTCAAAGCATAGTCCGCGACTCACCTCGCTACGCATACCCCCGCGTAATCGACATAAACGACTGGCAAACCACCATGCTCAACAACCTAGACGAATGGTCAACCCAAATCCCCCTCCAAAACGATTCATCAACGCTCTATCTTCAAATAACTTGTAAAATCCGCTATCACAACCTCCGCATGCTTCTCCTACGACCAAGTCCCGCAATACCTAAACCTACCACTGAGGCTTTAGTGCAGTGTCATAAGAGTGCGAGGGAGAGTATACAGCTTTTTGATCAGCTTTATAAGAAGAATCTTCTCGTTCATAGTTGGACTACTTTTCATGGACTGGTACTTAGTACGATTACACTGCTTTATTGTATCAAGGTCGTGCCGGAGATTGCGCGTGGTACTGAGATTGATGTTTTGATGGCTGATCTGAGTATTTCGCTTAGTGTGCTAAGTGCCACGGGCGAACATTGGTCTGGTGCGAAGAGGAGTAGGGATATTCTCGATGAGCTTGGCAAGTCGACGATTCGCTATCTTCGCGAGCAAAGTCGTTCAGTTTCTCGGACTACGGACCAAGGACCTGCGCCAACACTCGCGACCGAGGTATTGGACGTGAACCTTCAGATGGATACATCATTGGACAGCATGGGCTTCTTACAGAATCCATTCGACGACTGCATGTTCAACGATTCTTTCGCGGGATACTTTGAGACGGATTCTGTCAATGTTGATAACATTGTTCGAGACCTTTTCCAGGATTTTATTCCTACATATCCTAGCGAACTATAGCCCTTGCGGCCCTTGGGCTGTCAAGAAGTCAAAGTCGGCACCATGCTCTGCTTGGTTTACGCTTCGCATGTATAATCCTCTATATCCTCTCATTCCCTCCCTTTTAACCCACGGTTGCGCACTCGCAGACTCATCCTTCTTTTCAAAGCTCTTTACCCTTTCTTGGATTCTTTGAGATAGTTCTTCGTCTGAGAGGTCAACTGAGAGTTGTCTCTTCTCAACATCTAATGTGATAACATCCCCATTCCTGATGACACCAAGAGGTGACTTCGGATCCGCAGATTCAGGAGAGATATGAAGTCCAATAGTTCCACCCGCAGTGCCACTCATGCGTCCATCTGACAATCTTAACATATCCAATACGCCCTGCGAAGCAATCTTTCGAGGGATCGGAATCATGCCTGCTTCAGGCATACCAGGATTTCCCATCGGACCAATGTTCTGCAGAACAAGAACACTGTCAGGTGCGACGTCTAGGTCAGGATCGTCTATCCTGGCGGCCATGTCTGCAGAGTTGGCGAATACCACTGCGCGACCGGTATGATTCAGGAGATGTTTGTATTTGGAGGCGCTGGCTTTCATTACCGCGCCGCCGGGGGCGAGATTGCCGCGGAGGACGACGAGAGAGGATGATGGGTAGAGGGGTTCATTGAAGGGGTGTATGACACTTAGTTCTCTTGGGACAGAAAGTAGAGATTGTTGGGCGATTTCTTCGCCCATGGTTCGGCCTGTAACAGTCATCGCGTCAAGATGCAGAAGGGGCTTGAGTTCGTGGAACAGAGCGAGCATGCCGCCTGAGATCATTAGCTTAGCCCATCACTTGCCATTCAACGAAACTTACCGGAGTTGTGAAAGTCGGTCATATAATTATCACCACTCGGTTTCAAATCAACCAACAAAGGCGTCTTCCGTCCAATCTCATCAACAGTATCAAGAGTGATACTCCCCGCAACACCAGGATGTCTACCCGCAATAGCCATAAGATGCACAACAGCATTCGTCGAACCACCGATAGCTTGAAGCACCGTAATCGCGTTCAAAAACGACTCGCGTGTTAACAAAGCTTGTGGTTTCATACGTTCACGGTCGTTACATGCTGATACAGCAAGACCACCTGTTGCTTCTGCGATTCGAAGGCGTGTGGCTGACACTGCGGGTGCTGTTGCGCCGGCGAAGGGCATCATGCCTAGACCGACTAGGATGGCTGCCATTGTTGATGCTGTGCCCATTACACCGCATGTTCCTCCCTTTACAACGTCAGATAGAGAATCTCATATGGAGTAGGGGACTTACTGTTGGAGCTAGTTCATCGTTTATGGCTGATATATCCTCGATATCTATCGTTCCAGCTCTGTACTTGGCCCAATTATTGCGACAATCCGTGCAAGCGCCGATACGCACTCCGCGATGACTACCAGGCATCATTGGACCCGTAACAAGATGAAGAATAGGCTTATTTGCAGAAATGCCGCCCATCAACTGCGCAGGCGTAGTCTTATCACAACCTATCATATCTCAGCACATCTTCACTCCCATACAAAGAGTTGTAACTCACCTCCAATAAGCACAACAGCATCACAAGGCTGCGCAGCAATCATCTCCTCGGTATCCATACTCATCAAATTCCTCAAATACATACTCGTCGGCGACGAAAACGCCTCATGGATACTAATAGTCGGAAAATCAATCGCAAGTCCTCCATTGAGCTGCACGCCGCGCTTCACAGCGTCAATAAGCTGTGGAATGTTGGCGTGACATGGGTTGAAGCTGGAGTATGTATTCACAATCCCGATTATGGGCCGGGAGAGTGCGTCTTCGGTGTAGCCGAGGGCTTTGATGAAGACTTTGCGCAGGAAGAGGGAGAAGTGGGCGTCGCCGTAGGAGGGGAGGTTTTGGCGCAGGCCGGTTGTTGAGGTTATGGGGTGGGAGAGGTTGTAGTCTGCATTGACTTGGTCATTATTTGAGTTTGTCATTTTGAGTATGAGATGTTTGAGATGTTTAGAGTTGAAGAATTGGGAAGTTACAGATTGACCTATCATTAAATATGTATTACTATCCTGGTGTTGATCATCGTGAGTAGACGGGGGAACCCCGCCGGGTATCACGCAATACTGCCGAATTGCCTCACGGGAGTCTCCCGTGTAAGTCACGGAAAAGCACCGACTTACACCAACAAAAAGTAAATAAAAGGGTGCACATCTCGATACTAACTACAATCATAGATCCAACTCAATATCGTTATTATTCATCTCATTCTCACAAATGCTCAACCTCAATAACAAGGTAGCCCTGGTCATCGGCCTCGGTCAAACAGGCACCGAAGGCTGGGGCATCGGCGCAGCAAGTGCCGTGTCCCTCGCCCGCCAAGGAGCCCTCATATTCGGCGGCAACCGCACTCTCGCCTCAACGAACAAGACCAAACAAACCATCGAAGCAAAAGGCGGAACATGCGATATCCTCGCTACAGACGCCACAGATTCTTCATCCGTGAAAGCGCTGGTTGATGCGTGTATGGCCAAGCATGGAAGGATAGACATCCTCCTCACAAGCGTCGGTCAATCACAACCTGGAGATCCTGCATCTATGACTGAAGATGTCTGGGATGCGCAGATGGATATTAATCTGAAAAGCGTGTATTTGGCTACACATTATGTTCTTCCTATAATGAAAGCTCAAGGAACCGGTTCAGTGATCTGTATTTCCAGTATCGCTGGTCTTCGATACATTGGCAAGCCGCAAGTAGCGTACAACACTACAAAGGCAGCGATACTACAGTTTGTCAAAGCTACGGCTGTTATATATGCGGACAAGGGTGTGAGGCTGAATGCCGTTGTGCCGGGACTTATGGATACACCTTATACGAAGAGTATGGCGGAGAGATTTGGAAGGGATTATAAGGAGATGTGTACGGTTAGGAAGGGACAGGTTCCGATGGGGAGGATGGGGGATGCGTGGGATGTTGCGAATGCGGTTGTGTTTTTGGCGGCGGATGAGGCGAGGTATATTACGGGGCAGAAGATTGTTGTTGATGGGGGTATAACCTCATCTACGGGTAGGGCTTAGAAGAGGTAGTATATCATTGAGAAGCCAGCATGATAAATCGTTCTTCATGAATACTTCACATCATGATGTGGGATATACGTGATGCGACTTAGACTTGTTCAAGCAGATTCTATGCAAAGACTGACACACACTATCGAATCTTCAATCTATATCTATTTCCACACATTAAAGCCTCCATCAAGTCTTTCACAGCTCATCTTTCTCATCAAACTCCTTCTGTAACTGCATCGCAACACCCACCGCCGCAAATCCCCCCATATGCATAGCCTGCATAACACTCCTCATCATAGTAGCCGCATCACCACCAGCAAAACACCCCTTAACATTCGTCTCATTCCACGGCGCCTCAACCTTGACCTCCCCCGAAGGAGCCATCTCAAGACCAAGCTGTTCCGCGAACGGCGCAGCTTGAACCACATTCGGATGATTAACCACGAAACCTTCAACCTTAGAAGATCCATCTTCAAAGGTGATTTTTACTGATGGTCCACCGTTGACGAGGGCGAAGGATGTTATCTTTCGGTCGTCGTAGTGAACTTTGCTGCTGTGGATCTTGGATTGGACTGTTGAGGATAGAGAGGGGGAGGCATTGGTGTAGACTGTTACGCTGTTGGAAAGTCGTTTGGCCATGGGTGTTACATGGGCGAGCATGTCTGCGTTGGAGATCATGCCTCCTGCAAAGACACCCACAGACTCAGCACCACGTTCCTCAAAACCATGACAATAAAGACAATGGAAACTGACGAAATTAGCATCACATCATCCACATCAGGGAGGTTACTTACATTCCCTTCCCCCAACAATCCTCATACCCCTTCGGCAACCCCTCAAAAACATCCCTCACACCAGTTCCTAAGCCAAGTTTCCTCCCCTTATACACACCTCCATCAGAATCAACAGCTTCAAACACACCATCATCTGTTTTGCGAACGGTAGATATAGTAGCAGATTTAAACTCAACACTTTCATAACGCTTTTGTAAATCCTCGCGGGCTTTGGCGCGGAAAGAAGCTGGATCGACGTGGTCGAAGCCTGGCACGTTGTGCATGTGTTTTGTAGGGGCGTTGCGATAAATGCCTGAGTCGAGGATGAGGATGGAGTAGACTTGGCGAGCGAGGGTTGTTGCCATTGAGAGGCCGGCTGGGCCACCGCCGATGATGAGGACGTCGTAGAGTTTGGACATGATGGTCTATGTGGTTTCTTGTTGGGTTTTTTTTGTGGTGGTGTTTGGTTGTTGGACTTGCTCGGTCTTATGTATTCATCACGGAGAGATCTGAAAGGCTCCGCTCGGAGACTTTGGATATCTAGTCTACGGTTAGATAAAAAGAAGCCGCAAATATGTTGCGCAACATGATTCCTTCCTTGTATTAGTGGTGAGAAACACATATTACCATTGGTCTTGGCAGTTTGCAATTTGGTTCAATTGACGACTGGTTGTGAGAACCCGGGCGGTTCGTTTCACCTCTGACCTCTATAGCTCATAATGGTGTCCTTGTCGCACCAGGATGGTAGGAATTGATTCCAAATCTATCGCTAGAATAATTGCCATGTTCTGGCATCCAACTTCCTGACTACAATTAAATTAAAATGCCAGCTCTGAGTTGGTGATGTCTTGTGGTGGATGCTAATGGCAGCCTGGGAACATACCATGTGTTGATTGCTGACAGCGCGACTCATCGTCCAAGAGTCACATTCATCGCACGGAATGCGCTATGAGAGGAGTCACAAGTCAATTAAATTAGTTACTTGGAACATGTATATGGAAAGTAACTTTATGTCTGCACATTGACATAAGTGAGCCGACAGCAAGCGGCGTGTCTACCTACACCTGTCGCGCGACAGATAGCGGAGACTTTCATGCTTCACAACAACGCATTTCATGTCATTCAAATAAACAAATCGTTGGTATCCACTGTTCAGAACAAGTCTGAACATCAATTGCACACTATATACTGGTATAAAAACGCCCGGCCGGACTATACAAAAAAGAGAGGCTATCGCTAATGCAAGCAGGTAATCCAGCCACGATGCTCAAGCAAAAGCGAGCACCAGCAACCACATCAACCACACCAACTTGCCAACCGTAGGTAGTGCCGTGGTATAAGAGGACCAGTCCGCGATGAGGCTCTCCCATCGTTATTCAGACCTGCTACGAGTCGTCACCCAGCACAACCCACGCATCAGAAGTCGGCGTTGCCGCACTATCAAACACTTCCCGTTGAGAAGGTAAATCGTCAAGTTCACTATCCGAAAAGCAATCGTAGTCTGTGAGTATCTCGTCGGAGATTAGGTCCGGTGGTTGAGATGTGTCCACGTCGAAACTGGGTTGCGAGCCGTCGAGTTCGTAGATTACGCGTAGAGGTGCGATGGTGCGTGTTGGGGGGAGGGATTCGTCGGAGGAGGAAGAGAGGAGTTGGGCGATAGTTTGATCGCCGCCTAGATCTGTGAAGGAAAGATCCAAGTGGAGAGGGGAGTTGAAGCTGAAGCTTTGAGAACGCTTTTTGCGGGATGTTTTGGCGGGTTTGATGGAGTAGACGGGTTCTTCGTGCTTGATACTATCAAGATTGAAGCCCTCGCCACGGACCTGCTCATCGTCGTACAGCAAGCCCATGCGATATAACTCTGCCACTTCATCATCCTCACTCAAAGGCATTTTGCGTCCGAAATAAACGTTCCCTCTCGCAGTAGACGCATCGCGAAAAGCCTCTTCTCTTTCCAGCGTGGGTCGTCTTACAAGGCGATATCGGTCGCTGGGGAGAGGAGTCTGGCTTTGCGCCAGATCCCTCCCCTCCAGTTCATCCGAAGTACCATGTCCTTTAGACCGGGCGTTGCAACTCCGACGAATGTTGCTCCATCGAGGATGAACGCGTGCTAGACTTCCGCAGGAAATCTCGAATTGCAAGATCTTTTCGAGCTCGGGACGTCCGGTTGGTGTATCTTGTTGACCGCAGCGGCGACAAGTGGTTGGACCGCGATATGAAGTCGTACAGTGAAAGCCCGTGTCGCGACAAATATTGGAGCCTTTGTACTGAGATTGACGTTTGGCAGTTGCGCGAACAAAGTGATTACGGGTTATTTGTGAAGGAGATCTGATCACTGGATCCGGGGTGATGGGAAAGTGCTTAGAGGGAAGGTCCCCAGGACTATCGACTAATAACGAGTCCATGATGGGATTAAACTTATAAAGGTGAGATGAAGTGTCGGGGGTGAGAATTAGATGATGTGTCTTTTCAAGCAAAGGGCGTGATAAGGCGTGCTAAATACAAAGGGCACGCAAGATTAGTGTTAAAAGAATATGGAAGAGATATCTGGAAGAGTCGAGTGGTAGGACCTTTCGTCTTTATTAATGTTGTATCACTGTGCGATACGGATGTGATTGGCTGGGCGAGGAGTCATATGGCGTACTAGTGAGACACTGTCATTGTATTACACTCACTTTTGGTACCTAAACTAGGCACTCCTACTAGGCACTGACACTTGTAATCGGAGACTACTGTTGTTGCTCATAGTGACCAGCCGTGACGTGACTCACTGCTCAATCCGGGAGATAACCGAGTGGCGCAGTGTCCCCTTGGCCCTTTCACCCGTCTTCAGCCTGGTTTCCTCACTTGCAACGAATAAGACGCCATGAGGATGCTCTCCAGATAAGCAGGTTTCCGACGAGAATGCCTTATCTTGAGAGGCGCATGATGGTTCTCAACGTGGGGAGGCTCGTGACTGCATCGTGATTGGGTCTCACGAGGATAAGAGGGTGTCGTCATTTTACAGATGTACTTTTTGGGTGTGGCGCAGTATTAAAGGTACTTGTAGCTGCCTGGGTTCTTTGTTCGGGTGACCTGCGTGGGCCAAGACAGCATAAACCTGGGGAATCTCATTTCTGAAACAGATTGGGCGCATTGCATGATATCTTCACATTTACTGGCATTGCATTGTTTGATCACCTGCTTGTGCAGAAAGTTGGTCTAACCAACGGTATGGCTTGGATAAAGGCACGATGCGAGATAAGAGTGCTCTACCGGTTGCAGGCGGCTAATGATAAGACATTCCCCAACAAGGTAATCCCGATAACACCCCGGATTGTTCGGGCGGGACGATTGACTATAGAGCCCTACATATGAAGAGTTCACTGCATTTTTAACCTCTGTCGGGGCCGCATGACGAGCAGGGACGTAAACTGGGCGGCCGAAGTCCTGATAACCGATTATTCCCGCTTGTAGGTAGAAACTTTCACTGCAGTTTTAACCCCCGCCGAGGCACCTGTTTCATGATGGTGCATAAATCATGTTAGTAGCAGGGACGTAAACTGAATGGGCTACTAGATAACTCTTCCATACAATGGAAACCGCTGAATTGCTTCATGTCTATCGCTTGCTTTTTGCTCTGCCTAGCAGTAATTTCTTCCAGTCTACTAATTTTACTGCGTTTTTAAATCCTGTTAAGGTCTTCGACGGCACTGCATCAATCATATTCTAGACTTGTGGACGTGGAGCTGCACTTAAGTCAAACTGAAGCTGCGTCGAGTGTTTAACTGTAGATGTCGTCTAAGAAAAACAGCAGAAAACTTCTCAAAATCCAGGCAAAATTCACTTTCACTGCGATTTTAACCTCTATCAGGGTACCGCACACATCATGCATTGAGTTGGTGACAGGGACGTAAACTGGGCAACCGAAGTCCCTTATGTCTTTCACTGCACTTTTAACTCCCCCCGAGGTATCCGTATTTCATGGGAATACATCAATCGTATTGCTTGAAAGTGCCCAGCGCGTTTAAGTGGTGGCTGAATAGTAGTTCCGTGTCCGTATAGGTTTCACTGCAATTTTAACCCTCCTCCAGCCGTCATGTTGATTGTAAAACAGATACTTTATGTACGAAGCTCAAAGCAGATATCTACAACCATAGGGTACCCTAACTAGCCGCGGTGTAGCACTGTAAGCCAGGCGGGCTTCGATAGCCCTGGCATAGAGGGGACACTGGTTGCTAATTTCCAGTCTTATTCTCGGACGAAGGTCGACAACTTTCACTGCATCCCAATCTTAATCTCTGTCGAGGTGGTTCGTGATGCTCCATAATCAGTACATTTGGTTAGCGACAGAGACGTAAACTGGGGTCAAAGTCCTGACAGGTCGAGCCCTAGTTTTCACTGCCGTTTTGAACTCCCTCTGAGGTGTTTGATGGCACTAAAGTGACCAGGGGTACTTTGACTGAGTGTCATTTTGACTGAGGGTCGATAACTTTTTGCTACACTGCAATTTTAACCCCCACTGAGGTGCTGTATGTCGGGAACGACCACGGCATTCAATTGGTATATGGACGAGGACGAAGCTGCATTTTAGCCACACTCCAAGCTGCTCCGTGTAACTTTCAAATCAGCCCTGGTATGTACTGTCCATCTTCACTGCAATTTTAACCCCCCTCAAGCCGTCAAGGTGTTGAGTGAGGCGGACACTTTATGTACAAAGCCCAAAGCAGACAACCTCGAGCTACAGGGTAACACAAATAGCCGCAGTGCAACACCAACCGACCACTATCACATCTCAACTTGCACAACCAATAACCCCAATCAATTCACTCATCTGACCCAACCTGAAAGTCCATCATCCCGATATACCTCTTCACATCCGTAACTTCAATCCCCCGCTGCACATTAACAGTCCCACTCTTATCCCACGCCACACCCCGTCCCTGCGCAAACGTATCTCTATACTTGACCATCGTACCACCCTGCTCCTCCATCTGCTTCTTCAAAGTCTCTAAATCCCACAGCTCGCGCTTAAATGCGACGCCAAAATGAGATTCTAGCAAATCTGCAAGTCGAGCGTAGGATATGGTGTCGCCGGCTGTGTACACAACTTGTGAACTGATACCCTGTGGCTCAAGGATGATGTCGGCTGTTACACGGCCGATGTCTTCGGGTGTAGTAACAGTGATTTCGTTGTCCCAACTTCCCAATGCACGAACGGTCCTGTTTGGGAGATCGACAACACCAAAATCAGGGAGGAATAGAAAACTCATAAACAACCCCGTAGAAACAATAGTCCAGTCCACAGCACGTTGCGCACGCAATTTCTTGCGAACCTGCAACTGCTCATCGAATAAATCCTGCGAACTACCCTCCCCAATAACATCATAATCCATCCCAAACTGCCAAGGAAAATATCGATTGACGCCTGCTTCAAAAACAGCGTCTAGGAGTTTGACTTGTGTTCCCGCGGGTAATCCCATGCCATTGCACGAAACCACGACATCGTACTTGGAAAAAATAGCCGCTAGGGAGGAAATGCTAGCCGAGACTACGTCGGCTGCTTCGGTCCCGGCGTGCAGGGCCCGGATGCGCTGGATGAGCTTCTTCTTTTCCGGGGCGGCGGAGTCGAGGGTGGCCTGGCGGACTAGCACCGAGACGTGCTGGGACTGGTTCTTCCGCTTGGATAAAGCTTCGAGAACGCTGAGACCGAGTTCTCCGGCGCCTAGGATGAGGATGTTTGACATGGTGGGTTGGTTGAGACGGTTCAGGGCTTGTAGGTTCTCTGTTGAGAGTTCAAGAGGCGTTCCTCGTTTTTCGTATGACATAGTGATTAACTTTATGGCTGGCAGTTGGGATATTTAAACTATTCGTTATCGTTGTTACGTCGTTTCACTTCCACGTTTTGGCAATCATAGAGGTTCAATGCATGACAGCGGAGTCTTCAATGAGGGGAACGAATAAGGTCTCGAGTGACCCTGAATGATTTAATCTCCATGTCAGCTTTCCCCAAACTCCGCGAATATCCCCATATTCGAATTGTAAGACAAGGACTGACATAATCAAAAAACAAGGTTGGATGCCAAGCTCCTGGGCCGAAAGATCCACATGACCGTCTCCGAATCAATACCCGGGTCACATCCCAACGACAAGCGCCATTCAGGGGGCAAACATGACAAATGCGGAATAAGTCTAATAGAGTTTATTTTCATTTCTACCCGAATAAAATATTGGAAATATTGATGAAAAAGGACTGGTCGCAATATTAAACTTTCAGCTATGGATAAGTGTTGAAAAAATGAATGAACAAGCCCCGTCGGTCCAACAAGAACGCCCACGCTTCCCAATGCAAGCAAATCAAAAATCATGATTTCAGAACTTTCTTTTTCCAAATGTTCTAGCTAGTAAAATTGGTGAACGAATGAATTAAGTGTAAAGAAACAAAGGAAATCATGCCTTGACGGTATTCTTGTTGGCGAATCCGACTCGGTTTTGCTTGAGGTCGAAAATGACGAATTGGGCTTTGAGGAGGATATCTCCCAAGATGGCGAAGCCGATACCTTCGGAACTCTGGATACCACCGTAGCAGACTGTCTGGGTGAGACGACCGTAGTTGATGTAGTGGCCAGGAACCTTGCCGCGGTACTTGCCAAAGCCAAAGTAAAAGCTGGGCAACTTGGCTGTGCAGGGGAAAACCCAAACACCGTAGTCTTGATCGATGTAAGCGCCCTTGACCTTCTTGTAGTAAAACTTGACAAGCTTGTCAGGCAGGAGAAGGAGCGTGGTGCCAGTGTCGACAATGGCTGAGTACTTCCACTTGTGCCAAGGAGCCCCTTGAGCAACACGGTAGCCCTCAATGTCGATCTGCCACCACGGACTGTCCTTGGTCACTGTAGCAAACCCTACAGTTCCGTAGTATTCGTTTTGGTTGATGTAGCCAAAGTTGTAGTTTCCAGCCGAGCCCTTCTGCAGATTGGCTGTAAAGACTGGGACCTGAAGGTCATTCTGGACCCTGTCAAAGTATGTCTTTTGGGCCGTGGGTCGAACGGTGTTGAGGCTGGACATGGCTAGGCCCATGATACCATGAGCAAACTTGTCTGCAGCAATGCCGTCTGACACCTCAGTAGCGGACTGCACAGCCATGTTCTTGACATAGGTGCCTCCAACTTGCACGGTGTCCGTATAGACAATACCATTAGCACCAGTACCATCACCATATTTGATGCTCCAAGTCTGGCCACTAAGACGCTTGCTTGTCTTTGACTTGTCGGGTTTGTAGAGAACATGACCCTCCTGATCAGGTTGATATGTATCGGTGGAAAAGACCCAGCTGTCAAATGTCAGATGAATCCGTGAATGCCGTGAAAGTCAACTTACAGGTCAGAAGAACCAGTATCAAAGTTCAAGTAAGTAGTTTGTTTCGGGCTACCGATTTGAACAGGGACAACGTATTGTGAGTCGTAGTATTCGGGAGGTGTTGCTGCAGCAGTACCCTTCAATCCTGGAGATTGTCAGATTGGTCCATTGATACGCGACTGAAATACTTACCAAGTTTGTTCTTGACAAAAGCTGCCTCTGAATTGGCAATTTGCTGAAGCTTCTTGTTGGGCAATGGTTTGCGATATTTGTTGTATGCATGAATGAGAGCAATCTCTGCATGAGGCTTCTTGTAGCCTTCGTTTTCAAGTTGATCAAGTTGAACCTTCTCTCCTTTGGCTCGTGGCATAAGGTGAGGGTGTTCCTCGAAATCAATAGCCCGACCCTTAAGACCCTTGCCCATCTCTATCTCTTCTTGCTCCTCAGGGTCAATACTCCTCTCTGCTATTCCATCGAGAGGGTCTTCAGGGTGGTCCCCGAAAGCACCCTTCACCTCGTAGACATCGCCTGGTGCGCGAGGTGCAAGAGCCCGAGAAGCCTCATCCTCAGGGTTCACAGACCTCTCCGCTATGCCGTCCAAGGGATCTTCTGGGTGATCTCCAAAAGCACCCTTCACCTCATAAACATCACCGCGGATTTCATGAGGAATACCCGTACTACAGCCGGCAAGTAGAAGGAAAGAAACCGTGCTGAATCTCATAGTGAAAGGTGGGTTGTTAGAAAAGAACTGTGATCGTAGTCAGGAGGCAAATCAGAAAGAAGGGGATTGTCTGATATTTCAAGACAATGGATAGTGGATGCGGGAGGCGGCTGGCAATTCCGGATTGAGGCCAAGGGTCATTTTCCAGGCACTTCGAGATTTCTAGTATGGCATTCTGGGCAAGACCCGGGCTACGTGAAGCCATCTCGGAGAGCTTAACCTGGAATGTGGTCCGTGAAAAGTATGGGTTTGTATGGAATGCTCCTGGATGTAGTTTAGTATGGTATGCCATCTGCATTCCGTATGCCTGGGACTAGACATTTTAGACTCTGTTATGGATGCCACGAGTTGCGGCAACAGAGCCATGGCCGAGACATGGCTGAATATGGCTTGGTATGTCTGTTCTTGGTTCCTGGTTCCTGCGTCTGATTTGTCTGAGTTTTCCCCGGTCCTGCAGGGTCTCCGTTTTGACGTTGAAGGCGCTGATTCGATTGTCAGGGTCCCGCCTGTTGCGTATAGTAAAAGCAAATCGACCTGAATGTCAACGACGATGGCTTGCCTACTATTCCTGTTGTAGAGATCGGCAAACAACTTGACCATGATCAGACGACAATGATGAAAGACCCTTGACAGATCACTAGATCTGCAACAATGTCGTTTTAGTCTCTGCCCAGATATCCAAGACATCGCCGATGCCTAGCACCGTACCTGCATATTTCTGGGTATGACGTTTGAACAATGACATGATCATTACGCTTCTTGGTGGTCCATTGTCCTTGGCAGGGCTCAGCTGGGTTAAGACACTTTGTAACAGAATGAGGCCTTTCCCCAGTATCAACATGATGCCCGTAGGATTAGTATTCCAACATGGCCCAAGCTCTCTTACCTTCGGTCCCGTCCAAATTTGTTACCTTTTCGGGAGCTGTCACCTCTTAGATCCATGGTCTAAGTCTTTCATGCAAATGTTCGCGGAAGAACGGTTCAAGCCTTCTCGCCTCACGGTCCAGTTTAACAAGGTCTCGGACCCTCGCTTAAGGTGCCAAAGAATGCACTGACTCAATGTTGTACTGCTAACGGTAGTTGAGTTGTACCGCTGAGTCGTAGCGTGGTATTCAAGGACAATGCTCCGAAGGGAGAAAAGTGGCTGGTCAGTGCTTGACAAAGGCTCGGTCCATTCCGCTTTGAGGCTCTTGACTTTTGTCGATACCTTCCATTGTTGTTTGTTGTGTTCAACACCAAATGGAATATCACGATCCCTTCATTGCAAGGGATGAATATGCACGAAATGGTGGAGTAAGAGATGATGCAAAGTCAAGGGCAAGTCATCAATGAATGACCCATTGATTTCCTGCAAGTTACCCCTCCATGACTCACCAACAGGGCAGCAACGGCCCACTAAAACTTTTGATCAAGCAGGTGACAATATTCAGGCAATCAGGTTTTCATGAGTACTGCCTGAACTTGGAAACATTCGAGGCTGCGTAGGCTGTTCTCCCACTTCTATGAGATTGATAATTTGAATTAATACTACCATATTTGAAAAACCCTTGAAGGATGTCAAATTGACAATTGAGAGGTGACAGATGTAATATTGAATTGGGTTATTGAATGCCAGTGCCCATATCTTTTTGACAGGCCCCCCAATTAGTCCCTAAAACCCACTGTCTGGCGCTGTAGACCCTTGATAAGATAACGATTTTTCAACCCCGCCACCCCGCGACAACTTCTCAAGGTTGCACAAAAATTCCAACGCCTTCAATTAAATTGAACTATACGATTTTCGCTTTGCTTCCAAGTCTATCGCATTGCAAATCGCAGCCATGGATCCCGCCGCTCCGCACCAACCGCCCTACACTTACACGGCGAATCAGGGCTACGAACAAACCGAAGAGATACCCCGCGAGCTACAGGCCCAAAAAGACGACGGCGCTGCCCTTGCCCAGGAGGACGATAACGACTTTGACGATATCTTTGACGACCAGGACTTTGACGACAATGAGTGGGATGCTGGCTCTGGAGACTTGACCAAGTCTTACAACAGACAGCGCAACACCAACGAAGGCGCTGCTCCTCTTCGTTCAAACCAGCAAAAGCCTACTGCCAACACTTTCGCCAGCGTTGACGACCAAGTCTCAGCTCTTTCTAAGCACGCCGCCAAGATCCGACTCGACTCAGTTAAGCAAGATGGCGGTGATTCAAAGGACAAGGACAAGGCAGACCGCGCCACTAGCGACCAGGTTCTTGACCAGCGCACCCGTATGATTCTGCTGCAGATGATCAACCGCGGTTTTGTCAGCGAAGTCCACGGCGCCATCTCCACAGGAAAGGAAGCCAACGTCTACGGCGCCGTTCTCCACGACGAAAACACAGGCGACGCTACCCAAAGGGCTATCAAGGTCTACAAGACTGCCATTCTGAGCTTCAAGGACAGAGAACGTTACATCACTGGCGAGCACCGTTTCAAGGGTGGCTTTGACAAGGGTAACAACCGCAAAATGGTCAAACTTTGGGCTGAGAAGGAATTCCGCAACTTGAGGAGGATCTACAACTCTGGTATTCCTTGCCCTGAGCCTATCAGCCTTAAGCTTCACGTCCTCGTCATGGGCTTCCTAGGTGACCGCAAGGGATGGGCGTACCCGCGCCTCCGTGACGCTACTCTGACGGGAGACGATGTTGATCAGCAGTGGCATAAGCTTTATGTCCAGCTTCTTGGCATCATGCGCAAGATTTACCAGGTCTGCCGTCTTGTTCATGCCGATTTGAGCGAGTACAACATTCTATACCACAAGGAGAAGCTCTACATTATTGATGTGTCACAAAGTGTGGAGCCGGACCACCCCCGGTCCCTCGAGTTCCTGCGTATGGATATCAAGAACGTGGGAGACTTCTTCCGCCGTAAGGGTGTTGATACCCTGGCCGACCGCGCTATCTTTAACTTCATCACTGCCCCTGAGGGTGCTGTCGAGGAGCCTGAAATGGGCAAGGCTATTGAGATTCTCTACGAGACTCGAGCTGATGATGCTACTGGCGAGGATGCCGCTGCTCAGCAAGAAGTTGACAATGAAGTTTTCAGAAACCAGTACATTCCTCAAACATTAGAGCAGGTCTACGATATTGAGAAGGATGCTCAAAAGGTTGGACAGGGTCAGGGTAACGATCTTGTCTACAGTAACCTTCTGCCAGACCAGGTCATTGCCCCCAAGAAGGCCGATGGTGAGGAGGGTGATGACGACCAAGAGCAAGGTTCCACATCTGATTCAGACGAGGGTGCATCTCTCTCCGGTGACGACTCGGTGAACGAGGCCGACTTCGAAAAGGGTACTCCTCGTGGTCGTCGCTTCGAAGATAAGGACGAGAAGAAGGTTTGTGTTCCATATCTCACCAATGTGACATGAACTTTGCTGACCACTCATCTCAGGCACACAAGCAAGCCGTCAAGGAAGCTAAGCGCGAGAAGCGCAAGGATAAGATGCCCAAGCATCTCAAGAAGAAAATCGTCGCCAGCTCATCCCGTCGCAAGAAATAAGCATCTTAAGCCAACCTTCACACCTCTTGCCATTTCGCGCAAGGGTCCAAAAAGCGCAGGCCAAAGCTCCCAAGCTCCCGAAAACTGACGAGCCTCATCCGGGGAAAGCTGTCAAACTCAACTCTCTCCACATCTCCATCTCTGCCAAGAGACGGGCCACAAAGGAGGCAAAATAAATACAAATCGTCAGAGCTCTCTTTGATCGTTCAGTACGCTGAAAAACGTTCAGATCGCACTAAACCGAGAGGTTACGCAGACCCTACATGAGTGAAAGGGGGAATGCTAAACCGTCTCGGCCGGAGGCTTCTCCGTGGCGACGAATCAATGTCTTCATCATTCGATTGCAGCTTTGCGCCCGCCAGGGGAAGGGGAAAAGGGTTTGGTGTTAGTGTTGACCAAAAAGAAAGGGTTCGAGGCGTTTGGATCGCCGTTCTGGTTCCTGCGTCTCGACGTAACGGTCTGGCACCCGGAATGGAAACAGTCTGGGCAAAAGAGTGCACCAGAACAAAAACAGAAAAGAGAGTAACGACTTGAATATTATGTTGAAATGCCTGATGATTTGTCGCTCAGATATTCTTACATTCAGTAAAAGTCAAGTGCCTTCCCAAGTGCCCTTGCGCCAATATAAAATTCGTTAACATGCAATCTCACCTCATATCCATCATTATAAAAACTTCGTAAGAGAACCTCCGGCTTCAAAAGCACAGACTGCCGAAAGGGATGCCAGACAGGATAAAGAAAGACCCTGTCAACTAAAAGTAAAACTGTTGCTGAGGCTGGCCTGGTGGCGGCTGGGCCAAAAAGTCAAAGTTCAACGAGTCCATTCCCGTGTTCCAAGGGTCTGGTGATTCTAGTGGCGAATTAGCCAAGGATTTATGACAGATGAAAGGAGACATACCACCCCAGATTGATTCGTATAGGTCCATTGGAGCCATGTATTGCGTAGGATCGACGTTCATTGCGTTCATGCTGTCGATGTTGAGGTTTGCGTTAGCCTGCGCCTGCATCTGTTGGCTGTAGGGGAGCCTAGTAGGGACATATTTAGAAACATGTTACATCAGATGGCGAGCGAACAAAGGAGAATACTAACCCAGCAAAGTCTTGAATAGATGCACCCCCGTTTTGCATCTCTGCCATGGCGAGAGCCGCATCCTCACGTGGGTCGGCGCTCTGAGAGACGTTGCGAAACATTGAATTGCCATTTCCGGAATATTGTCCAGCGTTCCCAAAAGGGAACTGGGGCGTCCTGCTCCCGCTGCCGGCGGCAGAGGCGTCACCCTCCTTCTTGAGGTGCGAGGGCACGATAGAGCCGTGGTCATAGATGTTCTTCAGGGCCGTCAAAGCTCTGTAGAGTGGTCCGGAAAGTTCGATATCCTTGTCGGTGGTCATTACGTGAGGCTCCGGGGAGCTAACGTCCTTGGCGGCGGTAGCAGATAGTGCAGCGATTAGATCGCCCTGAAGCTGTCGAACCTCCGGGTCCGTCTTCGTTTCACAAAGTATACCCAGTAGTAAAGCCGATGATAGGCCATGGTACGTAAATGCCCAGCTTCTCGTGGGGATTGCTGACAATTGGTGCATCGCCAAAAACATTCGGACGGTTTCGGTTAGGTTGTCTTTGCAGCGATCCGCTAGCGTCTTTCGCTGCTCAGGCTCGAACTCGCTATCTTTGCGAAGCGCTGGGCGACACGCGACGGAGATGACAAATGATGTATGAAGGCGGATAGCGTAGTGTTGTAGACGGTCGAGCGCTGTCTTGCAATTCTCCTTTACTCGTAATTGTGGTGCGGTGCGGCTTCGAAGGGTCTCTACTGCTTCGCAATCGTCAATGATTTGAGTATATGTCGAGCTCATCATATCATCGGGGTTCAGGCGACGAGAAATGATTTCCATGAGATGGTACATCGTCTCGAGGTATGAATAGTTTCCGTTTGGCGTCGGTGACATGACGGGAATCGGGCAACAAGGGAAGTTCGTCATTGGTGATCTAGCATTGTTAGAGGTGAGCCGTCTCAGAAGAAGAACACTTACCGGTCAAAGGAGAGCGATGTCAAGGTGTCATGCCACACAACACTCCACCATAACCTCCTTCGAACCATTTCCTTCGATTGTGTGTTTGGTGGTGTGCAATCGCGACTTTCGTTGCGCGGTGTTCTGTGCAGACCCAATGATTGGGCAAGCCGACAGGTCAATCCCATCAGCGCCCATGATGCTTCAGCCTTCATATCATTGAGAAGAACAAAGCATGTAAGAAGGAGGGCTTGAATCGAGTCAAACGAGGGTCTATAATACATCAGCCAGAGTCGTGCTGTCAAGTGGCGGACAACAATACCGAAGAAGGAAATTGCCCAATCGGAGAAAATGGAACGATATTTGGATAAATCGCTGGGAGTCTCGCGTGCGAATATGGTAGGGAGATTCGTGGTATTGAGAGCCGACCGCTAAAACAGCAAAGAGTATGGCAAGCCATGATGCTGTGACAGGTTTGGTCGACTTGATTCCGTTTGTCGCATTCCGTGAACGGTCTTCGAGGTAGATCATGAGTTTGCTTTCGAGGTCGTCAATGTCCATCACAAATCCCCAGAAAGGCTGCGGTATTTCCTTGTACGCCCGGAATAGTCTGCAGCTGTCAGCTTACGAATCCGGAGCACCCGCAGATATCGCGAGTGCACTTACTTCATGACCTCGCGGTCGGATGGTAATTCATTTGAGATATCTTGGGTCAGTTTTTGAAGGTGCTGCGACGACATCAACGGGAAAGGTGCCGATGTGTCCAGTCCCAGAATGGACCGCATGTCTTGTCTGATGTCAAGACCTTCGCCACTTTTGTGAACTGGCGAAGACTGCTCGCGCAGTAGGGCGGGAATACTATTCTGCCCAAGATACCGGTCTGGTGCCACTTCTGGCTCATCAATACTTGCTGTGGTGTTGTTAGCCAGATGGTGAGACCGGATTTCCGGATGGTCCTTACCAAGGGCGCGCGGCCAACTATCTTGACGCTCAACCTTACGGATGGCTTCTTCGCGAGGCGCTTCCGAAAAAGAATGCGTCCTCTTGCGATTGACGACAGTTTGGCTGTTTTCTGATGGAGCAGCCGATGCCGACGGCTTGGAAGTTGATGAACGATTGGGCTTATAGGAACATAGCCTAGGGTGCTCCCTCTTGACGCAGTTTTCACACGGTTGTTTGTTGTCGCACTTTACTTTCCGCTGGCGACAAGGCCAACATGCAGTACCTAACGTGATGATAAGCAACAAAGTTCCCGAATTGAGGTTATTCGCAAGACTGTTATCTTACCGTAGCGAACCTTGCGATGAGAATGAATGATTCGATTGGCCTCCTCTGGGGTCAAGTCATCAATGACCACCCGCTCATCTGGACTAGGGTTTTCCGCCATGGTTAAGCGGGTTTTGGGCTCAGAATCGAGCCTCGGAGCCAAACAAAAGTCGCGATAGCAATGGCGAGGTAATGTTATGATTGCAGTTGAGGGTTTACGAATGCCGAACTCCGAGAGTCTCCCATGCGCGATAGCGGGTGAGAGGGGAAAACACGGCGGTGATGGGCGGGGCCGGTTCGGCTTTCGAACGGGTCTTAGTTAAATACAGGCAGGAGGTAGAGAAATGGAGAGATGACTTGGCGGCTGATCTTTTGACCTCTTCATTCTGGTTGGTTGAAAGGGAGGGGAATTGAAGCACGAGACCGGTATTGAAGCCGATGTCCGATAAGACCGGGATAAATAAAGACCGGTTCCGTAGTGGTCAGTTCAACATACCACAGAGAGATAAAGAGGAATTCATGGTGATATCTTCCATTCTTATGGTAAACATGTCTGAAATATTAAATAGCTTATGACTCACATTTAATAGTACTAGGTCTCGCTATTCCGTGCCGAAGTCTCGGTAGTCTCGATCATCTTTTACTGTCGCTCATCTTGAGATCGTCCGTGTCGCACGCTCCTTCCTTTAGGGTAGAGACAAGAAAAACATCACCCATTAAATGCTTTCTCCTCCATATGCATCAGCAATTCCATTCTAACATCAACCATCATATTTCAGTCAATCAAAATGCAATCGGTCTTTTTATCACGCTTTTCTGCTTCTCCTGCTATTCATGTTTATTCCCTTGCTACGCGCAATGGCGCAATGATTCACTGTCGGTCATGTCCAAAATGCTTCCACCATTTCCAAAGACATGGATCCTCCATGGTACTTTGCCCAATCAACATCATTTTGTGATAACGAAATCATTATTGCATTGAACTACATTGGACTTTGATTGCTCGAAGAAGCAATTATTATTATCGAAATACCTTTTTGTGCTACAAGGCTGCCTGGGCATGCGCCTCGGCGGTTACAGAGATCCAGGATCTCAACGCTCGTTTCAATTGATGCGCGCGCACTAAACTAACTCACTCGTTTGCAGCAGAAGCTCTCCCTTACAACAACCGTTAAAACGCCCGACCGTTAGACATTTTGGCTTTTGGTTCGCAACTGGCGCCGGTCGCCATGTCCGCCATCATCTCTTCAACTAAAAAACTACAAGCCAAAGAGGAACTCGACAGAGCAATCCGCTCCATCAGCTCAGACTTTCAACTCCAACTCCAAATCCCTGATCCGACGCTGTCGCCGAGTAAGCGCCAGCTTCAGCGACGGTCTGAGGACCAGGAAAGATGCAATGCGATCTACTATCGCGCGCAATTCCTTAAGTTTAAAGATCCAAATCGACTCTCCATATGTTTCACTCGCTTTCGCGAACAAGCCGATGAGCACCTCACCAATTGGATTCGAAAGCCCCGCGCTGACCTAGACACGACCCCGATAAAGAGATCGTATGGCGACCCACATCGCCAAAGTGCACGCTTGACCTCAGAAGAGCGGGGCCAGCTTCAGGAGTTGTTATTGAGGCTGCTGAGGGACGACAACATCGCCAGCCAACCGCGATCAAAAGCGGCGAAGCGAAGGTCCGACGACGAGTTTCCAGATCCCTTTTCGAAAAGGAGCCGCAACTCTTTCGACGGTTCCCCAGCATGTGACAGCATTGACGACATCCCAGTCCGCTCTAGAGCCGTGGACTCTAGTGGTGTGCCTACGGGACGGCCCGCTCGTCGGTCAGGTACGGCGTCATTCTCCAATGGCGCTCCAAGTGCCGTCACATCATTTAGCAGCACACAACCTCAATCTTTATCTTTTGGCGCTGGATCCTTGAATTCCAGCAAAGTTTCTTTGGCACCATCAATTTTCTCTGCAACCACAAACCGTGCACCAAGTACTCAAACCACGGTCTTGTCGAATTCTTCCTTTAAAGGTACCGGTCCAAGAACGTCTTTCCAGTCCAGTCAACCCAATTACAGGACATACCAAAAGTCTGCGAAAGACTTCAACGGCTCGTTCTCTCAGAGAATACAAGAATTTGAGTTCAAGCCCCAAATCACGACTGAGCGCAATAGTGTTGACCCAACGAAGTCATCCTCATTTAGACAACATGAGTCTCGAATGTCGCCCGAGCCCGAGCTTGAGCCTGATATGTCGATCGATGAGCCCAAGCTACCTCCTTTGGAAACGCCCCAGCCTATGAGAAGTCAGCAATTTGATGTAAAGCGAAGAGAGACTATCCGGTCTAGCAGCCCTGCGACAGCCTACTCTAGCCTTCCTGAGATGAACGAACTGGATTCGCTACTTCTTGATGGCTCCAACTTTGATACGACACCCTCATGCGAACTGACAAATCGTCTGCGAAATATTTGGCCGAGATTTCCCATCCCTGGATTGAACCAGGCACCTTTGATCATTTTATGGGAATTGACTCGTGCTGCGCTTCACTGCCGTGTGGACTTGTCTGGATGGGATCTCGAATATAAACCCGATCAAACTTGGCACGACCAGAACAATTTCCGAAATCTGATCTTTCGACATCGGCTCTTTATCGGAGCTGGCCTACCTGCGCCTTGTGATCGGGCTGTATGGAGCGCAGCATTTGGGTCATTCACTTCATACGACAAGACTGTTGTTCTTGCCGCCGAGTTTGTTGCCAATCCCGAGGACTCTGGCCCCCTGTACATGCTCAAGCTCCAGGCTCCTCGTCTCGAGCTTGGCCACCGACTTGCTCGCCGCTTTGGTGCGGACCGGTTCATGGAAATCATTATGCCATCTCCCACTTCTAGAGATGCTCCTGAGGCAATTAAAAAGGATGGGCAGGGTCCGGACAAGGTTATCAGATGGTTGAACGACAATCCTCACTACTTTCTCGGTCGATTTTGGGCACCATTCTATAACCGCCAGGCCAAAAAGTGTATCAAAGATCCCAAACCTCCCCATAAACCGCTTACCATCATGCAGGAGCGGGTGTATTTCTTCGCAACTGATGGTAACAACTTCCGACTGCCCGAAAGCCAGTTTCCACCGTTGGAAGAAGCAGTATCTTTGGCATACCGTACGAAGATGCGGCGTTCCGATCTCCTGAATTGGGCCGTCAATATTGAGGAAAACGCGGAACAGGCTGTACCAAAACTGTTCTCGCGACTTGCTCTCAGTAAGTTCCCGAATTGGTCCACGAATCTTCTGACATTGGTCTAGGTCTCAGCAAAACATGTCCCACCATCGTCCTTGAACCTCACCAATTCCGTCATCGCGATACAAAGCTAGGCTTCCACGATCTCATGAGCATCAGTGAAAAGAAAGCGCAAGAGGATATGGGCGACGGTATCGCCAGAATGTCACGAGGTTTCGCACGCAAGGTCGCGACCCATCTTGGTCTATTGGAAACACCATGCGCGTTCCAAGCTCGTATTGGCAGTGCCAAGGGGATGTGGATAGTCGATGTTGAAGATGACGGCTCGGATGACGGCGTTTGGATTGAGACATATCCCTCCCAACGCAAGTGGATTTGTGCGTTTGAGGACATCCACCATAGGACGTTCGAAGTTCGAGAATGGTCCAGAGAGCTCAAGTCGGCCTCGCTCAACACGCAGTTCATACCAGTCCTTGAAGCGCAGGCCCCAAATCCTAGCGACATGCGAAGCATCATCGCCAATCATCTGGCCAGTGGGCTTCAAGAGGAGATCGGAGGTCAGCTTGCAGCCATGACACACCCTACCAACCTCCGTGGTTGGTCGCATCGTCGTTTTGATCGATCGACCCTGGGTCAGGTTCCATTTCAGGGAGGGTTGCCACAACGTGACGAAGATACAATTTCGTACATGCTTGATGCCGGCTTTGATGCTACCAAGTGTCGTTACCTGCGAGATCTTATATGGAACAACCAGAGGAGACAGGCCGAACTGCTCAAAGCAAAGATGAACATCAAGATCCCCCGATCGACATACGCTTTCATGGTGGTGGACTTTACCGGCACATTGGAGGAAGGTGAGGTGCAGCTAGCATTCTCTTCCAAGTTCCAAGCCGACGGCGAGTCAGATACTTTGTTGGATGACATTGACATCCTGGTTGCCCGAGCCCCAGCCCATTTTGTGAGCGATGTACAAAAGGTCAGAGCTGTGTTTCGACCGAATTTAAAGCGGCTCAAAGACGTCATCGTGTTCTCTTCCAAGGGCAAATCACCTCTCGCTGACATGCTCTCTGGCGGTGACTACGATGGTGATCAGGCTTGGATTTGTTGGGACCCTGATGTCGTTCGCAACTTCAGCAACGCAGAGAAGCCCATTGAACCAGACCTCGTCGGACAGGGGTATCTTCGAAAGAGTAACCCAAGCTTTCAGTCACTTCTGGAAACTACACCTGATCTGGAGAGTGCATGCACAGACTTTTTACGCTCGGCGATCTCGTTCAACATGCAACAGACATTTTTGGGCATCGCGACCAAGTTCAAGGAAAAGCTCTGCTACTACGAAGGAGGAGTCAATAGTGAGAAAGCTGTTGCTCTCAGCACGTTGGTCGCTCTACTTGTTGACCAAGCCAAGCAGGGCTTGCTATTCAGCCGCGGAGACTACGATCGATTGAAGCGAGATATGCAGATGCGCGGAAAGGATCCAGAATACGAGAACGAACGAAGCTCTGAGCGGAACTACAAGAGAAAGGATGGGTCAATTCACATCCTCGACTTTCTAAAATTTGTGGTTGCTGAAGATACGATAGGGAACGCTTTGAAGCAATTCTATGATGCTCTTCATGTTCCCAGTGTCCAGGCCTGGGATACCGATCTAGCCCGCCTCTTCAACGAATACAATGATCAGAAGAAAACATCTAAGACAATCACAAGGCTTATGCAGGACCTCGTCGCGCAGGTGGAATCTATCACCAAGGAATGGAAAGTCTCAATGGCAGGAGGCAAAAATGACAGCACGAGCAACGAGGTTGCCGTCAAGATCAAAGAGCTGCATCAGAAATGGTCTTCGTACAAGCCATCCGCTGCCTTGATGAGTATGCGAGTCGTTGAACCGCTACTCGATCACTGGAATGGTGATCCAGATTTGAGCAAGTGGGAGCTACTCAAAGCTTCAACCATGTTCAAGCTCAAGTATAATGACGCATATGTCATGGTTTGGAAGCTCGCAGGAAAGCAGTTGGCGTGGATGAAGGCGACGATGTCGCGCGGAGTATCTGACGCGAGCGCCATTGCCGTGACGGCTGAGATGTGGAGTATACTCCGTCCTGACACTAAGCGCATCGCTGCTCTTCATGCTCAAAGACAAATTGGACATGACAACGAGAGTTTGTCAGCTTTGGAAGAGGTTACTGAATACGATGAGACGGGGACGCAAATTGACGATGCTTAGAAACGCATCGATTGGAATCCTTCTATGTTCTCAGGCGTGAAGGCTTCTAGGCGGCTGAGGTCTTGACTAGACGCTATACATAACGAATGAGGAGCCATGAAAGGTGACACCGTCCCTGCCGATGCTTGGAATTGGGATCCAGAGACGGGAGGAGTTCTGGTTGGGGTGGGATTTGCAGACTCGCCGTGGTCATGGTGCATCTCGGACATACTATTGGCAATAGGGAAGATCGGGGAGTCGAGATGGTTGGGTCACATTTCCGACAGATGCGTTGGATATGGGGCCTTGTATTTGCTTGGATGTGTTTGATACCCAGGTGTGTTTTAATATATTCGCAGTTCACTAGCTTTTTACACGAGTTTCTGAAGACAGCTTCTGTTGACCTTTGGCTTTATTACCACACTTACCGGGCTTGTCTGACGGTTTTGGAACCCGATGACGGAATGGTAGCAACGGGAAGAAGAGGGTCATGAGGTAGACAAGAGGCACTCGTTTCTGAACTCACAAGAATAAAGCTTCAGTGAACTTTTGCACTTCAGATTATGATTCAATGGACTAATTGTGGTGAAACCATGAGATGATCTTATAATGCATTAACTAATATACAGCTCCATGAGTTCATAATCATTACCACCAACTCCCGCTGATGCAGACTCATATCCTAATCATAATTCATTACACACAAAAGAACTCGCGCCTCATCGCAATTCCTCGTTTTGATCGCTGGAACAATCAGAGCCACTGCACGGCTCAACCTTAATCGAAGAAAGAAAATCTCTGACAGGGCTGACAATAACACCCAACAACTCCTCCTCATCACCAACACCGGAGAAAATAGGAGTAAGCTTGCGACTCATATCAGAAGCAACATCCGAGTCGATAGTGATAATACTATCGAGTACGTCGGTGAGCATGTGCGCTGCGCGTGATAACGAACGTCCTCCCTCTGCACCGCCCAACGTCTTGACGTAATCTTTGGTAGTGTCGAAGAACACGTTTGTGATCGTGTATACATCATCGATGATTATCTGACGCTCTTTGGACGTAAAGTCCATTTTGGAAGCGTTGTCGAGACGGGAGACTGTTTTGGAGAGGAGCGTTCTGATGATGTCCATTGAACGCACTGTGGCGACGGTAGCTTCGTGAGTTAACCCTTCGAACTGGGCTGCTTTTACAGCAGTGTCTACACACGTCAGTAACCATTCAGTATGTCGAAACGGTTTTGAACTTACGGATGTCATTGCACTCCGTCTGGACACGCACAGCGACAAAGTCCATGAGTTTAAGGACATCGTCATGGTGTACACTCGCTCGTTGAAAACGATCCGAGACAGCGCGGGGCACATTCTTTGAAGCCTTGGGGATAGTTACGCCGACGCGAGGAGTAAAGTTGAGTGGCAAAGCACGGGAAATGGCAATGGGAATTGCCAAGGTGGTGCTTGTGAGAGAAGCGATGATGAGTGTTGAGAACTTCATCTTGAGGTAAGGACTGAGAAGAAGGGAATACAGAGCAGACCAGCGCTGAAGAGATGTGAAGCTGGATAGGATGTAGGACCTTGTATTTATCTCATGTCTAGGTGGCTTCGATCGAGAGATCAGCGGAGGCACTCAAAGCTTATCTTGCTACACAAAGCTTAACGGGAATATTTGGTCCTCAGAAACCCTTCACTGGCATTCCTTGTTTCCGGCTAAGGCACGGGTGGACACAATACTTCAACGTCGAGATTGGCCAGAGCTCCTTTTACTCCGAGTTGAGGTTGTAAGGCTGTTGGTTCCTGGCATTTTTGACAGGAGAGATCGGCATGGCTTGAAATAAGATTTTGAGGTTAGACTTGGGCTAGGTGGATGGGTTGTGTAACGTGAGCTATTTCTGATTGAACTGGGAATAATATTTCTTTTCTAATACTCTCTTTAAAATGTCTTGTGTCTTAATCCATGGGTTTGGAGCCGCTTTGTGTGTGATGTCTTATACATGTCTCATCCATACTGTCAAAACGGTGAGCGAGTCTCATGCAACCTGAACCAAATCACCCGTGTAAAATCCGTATAAAGTTAAGCTTTTGCAGTGACACATCCGCAGTGGGTCACCAACCAATAGAATCAGGTGACAGATAAACGTCTTTTCACATTCCCATGACCGTCGATCTGCACTACCGCATTTGGGCCAGCCAGCATTCCTTGGCATGCTCTTCAACAGGCTGACTGTATGTTTCAGACAGAAATTGCATCACGGATCTCGGAACTATCGGCAGGACTGAACCTGTCAGATGATAGATAATGAGGCTGATTCTACTGCTGCTTTGGGTGTAGTCAAGCTTGTTCCTGAGTACGGCGGCCGCCAGCAGTGATTGATCACTTTGTTGTACAGATAAGCTTTTCGTATTCCGGGGTTTTGGACTTTTTGGCATATCGATGATGTTATCATGATGGGTTAGAGTTTGGTGGTTTTGGAGAGAGTGCATGAGGAGTTGGTGTGATGCCACGGCTCTACATATTCCGCGCCTCCATCATCAGGTGATCATAAGTGGTTACACATATCAGGAAGACCTTAGGATCAAAGGTATCTATTTTCATCTGTTGGGAGGCAATGAGAGTTGTGAGATGTGTAAACTCTGCACAGCTGGGGCATAGGAGAGATATATATACCATAAGAATTTAACCGGAAGACAGGCTGATTGATGAGTGCCTAGGCTGGTGTAGTGGTGTGGCAGTACTGTCAGTCACCTGACAGATTGGATATGCATCTCGTTGCAACCCTCTCGATTCCTAATTAGATGCCATATGAGTAGGTGCATGATAGCTGAGCGGCGCAGGATATTCCCACCAACACAGGAACTCATTGATGGTGTTAAGAAAACGCTGTGACAGAGTCTCTCAACACCGACCCGGCTCGATTAAGTACTGGGCGTCGCTACCTTATAACCCGTTTCCTACTGTACTACACATATCTCTACAGTACCTTTTGAATAAGATGATTGGCTACGGATGACACAATAGGTATGTGGTTCCTGAGGCGTAAAAGGCAGGGCTTCTAGTATTTGGCGTTACCTGGTTTTGACACTGAATGAGGACGGTAGTGTCCAGGGGGAACATTCCGAATACAGAGCCACAAGCCATCCGGAATCACTTGCAATCACAGACTTCACAATGAAAAGACACAAAACAGATTCCTCAAATATCTCACAGTTGAGTTAAAGTACCCCCACAGGAGGCTACTCAGAACTAAATATCTACATCAAATGAATAAACACCCCCTTTTTTCCCAAACCTATATAAACTTGAAATTGGTAAGGTTGGATACTAGAGCGGATGAAAGCGCTTAGTACTCGTCGTTGTAGTCACCCTCCTCCTCGGCAGGGCACTCCTCATCGTCACCGTCCTCGGCGACGGGCTCCTCATCCTCACAGTCCTCGTCATCGTCGTTGGCGACGGGCTCCTCCTCGTCCTCGCAGTCCTCATCGTCATCGGCAACAGGGGCGGAGGTGGGCTGGGCAGCGCCAGAGTCAGCAGAAGAGCTGATGGCGACGGCCTGGAGAGTGGTGGCAGCGGGCTTCTCAGCGGCGGCAGTGGTGGCGGGGGCCTCCTCCTCGTCATCGCAGTCCTCGTCGTCCTCCTCGGCGGCGGGGGAAGAAGTAGCGGGGGCCTCGGCGCCGGAGCTGGCAGCGGGAGCGCTGGGGGCAGGGGCGGGAGCAGAGCCGGAACCAGCGCCGACGGTGAAATCAACACAGGACTCGTAGGTCTGGTCGATATCGGGAGCGTCCCAGAACCACTGGAGAACACAGTCACCAGCCTTGGTGCAGTCACCGCCGAGGCTCTCGGGGAGAGTGACGCTGAAGGCAGTGTTGTTCTTGTCAGTGCCAGCGTTGGAGGCGTAGTTCTCGAACTCGATGAGAGGAGTGCCAATCATGGTGTCAGTGGAGGTCTTGACAACAGAGACGTTGGCGTAACCGGTGTGGGGAGCGGCAATGTTGATCTCAAAGGGGATCTTCTCGCCGAGCTTGAAGCTCTGGACATTGTCCTTGTTGTCGTCGAACTGGAAACCCTTGCAGAGCCAGAGGTTGCAGTTGGCGGCATCGAGGTCCTCGCCGACGACCTGCTTGATGCCCTGGACGTTGCCGTTGATGTCGGAGCTCTGCTGGTTGAAAGGCTGGTCACCGCAGGCGGCCTTGTAGGCGTCACCGGGCATACGGGGAGTAGGGGACTTGATGAAGCCGTGGGCGGCGACAAGGGGGAGGAAAGCGAGGATACCGGCGGCGTTCTTCATTTTTGCGGTAGTGTTGTAGATAAAGTAAAACTGAATAGTTGTTTGTTTTTTTCGTGGAGTGTCTCTAGGACCAGATAATTGTATAAAGAGTGAGTAAAAATATAACGGCCGTCAAGGCTCGAAACGAAAGTGATAGATTGAAAGAGAGTGGAAAGGTAGTGAAAAAAGAATGTCGAATCTGGTCCTTCGAGGTCCGTGAAAGAATAGAGGCTGAGAGGGAAAGAGAAGTGCTACGAAAGAGAATGGGAAAAGTCGATATATACTTGAGACTCGTTCTGAGAGACAGGGTTTAGAGGAGAGGAGGATCTGATACTACCTTCTCGGCGGACTCAAGCGAGGCGGTGGGCCAAAGCCTGGGCCTTGTTCGCTCCGTAGTCAATCTCGTTGATGAACCCTTGTCTGAGGGGCCGAGGGCCACTTCTCAACGGCGGCAATAGAGGAGTTTATACACGGATACTAGGAATTACAAGCGCCGGCCGAGAGACGGATATCATGATCTATGAATTCTGAGGCTATCACCATCAACTATTCTCATCTTCATGTTGATTCATTGTAAGTTCACTTATTGTATAGTAACATCCACGATATAAACACTGTTTTGCCCATCAAACCATCCCATACCATCTGTTTCCAAACGTCAAAAGAAGCAAAACATCTCAACCTTGTAAAATGCACCGTTGCCAAGGCCCGACTTCACCGGAATTCGAAGCTCGCACCACGAACCAAACAAAGAAGATTCGTCCGGCGTTCTTGACCCCCCACTTTCTACCGCTGCAGGTACAAGACGTTAGCCCCTGTCAAGTTTGGAGCCAGCGCAAGGGGCAGACTTTTGATTGGTGGAACTTATAAGGTTGATGTTTGAGCCTCAAGACAACAATGACAAGAGAGGGGAGAAAAGAAAAGACTGGAGAATGGTACAACTGTCCGCCGAGATTTAATTAATTAAATATAGTGAAGGGAAGGATTCTTCCGTCTAAGCGATTCGCTTACGATATTGCTTCGATCGATCTTGAGTTACCATAACTCTACTAGTTAACCTTCTAACTCTATCATTAACAACTCATCTACCCTTTAGCAATAAACTATATCTCTATAGTGTTGACTCTTTACTGTCATCATGTCAAATCATTAACCCTCTCTGTAAGCATAAACCATCAAAAATCCTACCCGCTATATCCCTGCCACACCCCTGTATCCCCCTCTGAACAAACGATTTTCATCCATGGAAAAACTATCACCCCTGTCACCCTTCAAAACTCGAAACCCGTCTCCGACAAAACAACAGCTGTCCGTGTTTCAGGATGATATGCGGCCAAGGCAGGGCATAATCTCCTCTCCCTCGCTCGTGCACGCATCGCATGCATCATGGCAAAAATATCATTCGTTGTCTTGTTCCACTGTCAGTTCGTCCCTGGTTATCCTCGGAAAACGGCAGATAACCGTGTAAACCATCCATGATCATCTCATCTTGGCACTTAATTTATTCTCGGCTTTCACCATCGCATCACGATCAGTTCAAGGTCAAATCTTAGATGTAACAATTCTCCGTAAATTCATTATGCTGCTAAAAACCTCTTTTCATCCTCAATGCTTCTCGAATAGCTATTACAATCATATGTGTGCATCCCATGTCGAAACGTACAAGCACATAATCTCCAATTCCCATCCAACCTTGAGCAAATGCATCGGTCGCTATATCGTCATCATGATCCCATCGTCAAACAAACGTCAAACAGAACAATCAGCCACTAAGAGGCCGGATATCTAGATACAAATAAAGTTGTGCTGTGAACTCACGCCGCATACATGCATGCATGATCTAGATGGGCTCATCACGAGGCTCAATAAGCACCTCGTTGACAGCGACGTGAGGGGGTTGACACACAGCGTACACAATAGCGCTGGCCACCTCCTCGGGCTTCAGAACCTCGGCGCCTGTAGGCTCACCGTACTTCTTGAGAGCCTCCTGGTCAGTCGACATGCCCAACAGGTCTGTGGCCACATTTCCGGGCTGCACAGCTGTGACCCTGAGACCAGAACCCGCTGTCTCGAGACGCAGCGCCTGAAGTGTTGCCTCAACAAAGAACTTGCTGGCAGAGTAAACGCCCAGACCAGGGAACACCTTGCGTCCAGCATCGGAAGAAATGGCCACAATGTGTCCAGCTCCACGGGATAACATGCCCGGGACTGTTGATGACAAGGCGTTCAGGAGGCCCTTGCAGTTGACATCGACTGTGCGCTCCCACTCATCCGTCTGGTTGTTGGCCATCATGGTAAAGTACATGACGCCCGCGCAGCTGACCAGGATGTCGACAGGGCCGAGCTGCTCGCTTGCCTCCTTCATCAGGGACTCCACCTGGTCCCTCTTTGTGACATCGGTCGGGTGGATCAACACCTTACCACCGTAGACGCTAATCTTCTTCTTGACGCCTTCCAGAGCATCGGCCCGTCGAGCCGCCACGGCCACATGGGCGCCCTCCTTGGCAAGGCCAGCTGCCACTGCGGCGCCAATTCCAGAAGAAGCGCCAGTCACCACCGCAACCTTGCCTGCCAGGCGACCCTTGCGCACCTTCTTGGCACAGCCGTTGACCTGATCCCGTCGAGGAGGTCGAGACAACCAACCACGAGCATAGAAGTGTCGCATATAGATCTCGAGAAGACCGTCATTCATCTTGGGGCGAGGGACGTTGTACTTGTCAAGCGTAGGCTGTGTCTTGCCATCCTTGAGCACAATGACCGACTTGAGAACCTCAACGCTAGGCATACCACCTCGGAGAATATCGACAGTAAAGGGGTCATCGCCGGTCCTCTTGTTGCCGCGCTTCTCCCACCAAAGGGCAACCCAATCGTCCCAAGCTAGAGGCTCAGTAGAGTAGCCCAGCTTGGCCAGAGAGGCAAACAGGTCCTTGGAATCAACAGGAGCGGGGTCGCCGAGATGGTATAGAGTTTGCTCAGTGTCGTCGGTGTGGTTTGCGAGAGTGACAATGGCATCACTGACAAAGTCAACAGGAGTCATCTCAACATACCAGCCCTCGACATCAGGAGCGCGTCCGAGCTGAAGTGACTCCACGACAATAGCATTGATCAAATCCCAGGCGTTGGTTGAACCGGATACACTGTGGCCGCTGATGGTACCAGGACGGTAGACTCGCACAGGAATGCCTCGGCGGCTGGCCTCGTCGACAAGCTTCTCAGCAACCCACTTGGTCTGGCCGTAACCATCAAGCAACTTGGTAGGGACGTCATCAACATCGATGACAGTGTTCTCACACCAACCAGTGCGGGAAGGTGGAAGCACACCGTTGGTAGAGACGTGGTGAACAGTAGCACCGCTGCGACCAGCAAGACGAAGAATTTCTCGAGTACCGTTGACGTTGGCGTTTCGGAGGGCAGCGTAGGGGTAGACCAAGTTGACAGTAGCAGCAGAGTGGACAATGACCTGAACGCGAGTGGACAGCTCGTCAAAAACGTCAGGAGAAAGACCCAGGCGCTTTCTGGTAAGAGTACCGGGCAAGATCTCAATGCGCTCCAGGAGGTAATCCTCCCAAAGTCCAAGGTCGATCAAGTTCTTTCGGATACGAGCCATACCGGCAGGTGCACAGTCTTCCACGGGCTCGGGGAATCGCACAAGACAGATAATCTGTGCGTCGGTAGAGTCGACCAGCTTCTTGAGAAGGAAAGCACCTAGGTAACCAGTAACACCGGTAAGAAGGATAGTCTCGGCATCTCTGAGAGCACGCATAGGAGTGCCGTTGCCCTGGATATCTTCAGGCAGAACAGAGTCTGCGCGAAGAACAGCTGGCAGGTCAGCCTGCACGGCGGCGGTATGACCATCGCGGGCTGCCTTGATGGCTGCAACATGGCCTTCCAGAGTAGGGTTTCCGGCAAGAGGAGCCAGAGGAACAGGGAAACCAAAGGTCTTTGTGAGACGTCCAGCAAGATCAGCAAGGGCCAAAGAGTGACCGCCAAGATCGAAGAAGTCGTGCTTTGGTGTGATGACATTGGCGGGCATGTTAAGCGAAGCAGCCCACAACTGGATGACAGTCTCCGTCTTGACCTTGATGTTTTGCTCCTTCTTGGGTGCAGGTCTGGGCGATCGCGGAGATGGTGGTGCGGGCAGAGCCTTGAGGTCTGTCTTGCCGGAAACTCCATGTGTGGGTAGCTCATCCACTTCAACCCAGACAGAGGGAATCATGTAGTGCGCAAGATGGTCAGTGAGAGCACGTCGAGCAACGGGACTGTATCCGTACTCGTCGATAAGGGGAATGGTTCGGTCGCGAGATTCACCCTGCTCACGGACGATGTAGGCAACGATTTGTCGCTCCAGGCCTTCGCCGTGAGCTACAACCGCACAATCGCGGACAGCAAGATGCTTTCGAATGGCACTCTCGACAGCACCAGGCTGGACAGTGTAGCCACGAGTCTTGATCATACCACCAACTCGGCCAGTAATCTCCAAAAGCCCGTTGTCGAGAATGCGAGCCAAATCGCCAGTGCGGTACATGCGCGCGTCCTTTTCTCCAGCGAAGGGGTCCATTTGGAAAGCCTTGGCCGTAGTTTCGGGAAGGTTAAGGTATCCTCGGGCCAGAAGGTTACCACCGACGTAAAGCTCGCCGCTCACGCCAGGGTTGACTCTGTTGCCAGCCTCATCGAGAACGTAGGTGTGTTCAGGGTCTGTGAGTTGACCTACAGGGCACACTCGGGTCTCGAAATCGACAAAAGTCTTGATGTCGCCAACAGCAACCTCGTGGGTCTCGCAGGCGCTGTAGACGTTGAGAAGGCGTGTGTCGGGGAGAGCATCCATGGCACGCCGAACAAGGTCAGTAGTAACGACCTCACCATTCAGCCAGAGTGAGCGGAGGTCAGGGAGCTGCTGACCGAGCTTGGGGTGTCGAGAAAGAACTGTGGCCAAAAGTGTGGGAGTCATGAGGGTATCGGTGATGCGCTTTGAAGAAAGAAGCTCAACAAGAGCAGTAGGGTCGTAACTGGCGTGATCGGGGATGGCAACAGTGGTGGCACCTCGAATGAGAGGTCGGAGCATCTCCCAAATGAAGAAAACATTGCAAGCCACTCTGTCGCCGGGCTTGAGGTCGCTGACGGCGAATCTCAAGTCGTAGGAGCGAATTGCGGCTCTGTGGGGGTTCATGATACCCTTGGGCTTACCAGTGGTACCAGAGGAGTAGGCGACAAAGAGCAATCGCTCAACATCGTCATCTTCGGGAAGTGACCGTCTCTCGGTCAAATGGGGTGAAGACTCTCCGCGCTCCTGCTTGTCGAGGCTGTCGACAACAATGACGGGAGTTTCAGATGTGAGGTTTTTCGAGTGCTCAACTTGAGTGAGAATGACAGTTGGCTTTGCATCTTCGATAACATCTCGTAGCAGGCCAGGAGGGTAAGCGACCTCGAGCACCAAAAAGGCACCACCAGCTCGGAGGGTAGCCAGAGCGGCGATAACGTAGTCGGCACTTCTACCCATGAGAACACCAACCAGATCATCACGACCAACACCGTAGTCACGTAATCGCTCAGCTAGAGCCCAAGTTTCTCTGTCGAGCTCTGCGTATGTGAGGGATCTGTTCTCATCCTCAAGAGCCACAGCATCAGGGGTGGCTGAGGCCTGCTGCTCAAAGAGAGCAGCGAGGTCCTTGTTGACATCAATAATCGTCATGATGCCAGATGTGAATGAAGAGTGAAAGAATGAGAGAGGGGAAGGATCTCAATGGAAGAGGACAGAAGGCGAATGAGTCGGTTTAAAGATAAAGATGGCAAGAGCGGTGGGTGGGTCACGCGACCAGTCTGCAGAGGTCGAGACGAGACTAGGAGGAGATGTCGGTGACGGGTCCGGTAATATTCCAGGCAGAGCCGGGGCAGTCCCCAACAATAATTATTAGGTACCGTACGCGGCTGATTAGGTACGAAGGCGGAGTGGATGAATCCTTTTCTGGGGGCTCGGAAAGGGCTAATTTTGGAGAGTCAAGCCGAGGGTGAATGGAGCAATAGACGGCTGCTTTTCGTCGTATTGTAAAACGAGTTGGCCTCAAGTTTCCGTATTTTGAGGGTCTCGCGGGGTCAAATAAGGTAGAGGTGTCTGTGCAGCAACATACAAGCTCCAACCTCAAGAAAATGACACGATGGAAACACTGAAGGTGCAGAGGGTATCAGACTTGTGAATAGAGAGAGAAAATATGTAAAACTAGGACAAATGGAAGAAGAGATTCCCTTTTTATCTTCAACAACTGTACATCACTGTCAGGGCGGTGCCAATTGACATGACCCCCCACGAAGAATTGAAAGTTAATGATTGGGCTGAGGCGGAGCTATACCGCCAGATCTAGGGACTTTTCAGGCATAGCTGCCCGCCAATTTTGGGACCTGGAGGGGGAGGGGGAGAGGAGAACGACTCCATCATGGTTCTGGAGAAGTGTCAACAAGATGAGTTGAGATGTTGATGCCATTGTTTCTCCAATATTGTGGTTTCTATGACAGTATTACTTCTGTTCAAAGATGTCACAGTCACTCTTGTATACAGCATCTTGAAGAATTTTAATCCCTGTCGATCGAAACACAAAGGGGCTTTTTAACCAAACAGCTGGGCCACTTTCACGTGCTAGAAACATTCTTCTGGTCGCTACAGCACCCCTGCCAAAGTGGTGGAGCGCCAATCGGAGCCGTTTCTCAGGACCGTTGTAGGGTAATCCTAATCTCAATTGTACGTTAAGTTTGAAGTTACGACAACTCGAATCAGACAGCCAGAGTAAAGCAATACCAGATCAAGTGCTTACAGTTCACATTGGTTCTGTGTTTCTGCCTCAAGTAAATGTAAACCGGTAAAATACAGAGGCAGAACAGCTCTATAGAGCAACGATATGCACAATGTGCTAATCCCAGCCATCAACTGCAATCGCCCCCTCACAATCAAGTCACCTACATATCAATTGCGGGATTAATTAAGAATGGTGACTATTTTGGTTACTTCTCACGCGAGAACATGTGGGAACCGTCACATTCTTTCGGATCTCGCAGGGCAGAACGTCGTCAACTGTTCTCCCCGTTACCAGATGTTATCACCTCAAGATGGCCTTTTCTCCCAATTCTTGCCACCAGACTTCACAAAAGTCCCATCTCGTAAACCACAAACTTTGCCAACTCATCATTTCCTTTTTAACCACAAATCACAAGTCTTTTGAGCCCGGAGCATCGCGATTCTCCCCGTGGACTTTTCTCTGATTGGCGCCGACGACCCGACCGGACCATCGCCGCCACCGTCGCGCATTGCCCTATTGATTCTCGTGCATGACGCTCGGGGAGTCTGTTTCTTGGAGGGCTGGCGAATGGGAGGGTCTGGTGGTGAGCTTGTTTCGGGGCGAGGCATTCTTGGCTCTGGAGGGGGAGGGGATTGTGGGTTTGTTCCCATGTCTTGTGGGCGGGGAGTTGAGTAAAGATGACGCGGATGTCAATTAGTACTGTAACTGTAGATGATTCTCACCAGTAGACAAGAGAAGGAATTGAGGAGGGTTGTATCTGAACGTGGGCGTGCTGCATGTCTGCCCTGGCATTGATGGTGTTCCATTTTCCATCCAAAGAAGCTTACCGCTTGGCAAACGACGTCAGCCACATCTTTAAAGAGCCTTTAAAGACCAATGGCGTCTTCTAGACCTCGAGCAAAGATTTTCAGTCGTTATCACTGGTCTGTTGCGCGAAACCTCATTGATTCACCGAGCAAGAATATGTCATGCGGTAAGCTTTCGTAGGATTTCAGCGATCTTTTGAATCATTGTCCTTTTTGCTGTTTCCTGAAGCTGGGTAAAGAGGCACGTTGCGCAACGTTTCGATCGGTACCTAGCCATCCATTCGGCAAGCCACAAAGTCACAAAGTCAATGGCAGCAGTTTCGACTACAGAGCTAATGAGATCACTCGATGTGCATGTCTATACCCAAGACGAAATCACCATTAATGTGCCAATTTACATAGCAACTCGGTACTGGCAAGGCAGCCGGGTAACTTGACTGACTTTAGTGCTGTACGGAGTTGTATTCCGGGCGATCTACAGGCTGATGCGCAACAGCGGCTTAATTAAACAGGCAGTCCCTGGCAAAGAACCATCAATTTTCCGCAATGGAACGGGCACAATTGAACCATTAACACTCTAATTATAACCATAGAAAAGCATGTTAATCCGGCCCCGCTCCTCGTGTCATTCTTGACAATGTCTTGTCAAAAGATAAGATAAAGAGCGAAAAAGACCCACACAAAAGACGCCCTTTGTCATGTCTTGTCATTTCTCGCTGGGTCCCGTCATGTCAAAACACAACGCCCTTTGCCATGTCTTGACATGCTGCTAACAAAAAATTACCAAATAATTTGATGCTTTATGCGGGAGAACTCCCTAAATCGTGGTGCTATCCCACGGCCCGTCCGCCGCTTGACGTAAAATAAATTCATCGTATGTCGCGGTGAGCTGACGCTCTGCCATATTAAATGACCCTGCCCCTTTCCCCTGGGCTTCGTTTTGTTCTTCGTTTCTACTACTATTGGGATGTTTGCTTTCCTTCACCCTGGCGACGATCCAAACAATACGACTTTACGTTGACGAATATTCGATTTCACGTGCGAGAAGAAAAGACAAGTTTTCAGGGTATCATCATACGTCTCATTATACAACTATTACACTGCTATACGCCAAAAAAAAAAAGATACAAGAACTTTTTGCTACACTTTCATCAAAAAACAACCCAAAACTCCCGAACCGATTCATCGTCTTACATCTGCTCTCGTCCCTTGCTCAGATCGACCTCAAGCAAAGGCACAACCTTGGTTCGGCAGATGAGCTTGTGGCCAACGTAGAGCGCGGCGAAAAGCATCAAGCTGATGTAGTTGGAGAAGAAATCAGCTGTGCTCCACTCAATGAAGACGGTGAAACCACAGGTGATGGTGATGAGGGCTACGAAGAAGGCGCCGTAGTACGACAGGTAGGGCTGAAGAGGCGCCTGGTAAGGAAGCTCATCACGGGGGATGCCCTGCGCGGCCATGATCTTCTGGAAGCGGACGTGGCAGACGTTGATCAGAACCCAGGTGATGAAGCACGAGGTGGAACTGACGTTGAGAAGCCAGTTGAAAACCTGAACTCCGTTGGAGGAGAGGTTGATGTAGGCAATCAGACCCATGACGGAGCAAGACATGACAGCGAAGTAAGGGGTGCCGTGCTTGTTGGTGCGCTTCATGAAAGCGGGGGCAAGACCATCCTCAGCGAGAGCGACCATGATTCGGCTACTGGAGTAGACGTTGGAGTTGGCAGCTGTGAGGATGGCGGAGAGGAGAACAGCGTTGATGATGTCAGGGAGGACCTTGACACCAGCGCGGGTGGCGACAAGGACGAGAGGAGAGGCAGAAGCATCCTGAGCACCGCTGTCGAGGCGCTCGTCGTTGAAGGGCACGTTGATACCAACGAAGAAGACGGTGGCCATGAAAAGGCTGAAAATTCCCCAGAAAGTCCAGCGGATAGCCTCGGGAATGGCCTTGCGGGGGTTGGCAGTCTCACCAGCTCCGACACCGACAAGCTCAGTTCCCTGGAAAGAGAAACCAGCGGTAACAAGGACAGCCCAGAAACCGACAAACTTGCCAGTGGCACCCTCGACCATGTAGGCGTTGGCAACGCCGGGGTCGTTCCAGTACTTGAAGCCAATGTAGCCCTCGTCACCGACACCAGCGTTGATGCAGATGGAGAAGATGATGAAGCCGATGATGGTAACGACCTTGATCATGGAGAACCACATCTCAATCTCGCCGAAAATACGCACGGGGACAAAGTTGAGAGCAGTGAAGAGAGCCCAGAAAACGCTAATCCAGATGGCGATGCTGAGGCTGGAATCCCAGTACTGAATGATGATTCCGGCGGCGACGAGCTCGAGAGCAAAGGTAATTGACCAACTGAACCAGTACAGCCATCCCATGGCGAAACCCAAGGTAGGATCGACGAAACGAGCAGCGTAGGAAGTAAATGAACCGGCGATGGGGATGTAGGCGGCCATCTCTCCCAGACTGACCATGACCGAGTAAACAACTGAGCCCATAAAGGCAAAGGCGACGAGCAGAGAGACGGGACCAGCCTTGACGAGAGCTGGTCCGACACCAAGGAAGAGACCAGTTCCAATGGTACCGCCAATGGCGATGAACTGCAAGTGACGAGAGGTCATGGCCCGGTCAAGGCCAGCCTCGCCAGTCTCGACATCCTCCTTGTCGTTCTTGTTGTTCTTCTTCTCGTTGCTCACACGAGGGGACTTTTCGTCCGCCGATGAAGAGTCAAACATTTTGGCGCTAGTGTAGTTTATACTCTCTCCAAAGAGTATATTTTATATATATATCTCGGATGTGAGGCTGATGATATGTGAAACACAAGAGATGAGAAAGATTAGATGAGGGGAGAGAGAAGAAAAAAGAGAGAAACAGATGAATGATGTGATGTGCTGTGTCTGTCTGTGAGAAACCAAGCGAGAGAGAAACACCGAGGCCAAGTGGGCTTGTTATGTAAAAAAATTGAAATGTCAACGGGGATGGCTTATGGATACGGGCAAGGGAAGGGATCGGGAATAGATTGAATGGGCCCATTACGAAAAATTTCGATATCGGAACAGGCCAGACTCAGACCTGAGAGATTTCAAGATAAGTCTCTAGTGTGAGTGGTTCTAATTACTTCCTGTCTATGGATTTGCTGGTACTATTTTTCGCCTCCCGGTGGTGAGCGACCGAAAAAAATTGCATTTCCTCTTCTTGTCTGCAGATGATGATCACTTCTACCTCGATCATCTGCATCAACATATTTCTCCAACTTCCTATTGCAAGCACAAATCACACTACACAGCCCAATTGAGATGCGACAATCCCCTTTCAATCCCCTTCCAACAGCGAAATATCGCGAGATTTTAGCTGCTGTAGTTTCCGGCTCGTTGCCGATTTAGGTTCCCGGCCGCCACACTAAGTAATGACCCCCTGCGCGTTTACTTGACAGCGCCAGAAAAATTCAATTGCAGACGTCAGGGGTCCCTTTTTTTCTTCTCCAACGCGCCACTCAAGAGAAAATCCTTGCTACGGCTTGTCCGCTGCGAGAATTAACAGGACCAATTAGATCAAAGGATCAGAGCAGAATTTTTGCAGTAGTGGCTTGATTCTGCACGCTGCCGCATCTTCGATTTGTTCTATGCAGCCTTCTAATGCTGACCGATGGCCTGATATGGTATTTGTTTCGCACCAGCTGTTGATCAAGTTTACAATACTACTCTATACCGTCGGGTCATTTCGATATTACAGTGCAAGGGTGATGGAAACTAGTAGGGGGATGATTGCCAAGCATCGCGGCTCTTTTTGCGCGCAGTCGCGCTTTTTGCCGACGACAACCTCGATTCTCCGAACATCTGTGACTCTTTGAATGCAGTCATGTATCCTCCATTATCGGAGTGCACCGACCACGAAAAATGATAGAGAGCCTGGGAATAAAATGGATCTGAAGACCGGGGATGAAGACGACAAAGATCCCTGGTAAACAGTTACGTACAGATATCAAAATAAGCATGCCTTGGGGACATTTTGAGGAGAACCTGGTTTGCTTCCAGAGTTGAGATTGGGTCCTTTGAGTTTTCATTATGTACAAGTTCTTCTTCTCCGCTTGAGATTTATCATTTCCCCTCGCTGCAGCGCGCGTTAGCGATTACGGGCCGAGAAAGTAACGGGTTGACTCAAGATGTTCCGGTGCGATGGTACGGATATTACTCGCGATAGTACTCATCCCTCAAGTCAAGGATCGTCGTAGCAACAGATGAGCATGTAACATGTTGAACCAACCTGCATATCATATTATTAGTCCCCATACAAACCAAGCTCGAAAGGGTCTTTCTCCGCCCCCATGGTTCGACAATCTTAATTGCTTACCTTGTTCCCCACTGGAGCTACAGCCAACTTGTCTCACCAACCGTTGGACATGACAAACTCTTTGGCGATGGAGTTGTGTAATGCGTTGCAGATATCCCCCCGAGCTAGGATCGCGATAGACCGGAAGATCTTCCCGCAGAGGCTTGCATGAAGTTAGGGACCAGGCTTGTGGCCGATAGGCTTAATGTTCGGGGTAGTTTGAATAGCTTCCTGTTTGTGAACTGTGTCCTGTTGGTTTGAGTGTTCAAAAGGACCTTTGGTGGACGTCTATGCTTGGGTGTCGCCGAGAGTAAAGTGAGGTTGTTGAGTGCGGCGCAGTATGTGGCATGAGAGCCTCAATCTCACGCCACTCGTGCGTGGTTAACGCAACGACATGTTACCTCCTGGGCTTCGTCAAACGCTCAATATTGATCGCGTTGTCAGCTTACCACCACTTTTTATGCATATGCACTCGAACAGATCGTTCGAAGGAAACACATGTTTATTTCAGTAGGGAGCAACGAATACAACCAATCAGAGGGAAGCTTTGGATTCGGCCTGGGAATAAACAGAAAATGGCCGTCTCGTATTCCCGATCCCCAATCTAGCCAATATTAGTAGAGATTGGAAAGAACGAATACCTATTTTGGTTTCTTCACTGCATTTTTAATCTACTGCAAAGAGTCACAATGTACATGCTATCCATTATACCGCTATACTTGCGTTGATTAGTCTGGCCTACCCAGCATAGGAGACTGATATCCCGCACAAACACTGCACCTTGAGCGTTGTGGAGAGCTCAGTCTAGACCCGAGCTAGATCATCAAGAGCTAATCAACTTAATTCACCTCTCATTCACATCTGACAGCTCAAGAAAGCTCTCTGCAGGCACTACCGATACTAAAATGTGGAATCATTCCCATCTTCCCAAGCTTGGATTCTATATCAATCATTGTTATACTGGAATCAGTCCAACTGGGTGCAAGCGGATGATATAAGGTATTGGAATGACCGCCCAGAATTATTGCGGTCGCGACGCGTGTGATGCTGATCTTCATTTGATGACTTCAACATTAGGCGAGCTGCATTCGTTACAAGTAACACAGGACAAAGCTCTGTTTTAAAAGACTGTGCTCCTTCATGAAACAAAGAGACTCCTTTCAGAATTATACAGGCAAGACTTAAGCTTACCACCGTGAACAGTAATAAAAGGTTCTTTCCTTGAAACAATTTCGGCATAACGGCACTTTGCGAAGCCTTTAGCGGCTCTTAGCAATTCTTGTCCAGCGCGCTTCAGCTGCTCAGGCCCTGGGACTACAGACTTACCAGATTATGATTGGACGAGACAGTCTTGGCTAAACCCAATGTCGTTACACTTGTCGCTTTAGGTTGATCAAGCTGGCGCCTCAATGACCTCATCGAAACGAGCCAAGCTGCTGTGATGTCTTTGATTTCTGGTCTTGGAGGCAGTCGCAATCTTGGAGGGCCCCGCCTGTTTTTCTTGTGTGTCGCGAATGATCATGATGTTTGCAACTTCAACCTCCCCTTTTTTCTTGATGCACATTTAATCAACTCCATCATCTATCCATCAATTAATCACTTTTTTGCATCCTTCTCGACTGCCGGTCGCGATTGATTTGGTCCGGCATCTGCATTGCACGACACCCCTGCGCTGATCCTCTAGACCCATCGCGACGCAGAAAAACACACCCAATTTCCCATTGATAGCTCCATCGAGTCGCCGCTATCATGGGCGAAGCCGATAACTATTACAACGGGGGCCAGCAGCAGTATAACGGCGGTTATCAACAGCAGTATCAGCCCCAACCTCCTCCCGCCGCTTTCCAGCAACAGCAGTATCAACAGCAACCATACCCGCAGCAGCCATACCAACAACAGCCGTATCAGCACGATCCTTCCCAGAATGGCGGTGGGTATATGCCCGCCCAAGGCTACAATGACAATGGCAATGAGAAGGGTTCTTTCGACCAGCAGTTCAAGATCGCAAAACCAAAGTACAATGATCTCTGGGCTGGCATCCTCCTGATCCTTGTGTTTGCTGGCTTTGTCGTCGTCTCTGGTCTCGCCCTTCAGGGTTACTCTGCGAACAAGGGCAATGCCGGTGATGGAATTTACAACAACCCCAATGACTTTTCGCTCAACACGAGTACCGTTATTCTGTTCATGTTTGTTCTCGCGGTCGCTTTCGTCCTCTCGTATGCGTACGTTTGGATGGCCCGACTCTTCCCCAAGCAATTCATCTGGGTCACCGGTATCCTCAACGTATGCTGGGCCATTGGCACCGCCATCTTCTACCTCTGGCGCAAGTATTGGTCCGCTGGAATCGTCTTCCTTATCTTTGGCTTGTTTATGGCATTCTGCTTCTGGACATGGATCTCACGAATTCCCTTCTCGGCTCTCATGCTAAAGACAGCTATCGATGTTAGCAAGAACTACGGTCACGTTTACCTCACCAGCTTGATCGGAGGCATTATTGCCACGGCCTTTGCCGCTTGGTACTCGATCACTCTTGTCGGAATCTACATCAAGTACCAGCCCGCCAACGATAACCCCTCGTGCGCCGATGGTGGCTGTAGCCAGGGCAAGGTCATTGGCCTCATTGTCTTCATCACCTTCGCCATGTACTGGTTCTCCGAGTGGATCAAGAACACGATTCACACGACAATCGCTGGTGTGTACGGATCTTGGTACTTCAACCCTCACAACTTTCCCAAGGATGCCACTCGAGCTTCCGCCAAGCGCGCCTTGACATACAGCTTCGGTTCCATCGCCTTGGGTAGTTTGTTGGTTGCCATTGTCCAGTTCCTTCGCCAGATTTGCAATGCTGCTCGCAACCAGGAGGCCGCGGATGGAAGCATGATTGGTTACGCTCTGTTCTGCTGCGTCAGCTGCCTGCTCGGTCTTTTGGAATGGGCTGTCGAGTTCCTTAACCGCTACGCTTTCTGCCACATTGCTCTCTACGGAAAGGCCTACTTCGCAGCTGCCAAGGATACATGGAAGATGATCAAGGACCGTGGTATGGACGCCTTGATCAATGTAAGTACGTCCACATCCGTCTCCATTTCAACTACTAACATGCGCAGGACTGTCTCATCGGACCCGTCCTTTCCTTCGGCGCCCTCTTCATTGCATACGCCTGTGCCCTTCTGGCCTACCTCTACCTCTACTTCACCGACCCTGCCTACAACAACAATGGGCAGTATACCGCCGTCGTCTTGGCCTTTTCCTTCCTCATCGGCTTCCAAATCGCAAACATCTTCACCACCCCCATCTCCAGCGGTATCGAAACCATCTTTGTCGCTGCTGGCTGGGACCCCGCGGTCATGTGGCGCGATCACCCAGAGCTGTACCAAGAGATGTGCAGAGTGTACCCTAAGGTCCAGCAGGTCATTCGCGACCGCTAAGTTAGGAGGGCTTATTGGATTGGAAAGAATTATTGGACTAATATTGCTTACCATTGAATGATACCATAGAAGGATTCTGGAGGAACGTTGTGTTTTTCTTGTGGAGGTGGAGAAATGGCTTTCTCTCGCGACGTATCGCGATGAAAGTATGTAATGATAAACATCTAATATAGTATCCCATTCCCATTGACCTTGTGTGGCTTGAACTTCACACCTTTCGGAACGTGGGTGCTCTTGAGGTGCTTGGCCAGCTGTGATGACCTTTCAATCGAACCAACTAGTCAACTTCCTGCATTACAACGAGTCAGCTGGGCATGAATGATCATTTCAGAACGCTCAGTACCAACGTGTGTCTTCCATTTCATACACTACTCGAGACAGCCTAAGAAGTGATATAAGCCCATGTTATCACATATAATCCCAGGTGGTTTCGTCAGTGTCTACAGCAAAGAGTTGCACAACAGGAGCGTCAGAATATATCTTTGTTTATTGACGATAGCCCACGTTCTGGGCAAAGTATACCATTGCTCTTGAATAACGTGCTATGATCCTCAGTTATGCCTTGCGCTCAAAGTCCACAGTCAACCCCGGAAGAAGCTCAATAGACTCAGGACTATCCTTCGTTCCCAAAAGAGTCAACTTGATCTCTGCCTTCCCATTCCCACCCTGAAGCGTCGACAAAACAACCTTGTTACTCCCCTCATTAGGTCCAGCAGGAAGATCATACGGCCACTCCCCGTCCGCAGCCTTTTGATTGTGAATAGCGTTGTACACAGGCTTGTACGTAGCGATATCCTTCTCGGGCAGCAACACAGTGACTCGTGAAACACCCTTTGCGTGAGAAGGATGTTTGGTATATTCATGAAGCCCGTCACCACCCTCCGCCTTGAACGGCGATCGCAAATGTCTCTCCGTCTCGTCAACGCACCAAAACGGGATCGTCCCAGGGAAAATTCTGTTACTGTTTGGATCAAGTGCCACTGAAACGCGACACTTCATCAACACACCATCAGGTCTATGTCTCTGAAGCGAAGTGAGATCTCCGTAGGTGATTCCATTCCCCGCATCAGCGACCCGTTTCTGAAGAGCGGCGTACTCGGCTTCACTGTGAAGGGTATGCGCCCAATCAGCAATCTTGCCCTCTTCGAGATTTCCCCATCTGTGAGCGCGGCGCTTTTCGGGGTCTACGCCTTCTACGAAGGCGATGAACTCGAGATAGGTTCCGTCAGCGAGGTGGATTAGTTTGTTGACTGTGAGGCCGTCTGCGTGGGCGCCGCCGTCGATGACTAGGAGAGATTTGGAGAGGTTTTGGGTTACGGTTTGGAGGGTTTGGTAAGAGACCAGGATAGCGAAGTGGTCGAGAATTGGGAGTGACATTTTGCTTTTTGTGAGTTGTTTGGTTAGTGTTGGAGATGAACGGGGAGTGGTTGATTGCGTGTATAAGAGGTATGCGGGGGTTCGGGGTTGGTTCGGGAGGAGTTCCGAGTTGCATTAAGTGCGGCAGAGCTGCATCCCATTGATGAAAGGAACAAGTCAACTCAAACGCTCTCACAGAATATTCACCAACACTCACCAAAACTCATTTCTAGTAGATTCAAAATGATAGAATAACATCTGACTATCGGTAGAAATCCCAGAAGTTTTGTAAACGATAAGATATGATCATAGAACTATGAGAATAAATTGCGCAAAAGGTATCTAAAATTCGACCAAACTCGACTAAAGCATAATAAAACAGTCTATCAAGCAATGCAGAAACAACTCCAAAATCGTCTTTCATATATCGGTCTTGCATCTTAAGCGGGCTGATGTCCCCTACCACCCTCAATCGTCCGCTCTCGACAAACCCCAACAGCAATCTCTAACCCTCTAAGATTCCCAGTACACCAACTCCTCACAGCATTAGCCTTCATTGTCATTTCAACCACCTGGCAAATCTTATACAACGGCCCGAGGATCGCAATATCCTCCTCAACGTATCCCTCCGGTTTCGTATCCCACCAGTACCCCGTAGCCGTCCAGGCACTTACATAGACATCACCATTGTCCACTGGAGGGACAAGAATGGATGCCAGAAATTGTATACCCGATAGGGCATCCGTGACTTGACAATGTCTGCATTTATCTGATACTTTGCCTCCTTCAGCAATTGTGCCTGGAAAGGTATGTATTTCGGAAATGCTTCTGGGCATGACCATGCCGAAATGCACGTCGTCGCAGCCTTTGTGGATAAGGTCCATGCGACATGCTGGACAGACAATAGATTGGTCGTTGTTGATGAGGTTTAAGAAGTGTGATGCAATACATCTGTTGCCGAACATATGACCACAGGGCAAGATTCGTGCTCCATGGGAAATTGTACTGTCGTTGTGAAAAGTGTGTTCATGCTGGAAGATAGCCATTTTGTCAAAACAGATCCCGCAATCGAGATCTAGGTTATCGTAGGAAGATGGATCTTGAAGGAGAGCATCTCTGAGGGCGGGCCAGTAGGTATTGGTAAGTTTGGGTTGGTTGGAAGGTGGTTCTGGGTTAAGGATGCTGTTTATGGACATCTTGGAAGTGGATTGGGGAGCCATTTTAGTAATAGGTATATTGGAATGGAGAAGATGAGAATTGAAACTAGACGAATGGAACTCGGGGAGGTAGACAATTTATCTTCATGAGCCTGTGATTCAAGTATGTCCTTAGTGTTGAGTATCGCTTATTGTAGTTCGTGAACATGTTAAATGACAAAGAGCCTTATTGTTCGATACTCTTTGACTCACGTCCTAGTCTCTTGAACAACATCTACCCAGTCAATAGAATTGGTCCCAAACAAAGAATTCAAGAACAGCACTGATACTGAACGAGAAGGGCCATTTCAGCCTCTTACCACGAACAAGCCGCTATCTTCGAAACAACACTGCAATGGATTCTTTCCAAGTCAGTGTTCGGACGAACACATGCACTACGTGGACTTGGGTCAGTAGATATTGAGTGGCAGAGATGTCGCTGAAACTCAAGCACCCGGGCTGACCATCATGGCCACGAATGAAGTGAGCACGAGAAAGTACTGAGTTTAGGGTCCAAGGTTGATATCAGGCAATCTGACCGCCGACATCTGGTAACAGTGATGCCTACGGTCAAGAGTGGAATGATCGTGTCTGGAGTAAGTTGTCTGCGCAGTGACGGCATTCGACAAATCGCACTCGCATTACATGGAGAGACGAAAGGAACCTCTCTTATTGGGACTCCGATATCAATTGTTGTAGCAAACTCGTGAACTAGCTAAGTCGGCATACTCTGTGCCTCGACAAACCCGTGGTGATTGAATCACACCAACACTCCAGTATCCGTGAATCATGGGTCTAACTGCTATTTATAAGAATAATGAACCGTTCCCCCTATGCCTCAGTAAGACATTATCGTCTTGACAATACTTATTCCAACCTGGTGTCATTTGGTGACTCAAGGCCCATCCCCTGACCTACGCGTATCGTGTAACACTTTCTTCCTCCTTTCAACTCAGGGTTCGATGTCTTGTGCTTTGGTTGTTCTTTTGGCTTTTCAGGAGAAGTTTTGCTTCTATGAGTAGAGGCATTGGACTGAGAGGCCTGGTCAACATCCTTCTTGGACTCACTAGAGCAGCAGTGAGGTCGTTTGTACTTCTTCTGTTTGACCTTGGAAGGGGACTCTTGACTTCTGGAACTTCGAAACCGATTCTCGCAATATAGCGTCATCTGTTTGCCCTTGGAGGGGGATTCATCCTTGGTGGGAATCCAAATGCGACCCTTGGCATCCAAAACCATCTCTCTGCCCTCGAGGGAGGATTCGTCCTTCGTAGCAAGCCAATAATGACCCTCGCCAAAGTCTTTCATTGTCTTACATCCTTCGTGTTCCAATGTATTGGATCCATGTTCTTCCGCCGTCTTGTATTCGTCTTGCTCCACTGTGTTGAGATCTTCCACTGTGTGGAATGTGCATTCTTCCGTTGTCTTGCATGTGCAATCTTCCACTACCTCAAGGTATTCGCTCACTGAAGTCTCGTAACCAGAGAGTTCAGTTGGCGGGGGTGTCAGGATGCCAGTGTATTTCTCTTTCTTAACAGATTTTGCCGAATCACTAGCATCATTCGATGGAACAGAAGGCTTAGATGAAGAGCCAGATTCTGACTCGAAAGCGTCCTCGACGAATCTCTTGTAGCCTTCTTTATGCATGTTCTTGTAGAAGTTGTAGTAGAGTCTGTGGAAGTGCTCGTGGCTGATATCATCCGCTGTAGCCCTTCCGCGTTTCCTGCGTCTAATGTTAGTGAATATGCTTCTGCAGTTGACAAGACCACTAACTTCATTTTTATCTCTTCGTACTCCCGCAACGATTCGATCTTGTGGGCCAGATCCTGCGATCTCTTGGAGTTCTCGTAAGCCGGCTTGAATTCCGGATGTTTCACGGATAGGTATTTGTAGATGCGAACTGCATGATCTGCGTATTTGAGGCCACCGGGAAAGATGGTAAGCATTGCGAACAAGGGAGCTCGATGGTATAGGGTGAGTCCTTTCTGATTCGAAAGGATCATTTCAGCCGAAGTTTGAGCCAATTCAAGTTTGCCCTCGCTGAAAAGATTGAGGACCCAACCGACACGCTTGTTACACTCGGCTTTGGTGGTGTTAGAATGCATCGCGAGTAGGTGCTTATGGGACTTGCCGGTCTGTTCAAGCTTCGCTGTTTTCGACGGCGACACTGGGACTGATGTTGGTGATGGCTTCGATGATGACTTTGATGATGGGTAAGGGGGTAAAGATCCGGGAGGGAGGTTGATGGGTGCAGTGTTGGATAGCTTGCTGGGGTATTCCCTGAAGATTCCATCGAAGGGCTTGGGGGGTGATGAGTTGGACTTTTTGGGGTACGATAAATAAGCTGCTTCAGCCTGACCTGTGCTGGGAGTTGAAGGATGTGTCATCTTGATGTCAATAATGAACCAAAATTGAGTTGCGGATATCTGATGAGAGTAGTGTTTTGATGGATGATTTGCAAGAGTAGAGTTGGGAGAGGAAGATTGATGGATCTGAGGTTCCATTATAGCACCGCTTTTGCACTCTCCCTTTGTGTCGGTGGTCGAGTAACTTGAGGAAGGAGCACTGGATCTCGTGGGTCATGTCAGGTACCTACCTATCTTTAGGCAAGAAACTTAGACGAGGAATGCGAAGCGCGCCTGCCTTTAGACAAGATTAGGCAGGCTTAGTAGAGAGATAATGATTGTGATTCACCTCTCTTTCGAGGTAGGAGGCGAGTTGAAGTGGTGGCCAAATGCAACGCAGTATATTTATTAACATCATTTGTAGTTACTTAGCTATAGATAATTATAGAAGAAAACATGAGTGCGAAAATTACTTTACCTTGGTGCACAGGTAATGAAAGAGTCTAATCAGAGAATTGAAAGTAGTAGGGGCGTCGTACACTGTTGCCTAGTCCCTCCATACTCAAACACACCATTGTTCAACCAACACACCTCGAACATCATCCAACACACCAAAATCAAGTCCATCCTGACGGAAGGCGACGATAATCATGTCAAAGTCACGTTCCAGATCTTCAACATTCCAACTTGACTCGGCCAACCGCTGGATCTGGGGCACAGCTTCTTGCGACACAAGAGGATCAGCCCAAGCGACGTCGACCTTGTTGGTCAGCACCAAACTCTTGGCCAGCTCAAGACCAGGAGAGTTTGCGAGATGCGACTGTCCACGCTTGAAACCAATACCAACAACGAGAACGCGGGGTCTCAGCCCAGTGCCGTTCTCACCGCAGAGGCGCGTCACGGCGCGTTGTGCAATTTCGGAAGGCCGAGCATGCATCTTTTCAGCAGCCGCTCGCAGAAAAGGAAAGTGACTGTTGGAAAGGAGATACCATGGGTTGACGGGAATGCAGTGTCCGCCAACTCCTAGACCCGGTGAGAAGGGCTGGTAGCCAAAGGGCTTGGTAGAAGCGGCACGGCAGACCTCGTAAGGGTCAATACCGTGTGCGCCGCAAGCGTCGGCCATCTCGTTCGCATAGGCGATGCAGACCATGCGCTGACAGTTTTCGTACAGCTTCATCATCTCAGCAACTTCTGGCTTCGACACAGGAACAACATTGTCAAAACTCTTCGAGTAAAGTCGAATAATGGCATCGAGTGATCCAGGAACAAGATCGTCCAGTCCAGAAACAATCTTAGGAATGGCTTGAGCTGGTGGTTCGACACGGCCTGGATCAACGCGCTCCGGCGACATGCCTGCAAAGAAGCCGCGCTCCTTAGCCAAAGGACCAAGAAGAGCGCGCGTCATTCCTACTGCAACTGAGCTTTCCACGACCACGACTGCACCCCGGCGCCCATAGAGACTGACGACCTCGATGGCACTCCGAAGGAAAGATGAGTCAATGGTTTTGTCGGCAAGGAGAAGAGTTGGGACCGAAATGAGAAAGTGGGTGGCCGATGCCAGGTCCGAGGCTTTGCTCGTGAACCTCGCGCGCCCGCCAATGGGTTGCTTCTGGGCCAACTGCAGCGTCCTGACTTCCGATACATCGTATCCAAGGACATCGTGGTTTCTGGAGAACACATCGACGAGGTGCTCGCCCACGTAACCGACTCCGATGACAGCCACCAGTGGCTCAGCGTTTATGTCGATAGAGTCTGTCACGACGGGCTTGAAAGCATCTTCGGTCTCAGATATCTCACTAGGAGGGGTGATGTCGTAGTATTCTCTAGTAGAGAAGTTCCATGACTTTGTGTCTGGTTGACGACTAACGAAGGGCAGCCCCTCGACAAGGAGACTCTTGGAGAGAACCTGGGTCATGATGGTAGCGATCGACAAGGTAGCGAATGAATAGTGTGGAGTGGATGATGCTTCTGAGAAACAATTGGGGCTCAACAGCAGCATATGTATCCATCAGGACGACACGACTCCAGGCTCGTATCAAGGATATCGATCGACTCGTCCATACATCATGACACGGCCGCTCAATCGAGAACTGTGCCGTTTCTTCTCCCCACGTCAGCACCGAGCGGCGTCAGGCCTCAGTCAAGGGAACTTTTTCTTTTCACAAGTTACTTCGATGCCTCGAGCGGTAACTTGGCCGACGGCTGGGGAGTGAGTGAGTGCCCCTGATCAGCTCGATCATACGAAATGCACCCAACCACGCAGGATCTTCACCCAGACACATCTACTTTTGCGAAATCACAGCAACCGGAACTAGCAACCGCCACTTCGCATCTCCGACTGAAAGAAACCTTGCATGGACCATGAAGCCTCCCCAATGCCTTGGTCAATCCCCTGTATGCCCTGCAGGACTCGACTAGGTCGGAACACTGCAGCTCTTTCAGCTAACGTGCCTGGACTATCATTTGAGTTCAGCTTGATTGTTGTACAGAGCGGCGAGAGTTTGTCCAGGTCCAGGGTGAATGAACTCCTTTACTACATCTCCAAGTGTATCAAGCGAGTTCACTTCCCGATCGATTAGCGCGAATGGATACACTCAGCCGCGCGGCAGCTAACAGAAGCAATGCGAGACTGTCTTGCGTTGATACAGTCTTTACTTTGGTATATGGCTGAGACTTGTTAATTTGCCATAATAATGAGCTCAAGGTTGCGGGCTACTGAGAATCACCCGATGCCAAGGCGCACGCGCAGACGTCCATGATTACCAATTCACCCGCAAACAATTTTTAAATGCATTGAGGCCGATCACATCTGAGAGGCTTACGAGCCATGCGAGAAGACCCACTGTGATACCGGCCAAGACGGCAACCTAGGAACAGATCTTCAACGTGCATAAAGTGGCGTCAAGGGCATTTCTTCTCGACTTGACCCGATTACGGGAGACGGGATAACCATCAACCTGGCAAGGCTGTCATTATCAGGCACCGGCCACACAATAGTGCAAATTTCAGCTTGGAAATCTTCCATATTGCTGGCAGAACACGTCAATCATTGCCCTTGGCGAGGCCATTAAGCTTAAGGCCCCCTGCCGTGCTCCCACCTATGCTTGTATCTTGATGACATTGCAGGAAATTCGACATATCAGATAAGCAGCCTGCCCTGAATCTATTCTTGGTCTGGTACAACGGTACACAGGAAAGAAAAATAGTACTGGCAAATACGAGCATGCCAAGGCTGTACGCATACTGCTAGTGGAAAGCTTAGGAAAAAGAATGGTTAGCTGCAGGTGCTCTGCATCTTCATTTTGCCAGGAATATCTCCCCTCACTCAACTTATCCGACCGTGAGAATGGGCCGGGTGAAATGAGCGGCAATGGTAATCAGATCACCTAATCCGTGGGAGCTATGAGTCTATGGGAAGAAGCTGCGATGTGACTGTCAGTTATCCCCGAGATGAACATGGATGTCCCAACATCTGCACGTTGGGGATATTCTCTACTATTGATCGTATCAGCACGTCGAGCATGGCCCAAGTGAGAAAAAGAGAATAATTGAGAGACATGGAGATGGCTGGCTGACTGCTAGTCGATGCTTCTTCGACGTGGATCTCTACTGTCCATGTCATGGTGCCATTGTCTAGGGTGGTTGTCCAGGATATCGGGCTAGTACATCCAACCTGGCTGATATGGTCCTCTCGTGTTCAAACTATGCAGACTTGGGCGTTCAATAAGTCTGATACTTTTTAATTAATTATTGTCTGGCTGAAGGAGCTGCAGTCATGCCCATGGGCCATTCCTACTGACCCCATTTAGATAAACTCTGGCTCCGCTCAACGGACTTGATTACAATTACCGCTCGGCCGCTCACATCTCTTCCCAACCTTCATTAGCTTTGCATCATTTTTGCTTCACATTTCGTTTACACTCGCTTTCAGTACTGCTTCCAGAATGAAGACCAGCGGCTCCATCACCCTTGCCTCCCTGCTGTTGCATGCAGGGGCTGTCCTGGCGGGACCTGTTCTGGCCGTCGACGACATCTTGTCACCACGGCATTCGAAGCTGAGAAAGCGTGCCGAATGTGGTTCTGGGATTGGCTCGTGCAATGCCGGATCCTGTTGTTCGGAGAGTGGCTTCTGCGGAACGACGGGAGACTTTTGTGGTGGCTCAGCTTGCCAGCTCGAATACAGTGATTCTTGTGATACTTTGTAAGTTTTGCCTCAGATTGAGATCTCACGAAAGTCCGAGCGCCGCAATATGGAATGCTGACATTGGACCAGTTTTGGACCGAGTGGAAGCAGCACCGAGGGCATTTCTCGCCCCAAACTTGGCAGTGTACCCTATGGTAGGTCAGATACCTGATGCGCGTCAATCACGATGCTTACAGAATATTTGCAGGAAGCATCATCAAGACTTGCACAACCCCCGGTGTGGTCGCCCTCACATTCGATGATGGCCCGCTCTCCTACACCAATGACCTTTTGGATCTTTTGGACTCGAAAGATGTCAAGGCCACTTTCTTCGTGGCTGGAAACAACAGGGCCAAGGGACACATGGACGATTCATCCCTCCCATGGCCAGCTGTGATGAGGCGCATGTACGCTGCAGGCCACCACATTGCCAGCCACACCTGGACCCATCGCAATCTCAATCAGGTAAACAGCACCATCCGAACATCTGAGATGATCTACAACGAGATGGCTTTCCGCAACTTGTTTGGTTGGATCCCGACTTACATGCGTGCTCCATATCTCGAGTGCAACGCTGGATCGGGCTGCCTCGCTGAGATGTCCAGACTTGGTTACCATGTTGTGGACCAGAACGTCGACACCAAGGACTACGAGAACGACAGTCCTCAGCTGATCCAGAACTCCAAGAACAGGTACTCTTCCGGGGTATCTACCAACTCTGGCAGCAACCAGTACATTGTTCTGGCTCACGATGTCCACGATCAGACGGTTCACAACCTGACTTCGTACATGATTGACACAGCCCGCAGCCGTGGCTACAGACTCGTCACTGTTGGCGAATGCCTTGGTGACCCTCGGGCGAACTGGTACCGAACAGCCTCTCGAGACCGAGATGTCACCAGCACCTCGACAGCTGCTGCTACCCAGACAGTGCCAGCCACCAAGACGACCACGACTACCAAGGCCACGGCTACAGGTGGACTCGTCATTTCCCCCAACCAGAAATGCGGAGGTAATACGGGCTACACCTGTCAGGGATCAGCTTTCGGTAGCTGCTGCTCCTGGTATGGTTATTGGTAAGCTTCTTTTATTTCTTTCTTACAAAGTTCCCAACATAAACTACCAGCATGACCCCCGCTAACTTGGACCCCCACAGCGGCTCGAGTCCAAGCTACTGCGGAACTGGTTGCGACGCAGACTTCGGCTCTTGTACCCCTCCCAAGGGTGACATCCACGACACTACCAACGGGCTCTGCGGATCCGAAGTCAAAGCTTCGTGCAGCAAATATGGAGACAAGACGTGCTGCTCTCAATATGGATACTGGTAAGCGATTAGTTTAGCGTCCGTCGTAAGATCTCGCTAACATTAGCACAGCGGCAATAGCGCGACTCATTGTGGAACCGGATGCCAGAAGGGCTTTGGAAAGTGCACTTGAAGAAAAGAAAAGCGCAAACGGAGGCTCTTGTTTACCCGTCAATAGCGCAGTTTTGGGAGCAAATGCCGGTGTGACCAAGACGGGAGAGGCTTGCGGAGTCAGGTAATACGACGGAAACACTTTGGATATTCGGGATATTATTGATTGCCTCCACTTGCTTTGTATACATTGTTACTTTCTCATCCTTGTCAAGGATTAATGTGTCACTTTGTTGGCGCTTATAGGTCGATACTTTTTTCTTTCATTAATATAATATATTGTATATACAATGTTATGATTGGGCTAGTCTTAAAAAATGAGGTCCGATCGGCATGACTTTAATCTTGACTTTATTTTGCTTCTTGGTAAATGATTCTCGATCCATGATTTGATCAAGATCCAATGTCTCAAGTCCAAACATACGTGTCACCGCCCGCAAGAGAAAATATGCATGCATGGAAAGTTCCTGAAAGCATTACCAAAAAAAGGCACTGCAAGAGAAAGAAGAAAAAAAGGTCGTATAAGGCGTCATGACCTGGGCCTCAGACATATCGTTTCACCCTCATGCAGAAATTGACAGCCATGACTGGCTGGGAAGTCTGCGGGCTGTTATTTACGGTGACGGATATAGATCCCGAACCCGAGAGTTGCACAACGTCTTCGGGACGGGAAGAGAAAGAGTACGGTATAGAATAAGCAAATAATTCGTCGGACACACAGACAGGGCAAGGACATGGATAGATACAGGGGTTGGTTTAGACAAATCGGGTAGCGTAGATCATCTTGCAGGGGAGGAGGAGAGTCACCGAGTCCACTGTACCTAAAATGTGGCTTGCATATCTCCATGTCGTCTCTTGTCTTTTTTTATTTCCTGACCGTGGGCTACTGCAGGTCCTGGGGTATGGCGAGGTGACCGTGTCCAGGGGCAAGAGACTTGTTTTCTGGAGGTGTGCTTGAGATTAAGGTTATGCTTGGATATCAAGTGAAACCACAATCAATAGTATTGTTCTAGTGTTAGATTAGCAGTGTAGATCCAAACAATGGCATTGTCACAATCCCATACCGACTTTCCATTGTTATCTCAATGACTGATCACTTGAACCCTTGATCAAGATCACCTCTTCAACTTCCATTCCAAGACTCAATCTCTACATATTTAGGTAGCTTGTTGATGACATCTCAACAACACATCAATATTTGGATGATCAGAGTAAAGATCACGATGAATTGCAGGCTTCATCCCAGCCCGGAAAACAAGTTCGGGTGAAAGCAGATCGACAGTGACACTGCCAGCGTTCCCCTGGCCTGTCTTGGCTACAGTACATCCCTGCTCGCAACCAAGGAAAGTTTTCAATTCATGTTGCCATTTGATATGCCGGCAAAAATAGAAACTTCCCGTACATAATGTAAGCTGAACAGTCGAGCTGAAAGGTGCAGGCTCTTGTCGATCTTGATACTCACCCATGCCCTATCCTATCACCAAAAGCACGTTTTCTTTTCCTTCTCCCAGGCAGAAAAGAGGCGTTGTTGCATATTCCCGCTTTTGTTACTTGCTTGCTAATATGGGCGTCAACAGTTCATTTGCATTTGCAGGGGTTATCCGGGCTCTTCGTATCGTGCTGTCGTGTCAAGGTTGGATATACAGGACCTTGAACTTGGAAGAACAAACGGCTAGTGTGGTGAGGCGCTGGAAAAGTAAGAGTAAAGAAAAAAAAAAGTGCCGTACAGCAATAGTCTGTGATGAGGCCTGATTATTGCGCTTTGTTGTTGAGCAGGGGGTTGGAGGCGAAACTTCTTTCTGCTGGAATCTTGCTATAGCTTCATTGTTCCCCAGCTATTTCTTATCTTTTCTCATCAGCTTTGGTGGTTCAATTCACTCGCTTGTCTTGTAAGGAAGGTTCTTTGGGCTTGTCACTCGCTATTGTCTCTCGTTACTTTACTTTGATCATCAAAGTCTTACGGTATGCTTACTCAGTAGAGTTTATACCACTGCTAACGTTTGAAGCTATCATGACCAGTCGCATGCCAGCTAACGGACAGAGGACCTCGTCCTCTTCCTCTGACCGAGGAAACATGTCGCCAAACCAAATGGGCAAGAAGCCAGCCAATTCTAGCGATGAATCCAGGCCGTCTACCTCCCAGCCTCAGGTCCCAGCAAACCCTCTCCGTCCAGGATGGACCCTATCCAGAGACTCGGTAAGTTTCATCTTGCTCTATATCTAAATCCAAGATCTATATCTGACCATGTATAGTCTGTTATTCGCGGTATCAATGGTGATTTCCATCCCGGCGCGCAAACCCCCATGTCAGGAGTAACGCATGCCTCCTGGCTGACAAACAACGGCAACGAATCGAACCTATCATTCACCTCGTCCATCATGCAAGAAGAAGCCAAGCTACGCTGGGATTCAGATGAGGAACTCAAGAAGATGTCCAAGGGGATGCTGCGTCTTCAGAAATGGAGTCTCATCATCGGTCTTGCTGCCATCAACGGTGCCCTCATCTACGTTGGATGGAAGTACTACCAAGTGTACTGGTTCTTCCTGGTTCTTCTCAGCTCAAACACTGTTCTACAGGCGTTCATGTGTCTGTGCATCATCCTCCACTGGTTCTGCACTCGTGTGTTGTGCTTCTGGTGGAGGCCTAAGGAAAATATCCCTGCTGAGCCCGAGAAGATGGTTCTTCTGTTGCCTTGCTACAACGAGACATATCAGGAACTTACTCGTTCGCTTGATTCTCTCATTGCGCAGAAGCATGTCGATAATCATCCTCGTGTCATCTTCATCGTTGTAGACGGCAACGTGCGTGGACCAGGCATGGAAAAGACTACCCAGGAGTACCTCCTCCAAGATATCCTCGAACCTGGTCCATCTCGCACTTTTGAGAACGGCTACCGCGCTCGCGACGGCCTTTTCATGCCTGTCAAGACACAAACTGGTTTCTACAAGGGCATCCCATATGTCTTTGTCGGCAAGCGCTACAACCAGGGTAAACGCGACAGTCTTTGCTTTGCGCGTTCCCTGTTGTATCATTTCAAGCAGCGCTCCGAGAATGTGGTGACCATGTTCAACAACGATCTTTTTGAGTACATTGGCAATAATTTTATCAACGCCGGTCTTGACGATGTCACGTACCTGTGCGGTATGGACGCCGACACTGTCTTTGACGAGGACTGCATCTACGAGATGATCAAGGAGATTCGCAAGAACCCCAAGCTGGTCGGAGTTTGCGGACATGTCTGCGTTGACTTTGACGGTTCTAACTGGGGATACTGGTCCTTGTACCAATCTGTCGAGTATTCTCAGACTCAAGGTCTTCGTCGTATGTTCCAGTCACGCATCACTGGCAAAGTCAACTGTCTCCCCGGCTGTTGTCAACTCATCCGTGTTGATGAAGCTACGTTCGGTGATGCTGTCCTTCGCGAGCGATTTGGATACTGTCCCAAGCCCAACGATATCATGACGCAGCACATTATGGGTAACTACTCCGAGGACAGTATCCACGCTTCTATCATCTTCAGTCTTTTCCCCGGCAAGCAAACCGCCCAGGCCCTCCGTGCCAAGGCCATGACCATTGTGCCTCAGGACTGGAAGGTTTTCCTTTCTCAGCGAAAGCGTTGGGCTCTTGGTAGCATCTCCAACGAATTCGTCATGATTTTCCGGCCTGGTATCATCCTCATTGAGCGTCTTCAGAGTCTCATTGCTGTTATTACCTGGGCCATCACTCCTTTTATCATTGCTGCCTTTGTTGAACTCCTCATGGTATTTGCCAAGCGTGGTAAGGAAGTGATGTCAGACCCCGTCTTCCTTGGTCTCATCTGCGTTCTTTTCTTCCGTTATGTAAGTTCACCTTTCCAGCTTTTAAAGACGTTATCTAACATAATTTACAGTTCTATTCCTTCTGCATCGGCTTCTGGCTGCCACGCAACAATCTTGAGCGTGCACAATACTTTGCAGGCTACGTCATGCACCTGTTCACATCGCCTTTTATGAACATCATCGTCCTTGTCTACTCTCTCTTCCACTCTGACGACTTCAAATGGGGCAAGACCCGCGAAGTCATCCGAGGCGACAACGAAAAAGATGGTGACGAGACTGGTGGCCGAGGCACACACTAAATTACAAGCTGGTCAAATTGCAACTGAGTTGCACTTCTTCATTTCCATTCTTGGGTCGAATATTGTATTGGACATAAAATTAGGGGAGGAAAGTAAAAGGGGAGGCTGGAGTACACGATCCAGCCGGTTTTTACATAATGTATATTTCTATTAGTTATGATACATAGTTGGGTTCATTATTTGGGGATAAATGATGATTTCTATAATTAGGATCTGCGTATGTTTCTGTGATGAGGCCCTCCTCATGTAAGCCACAATTACCAACTACCAGGTACCAATGTGATGTGTTCTTGGCGTTTGCTGATAGGTGTGAACAATAATCAAGTAGACGAAAAGGGCAATTATCTTGACCAGCTTGGGCTTGGCCAAGATACGTCCGTATTTGTTATGCCAGGAACGCTTCTACTATGGCATGTATTCAGGATACCTTAGCGCTGCAACAACTTTCAATAAAGCAACTATATGCGTCGCATGATCAAAACATTCATTGTCTACCCGTAGGTCCCGAAGATAATAAGAGGGACATTTTATCTTGTTTCGGTATAGCTTCATTTCAGCTGATCTCCATCCAGGATAGTCACCCTCCAATTGGTCACCCCAATTGATCGTTGGAGAGGGGGCATGTTGATAGTTCCTCAAGCGTCAGAACATCTTTCCAATTCAACTTTATGTATGACATGCAAAATGAAAGGTCAACACAAGTCCCGCTCTGGCTGTCAAGCTTGCAAGAGCAAAAGGGTAAGTGTTCATCTTACCCTAAACCATTAAGCTAACAATCCTGTAGCTCAAATGCGATGAAGCCAAACCGAATTGTCGTAATTGTATTTCGAGAAAGATTACTTGTCCTGGTTATCAACAGACGCTCAAGTGGTCTACTAAATATGAGCGACGTAAAAGCAATAACCATGACCCGCCTGGTTTTGATCAATTGATCTTTGCTGCCTCAGTCTCGGTCCAGGATTCTCAGAGCAAACGATCTTCGCATACAAGTGTTTCTATCGAATTGTCGTCAGGTATCTTGTCTACAGACGATGATGGTATTGCAAGTCCTGTCGACACCCGAAAAGAGTTACTTGAAGCAAGCTCAACACCAGTCCCCAGTCAAGAATTGATACCTGTGAACAACATGCCTCTCATCCTACAATCACGATCGCCCAAGAGAAAGTCTGAGGAAACAGAAGAGCCTCACTGTAGACGACGCTCTTCATTCCACATAGCCACCGCACCAAACAACGCCATCTCCGAACCATCATCCTTTCTCATCGAGCTTTGGTTCAAATCCGTATGCGGTTCATGGGCAGCCTACGATTCATCAATAAATCCCTTCCGCCGACTAGGTTCTTCCCTCTGGTCTTCATCGCGACCACTATTCTATTCCCTCCAAAGCATGGCCGCTGCCTCTATAACGAAAAGACAACCCGAAATCCAAGAAATCGCTATATCAGCTCCACGTATCGCAACAGAAGCCATAATACACGAACTCAGAAGCCTTTTCGACGCGCCTAATTCTGTAACTACGGTTCCTCATGCGCTGATAATATCTCTCTTCTGTCTCAGCTCGTCGCTGTGCTGGATGGACCATAAACAGCTCGGGTTACAATACCTGCGACATGTTCGCATGATACTCTCGCTTCTTGAAATGCGATCCGAGTACCTATCCAAACAAGACCGTAGTCTTGTAGGCTTTTTTAAAGAATGCCTTATCTACGAAGAGTCTGTTCGAAGCATCGTGACTAGTACCAGGGAGGACATCAGCACCCTCACGGAATGGGCCCCGGCAATGTATCCTCCGTACGACTTTGTTCTTCATCCCTGGACAGGTGTTCCGCCCAAGATCATCGCTCTGTTTGGAAAGTCCATGTCTTTATGTCGACAGTCGCGCGATATATGGCGGAATTGCACGGCGCCGACGTACGAAGTTATGTGGCAGACGATGTTTGACATTAATGAAGCTCAAACGTTGGAAGAGACCCTCTTGTCTGTTCGAGTTCCCAAGCTCATCAGCGACGCCTCAGGAGGTTACACCAATAAGGGCCAGATCAATTTGGATCTACATCACGCTGCTGAAGTTTTTCGTTTATGCTCACTATTACAACTTTACCAAACCTTTCCAGATCTAGTATCAAGACGTCTTCCAGATGAGCTTGATAAAAAATCATGGTCTACCTCACTAGCACTCTATATAACCGGGCTTCTTGCCAACATACCTTCAGAGTCAATTCGATGTCTGCAGCCTTTGCTATGCTTAGGAGTTGGCTCGGGACTGAGGTGCAAGACGGTACCAGAAGGAAGACGCTCAAGGCTAGAGTTATTGGACCATTCTGAAGAGTCTGATCAGGAACAATTCGCTGACGTTGATACGGCACGCGCGTTCATAATGAATAGGCTTCGGGGCTTTGGGAGTGGTCCAGCCACTGGTCCTATTGTTGTGCTACGGGACTTGTTGCAGGCTGTCTGGTCGTACTACGATAGTGAGATAACGCCTGGGTCTATTCATTGGTTGGATGTGATGGCGGATTTGAAGTATGAGACTGTCTTTGGTTAGATACCAAATTGAACTCTGTGTGGTCAATCAAGATTCCCCTCCTGACAACAACCCATTCAGCTTCTTATCAACGTGGTACTAAGGCCCCCGTTAGGTCCGCGGCTGCTTGTCCCCTAAAACTTGGACTACTAAAATAAAATAGCCTAGTGATAGTCTACTCTGTGACCAAATTATTTCGTCTCTTATGTCCTGACGAGCTTCTTATCAACGTTCCACTAACAAGTTAGCCAAACCTTTCCTCATCGGGGCTGAGTTACCGTATCCCAGATCCCTGCTAGCAAGTCCCATAATTCAGCGCGGGGTAAAAAAGGAGCATCCCCACGATAGCTTTTCAAGACTAAGACTTTCTAGGCAAAAATGTCCCGTACAGAATCTGGGGAAAAGACAAGGGGGGCGTCTAAGTGCGACTCGTGATATCACTCGGCACCCGGTAGAGTTTATATACAACCTGCTTCCCTGAACTTGTTTCTTGCTCTTCACCAAGACTCAATTCTTCATTCTGTCAATATGAATCCTGCTTCGGAAAAAGGAAGTGATCATGATCATGAGCATAATGAGCATGCAAAGCATGTTGAGCACGCCCATGGCGGCGATGCAGCTGATCTTACAGCTTTGGGCTACAAACCTGAGCTTCAGAGGAATCGATCCATGTTTACTCTTCTTTTCCAATCTCTAGCAATTGCCGCTGTATGTCTCCACCTTCTATGGCTGTCACTCATACTAACCTGACAGATACCCTACGGTTTCGGCGCACCTCTCATCAATTCTGTCTATGGCGGTGGTCAACTATCCATGTTTCTCGGCTGGATCATCGTCTGCATTCTCGACGAATGCATCGCCATCTCCCTCGGCGAACTCGCCGCCCGCTGGCCCACCTCCGCAGGGCCATACTACTGGTCCTTCCAAATCGCCTCACCCAAGTACAGAACCGTTCTCTCATTCATAACAGGCTGGACATGGCTCGTCGGCAACTGGACCATCACGTTATCCGTCAACTTTGGCTTTGCGTCCCTTCTCGCGGGCGGCGTCAGCATTTTCCTCCCCGAGTACGATTGGCAGCCCTGGAAGCTCGTGCTGATCTTCTACGGTCTTTGCGTGGTGACGTTTTTCATCGTTGCTTTTGGAAACAAGTTTCTTCCTACTGTTGATACCTTCTGTGCTGCGTTTACGGCTATTACTATTTTTATTGTGTGTGTTTGTTTGTCTAGTGAGGCAAAGGATGGGAGGCATTCGCCTAGTTACACACTTGTCAGTATGGAACTTTCCGTTGAAGGGAAGAGTGACTAACTTCTTAGGGACACTTTGATCCTAACCTGTCAGGATGGGGAAACTTTGGCTTCTGGATTGGAGCTTTGCCTTCAGCTTATACGTAAGTTGTTCCCATAATGGCGCTTGGTTATGTTCTGACTTGGTCCAGGTTTTCGGCTATCGGTATGATTACAGCCATGGCTGAAGAATGCGGCGATGCCACGGTCAGACTTCCTCGAGCCCTCGCGCTTTGTGTACCAGTCGGTTGCGTCGCAGGACTATTCTTTGTAAGTCGTCTTATTCTTGATATTGTCTGCCTACTAATCATCTCTAGATCATCCCAATCTGCGCGACCCTCCCCCCTCTGGAAGATCTCCTCGCAGCACCTCTCGGCCAAGTCCTCCCCATGATCTTCCACCGCGTAATGGGCACCAAAGCAGGCGGCATCGCCCTAACAGCCCTCGTCCTCATCGTCACTCTCTTCTGCTCCATCTCCATCACCGTCGCAGCCTCAAGAACAACATGGGCCTTTGCCCGCGACCGCGCCATTCCTCTCTCCAGACTATGGAGCAAAGTCGACAAGCGTCATGGCACACCCATAATGGCTCTCATCCTGACCACCGTGATCGAAATGCTCCTCGGTCTGATCTACCTCGGCTCCAGCTCTGCATTCAACGCCTTCATCGCTGTTGGAGTAATCGGCCTTGCAGCTTCATACGGCATTCCGATTCTCCTCTCAATGCTTACCCGTCGCGCTGGCGTTAATACAGCGCCTTGGACGTTTGGAAAGCATTTTGGGTGGGTTATCAATGTGCTGGCCTTGGCGTGGATTTGCTTCGAGATGGTGCTTTTCACGATGCCTGTTGCGATTCCGGTTAACCCTGTTACCATGAATTATGCCGTTGTTGTCTTTTTTGGGTTTATGGCGATATCGGCGGTTTGGTATGTTGTTCATGCCAGACATGTCTACAAGGGACCTCCCGAGTCGGACGGCTTGAGTAAGTAGGGTTGGCTTGTCATTTATGTCTGTGATTTGCGGAGTTTTTCGTGTATATACCCTAATTCTGAATAATCTTCCATCTTGATATCTGTAGATTCTGTTATTAATGTGAGCTTTAATGGAATGATTAGTAGACTGGCACTTCTGTATATTTAAGAATGGTATGCTTCTTGAAATCCCCTACTAGATAGCCCTCAAATTGACGTCGTCGATACCTTGTCAGATACGTATAGTTATGAGGTCCTTGTTGAGGTAAAGAGTAAAACAAATAACTTGTACAAGGTAATCACAAGAGACGGGATTTTCAGTTGGACAACTTGTGTCTTTTTTATTTTGTAGCTGACATGAAGATCGGTGGAGGCCGACGAGGCAAAAAAGAAAAAGAAAAAGAAAAAGGAAAAAAAAAAGAGATGCTTGTGTTGACATACCGGATTCGCAGTATCAAACATATATCCAAACTAGATTCTGTCATTGCACATCCTGCGTATGTAGACAAAGGCCATTGGAAGACTTATCTTTGCGACTGAAGATATTCTTCTTGTGATTGGATATCAGCCAGCCGAGCCACCGCCTCTCTATCTTTTAGATGACCGGGAAGACGAAGCGGCTCTTCGTCTGGATCCTGCCAGTGACAATAGGTCCAGTAATCCCATGCGCCGTCATGGTGGCCTTTCATCCCGTCCACTATCCTTTGAGGGTCCCTGGGCAACCCTGGGCTAAAGTTGCATCGCAAGACATTTGAAGTCTGATGCACCAAATGCATAATAGCGTCTTCGAAACCTTGTTCTAGATAGAATTTCCGTGACAACCCTTTCACTTGTCCAGCCGAAAGATCTGTTAATAGGCCGCTCTCCAAATATTGGTTCCAAGCGTGATGCACAGCAATCTTGTCGTGGACTATCCTGTCGAAAGCCTCTGTGCAATGGTCAGTGCAAGAGCCAGACTCGACAACTAGACTGTACCATTCGGCGGAAATGCCCGAATCAGCCACCACTAGAGAGTCAAGAAGCCAAACAGACAGCTCTTGGGCGAATTCCTCGTCATAGATGATACCAAGATTTCTGTCCCCCGTCGTGAACAGTTCGTCAACGTCCAAGATATCGTTACAAGGGCGCATAATGCAATCGACAATACTGATATGACGTTGAACTTGAAGCAAAGGGTTCTCTTGCAGCAAAGGGACCAGCCCATGGCCATGAACAGCAGGCCTGTTTACCGATGGCAAGTCCTCATGAAGGTTCAGCGCACGAATTTGAGTACGTTGATGGGAAAGTAAGAAGTTGAGAAATCGAATAGCGACGGCGACAGCAGAGAATCTGATCTTTTCGCGCAGACGAAATGTAAAGTCGAGGGTGGGATGGTCGTACTGTTCAGAAAAGTGGCCTGGTGAAGGGTTGCCACCAACAGCATCGTGGAAGTCAATGCTGTACTGCCACATATCGGGGAGTTTCCATACGAAATCGGGTATTCCGAGAAGGCGTATGGCGTGCTCGACCTGTGATCGTGTTGGAATAGCCCAATCATCAAACCGGAGATTGAAGAATTCTTCTGCTGGATACTTGTTAACCCAGTGTGGCAGGGACGCATGTACACGATTGTTGAATTTTGTAGGATTTTGATCGGCGATCAGTCGCAGGCAACGCGTCAAGCATCGATCAATCTCTGAAGAAGCACAGTCCCGTCGTTGATACTCATAATCAATCCTGTCTACATCACGGTCGATTGGATAGGTTGGGATCCAGCGATGGACACCACCATAGCCTCGATACTCGAACAGCGACTCGTCTGTGATGATAGTAACCCCCTTTAGATAGAACTCTTGTACAAACTCGCATGGAGCAGGCTGCATATTCTCCCCTGCAGGGTCCGGACCATCGCCAGTACGCCAAACGTGAAAGTGGTACTCCCGTTCGGCCTCCAGTTTCGCCTTGAAGCCCGGGAATTCCGTCGCAAGTTCAGCGTGCATTTCTGGCGTGATTAGAGGGGCGAGATGAAGAACCAGATCCTGCTGGAGGACCTTATAATAGGTGGCTGCAAGATTAAAGCAACCAGCTAGACTGCGCCAGTCCTCGCGGTAGAGTGTTGAGAAGTGAAGAGTGTTGACGGCAAGCGGGAGGTGTTTGCAGTCGTTGGCGATTGAGCGACAAGTGTAGATAAGAGAAAGGTCGATCGGAGTGTTGTCAGCGTTCCTGAGCTTGTCTGACTTGCCGTCGTAGACATAGCCGCCTGGCACCCTGAAGTAGTCGCCAAAGATTTGCTGTCGTATCTCCAGAGGGAGATCGGTGAGACCGGTAGACATGGCTAGTGAATGCGCTTTGCTGCTGGTGAAGTAAAGAGAAGCAAATGAAAAGCTGAAGGGTGAAGGTTGAAGTGAATGAGAAGCGGGGGTTTTCCGTGCTTGACGTATGAGTCATCAATCAACAATAACACCCCAGGCAAGACAAAGTTTCACCAAAATCATGTAAGAAAGGTTTAGACAGTTCAATGCAATATAAACTTTTGTTAACGAATCAGCAGAAATGAAGTACTAGCAATGTGATTCTGCGTCCATGAAAGTTAAAACCCCGTTCCCGTAAACCCATTGACCTTGTATCCTCGCTATTTAGGACGACTTCTTCCCATTAAGCTTCTGCTTCAGCTTGTGAATAGCCTTTGTCCCCTTCTTCAAAACAAAGGTTGCATACTCCCCATGGCCTTCCATATCTTTGGACGCCCGCTTCTTGATGTTCATATACTCGACTCGGTCTTCCTCACGCTCTCCGATGGGAACGACGATTCCTGCGTAGCGGAAGAGGATTGCGTTTAGAACCATACGACACATACGCCCGTTTCCATCTTGAAAGGGGTGGATCTCGACGAATCTGAGTGAGTACTTGGACGCAAGGGAGAGAGGGTCGAGAGATTGTCGGGCTTCTCCTTGTTCGATGTCCTTCTTCAGGTTGGCGCACATCTCCGCCATCTTGGCAGGGACATACTGGGGCGTGACGAACATAGTGTTTCCAGCGCCTACATAGCACGTGCGATAGATGCCAGCGTACTTCTCGTAGGGTACCTCAGGGACCTCAATGATGGGGACACCCTTGCAAAGGATAGCGTGTGTATCCTTGATGAGATCCTCTGTCATGTCTTCTCCAAGAACGACGAAGTGGTGGATGATATGCTGAAAAGCCCTCATGTGCTGTACAACCTCACGACGGCCGCGAAGAACATGCTGTCGAGTTTCTTGCCGAAGTGACTCATCGTGTTTGTATAGGCTTAGGACTTTCGACTCGTAGTCCGGATCGCGCTCTTCAATGTCAGGAACAGGCTCGCCTCGCAGGATCTGGCGGCAAAGATGCATAGTGACATCAAGGCCCAACCCAGCTCGCTCAATCTTGTTGCTACCAAAGATTGCGTGGATGATGGAATCGTGAAGCTCCTTGATGAGGATGTCCTGCTGCTCTTGTGTCCGATTGCCTCTAAGGGATCCCAAGTATCGGGTTGCTTTTTCGAAGAGCGCTTTGGGGTCTTGCTCAGCGGCATAAGTACGGTAGGTAGAGTCAGAGCGGATGGTGATTGGGACTTGAGCTGATCCCATGGCTGGCCATTTCTGGCGGACAGACCTGTGAAGATCCGCAAGCATCTTGGTTCGCCTGGCAGCGCTAGAAGGCATGGTAGAAGAAGAGGCGGAGGTGGATGCTGCTGAAGATGGTTGTTGATTAAAGAGATCGCCAATAGGCTTTCTCTTATGACTTGGGCCAGAAGAATCGCCCATTGTGAACTGTGTGCTGTGTACTGTGAACTGGTGATGATGGTATAGACTGAACTGAATGCTGAAGAATGAAGTTGATGAAAGAAGAGAAAGAAGAGAGAGGTTGAAGTGGCGGCAAGAGCCTCTATTTATACTTCAGTTGTGAGGCCTCACAGATGAATCACTGCATTTGAGCTCGATGTGTGATTCACTGTCTATACGCGTAAACTGAACTTATTGTCTGTCAGGCAACAATTAAGGAGTGTGCCTAAGGTTTGTTATTTACCAAGTTTTCTTAATCAACGTTTGGCATCAAACTCTTTCGATTGTCGACCCTTGCACATTATAAGATTATGCATTGTAGTTGTCGTTTGTAAGATAAGGAATAACCATTAAGGCTTGATTGGACGGTGTCCATCGGAGAGTAACGACACATTGGCGTGCACCTTTAATGTTTGCTAACAAAAAATAATATATCAATTGCCAGCATATGTAGAGGAGGGATCAGTATTATAGCATGTAAAATTGGGAAAGTTAATATTAGTTGAGAATGGTTAGCGACTGAGTTTCACAAAGGTCAAATGCAGTGTAGAAATCTGTGGGAAACAGTGTTCTTGAAGGCGTCCTTGTATGGGCATTTGTCAAAAGCAGCAGTTACTCCATTCAGGCCTTGTAGTGAGTGGACTCGAGCGACACGATTTGCGGGCAGATGGAATAACACAGTCGCTGAGTCGGACTGTCGAGGAGTCATGTCCCACATGCATGAGCAAATATAGGCAAAGTGGCACCCATGGGTCGAGTACAACTCCGAGCACCTTGACCTTGCCCTTGTTGAAACAGTCGGGGGTCATCTTTGGGGCATTTGGAAGGGGCTTGTAGGTGTCTTCATGAGGATCATTGAAGTGCATGATACTGTACTTATCCGGGTTGAATTGCATTCAACATTTCTCCGACCATTACGTCTTCTTCTTAAGTTCTATGAAGGCCTCTTAATTCCTCTTGTAAGACAGAGGGGCAAAATAAGATACGTGTCGTCGGCGTAAGAAACGACAGAGACACAGGCGTGATCAACCCGTGCGCCGTTAAGCGTCTCCAGCAGAGGATCCATAAACATGACGAAAAGGAGTGATGAAGGTGGCGAGCCCGAGGAATACTAAGGTTAATGCGTTCGCGCTCAGAGATACTCCCGGGGAGTTTGAGTATCAGATAACGGCCAGAAAAGAAAGACCGAATTAGGCGAAGAAGTCATTCTGGAAATCCCCTGTCTGCAACGATCTTAAGCAGCGCAGTACAATTGACGTTGTCGAAAGCTCCTGCGATATCATGACCCATCATATAGAGCTTCTGCCACAATCTCTTTTGTCGTCGGCTATATTTCCTAGACTACTTTCGGTGGACAAAGTACAGAAATGTGCCAATGGCTTGCAATGTTGACTTGCCCGGGGCCCCATATTGCTTGACCTCCTCCTCTTTGGGGGACTTCTCCATCATAAGTTCCTTATGCCCTGGCTCCATCTCGGTGAAGAGGACAAGGTTGGGGTAGTTGATATCCTCCAATTGCTCTAGGTCTTAGCCCGTAGATGCCGACGCTTTTCGTGTTCCTCGGTACCGATGTTTCTCTTATCATCGACGAGGTTGGGCATAGACTTAATAGACTGTTGTTGTGAAAATTGCATCCCTAATTGGGCGATCTTCCAAGCCCCATTTGTAGACTGTCCCAGATTATAGAGATAGTTACGCTGAATGCCATGCTCCTTTCGTTTGAGATACCTTTCTTTGGTCCGGTAATTGGGAGCATTATGTACTGCCTCGGAATGTACTGACGCGATGCCATCACCCTTCACTAGTCCGCGGGCTTTGAAGTCCATCGGCTGAACATTTGGTATTTTGTATTCACCCATGGTCGGTGGACACTTACCAGTGCATTCGTCCAGGCTAGTGGAAATCCGTCGCGTAAGTTCGTTCACATTCGTTTCATCGATGAGACGTTCTTCTAATCCTTCCTTGGATGGCAGATCACTCGCCACAGTGCCACTGTACTACTTTCTATCGGTATCGTCGTGTTTCCCTGCAGCGAACTCAATGGTGCATGGGGTCATCTTGAGGCCCATGTCGGTCTTGCCCATGCTGTTCTTGAACTCCTTAGATGGGGCGGAGATTCTGTTTCGGTTTCACCGGAAAATCGAGGCCAATCAAAACGGAGGATGGATGTTGAAATCGCTCATAGGTATACCATGACCAGATCCCGATGCCTTGGCAACCATATCGTCGATGTGTATGGTCTATTTGGGTTGGTTGGGGTCATGAACAGAGTGGATTTCGAGATCTCCAGCCTCTGTAGCCAAGTGAAAGAGTGGCAACCATGCCCTTGTTGACGCCTTGGTGCCATTTGGCATTCCGTCTGTTCCTTGGTATATTTTTGTGAACGCGGAAGAAGACTCTCGGGAATTCAGCCGGGGGTCCTACGGAGAGGCTTCAGTAAGTGCTCCTTTCTTCGGTCTTCTCTTCGACTTCTGAGGTTCTCTATACTTTCGACTCGGGTCCTTGGGGCTATCGGATTCAGCAAGGGTTCTGAAGGACTCCATGGCGATATTAGAACCCTGGCCGTTGTCCCAAGCAGCTGCTGAGGAGGGATCACAACCAACTATAGTGCGAGGCTTCCACTTTCGTTTCTTCAAGGAAAACTGAACAATTGACTCTCTCGTCCTTCCGTATGCTCGAGATTGGTTTGTTCAATAACGAGCTCCTCCTTCTTATCACTTTTCTTTTGTCTTCTTTCTCCTCATGAGATCGGTGGGCTTCCTTTGTCGCGTTGCGAGCTAATCTGCACCATGCCTTGTTCCCATCGTGACAGTCAAGGTGGATGAGGGGTCTCTGAGTATGGGAAAGAGCAAGAGATAGGCGAGTGATTGATAATCATAGGGATAATACTTTATTTACCACTGGGTCCATTCAATGCTTGGTTGTTGTTTTATCAGCTGCTGGGGTCATAGATCATAGCCAATCATTGTACATGCAATCTGTGTGGGGTTAATCTGACGGCCCGGATATAGACACCGGTAGCAGTGGAGGTCACGTCAGACCTCTTGTGACCATAGTCTCAGTCGCCCCGTAACAAGGTGCATCTTCAGACTTTTGGTCTGCGAATAGATCACCCAAATAACTTACTGTTAAGACAAGAACTGGAAGGACACGGTCCCTTTGAGAAGGCCTGTGACTGTTTAGAAAGTATGGGATCCTGTTACTGAGGTTCGAGAGAACTCTGTTGATAGTGCTTAGAGAGACCAATCCGCCTGGGGAAGATAAGGATGCGGACATCAGATGCTCTACAGAAATTATCCAACACAGCGGAGTCTCTCTCATGCTTCTGAAGCAGTGTTCTCGACATTGGCTGGCTTAAAGGTGTTTCCAGAATAAAATACCGAAAGTTACGATCCGTTAGTACCCCAAAAGGGTTTGATGAGGAGTCTAGAAAGCCTAATTTACTAATGCATCAGTGAGTAGCATGTGATATAGACTGACATCTAGAGTACCGTCTGTCAAGTGAGCAACATGCAATGAGTCACTTTGTGCTGGCGACGTCTTTAATGATGCGATAGACTTAAAACTCAGAGTGAATAGGCGGATGAAGCGGAGTCTGAAGTCCCCGAAGGCGACGTAGAAAGAAGTCAAGATGCTTCTAGCATGACCAGAGACTCGCAGATGACGGACACCCATTCCCAGTGCACTGAATCTCAGCGCTCCGAGTCTCAGACAGCCGAACCACAGGCCAGTGGATCGCAGGCAACGACCACACAATCGAAATTCTATTTGACCGGTCATCTTGCTGACGACGAACCACTTCCCGACATTGTCAGATACAAGTTCGATGAGAAGAAGGATATCTAGGCCCAGTTATGAAATAGCAGATTCGGTGCAGACAAGCGACGGCAACAATGAGTATTTTTGCTGAATGAGATTCAAGGCAAGCTGGATGAATGAGCTAGACATGACTGATATTGAGTTCATCCCTCTGCTCTGGACTTTTTGCGGGTTCTCTCTCAATTTCTGGGTCACTTGTCGGTTGTTTTCTGATTGAAGAGCCGTCGCCTACCCTACAATGACAGACACAAGGTTGGCGAACTACAGCTTTGTCGGTTTACGTAGCCCAATGTGATGAAGCTTTCTAAAAGAATATGGCGCGTGAAATCTATTCTCGTCTTCGTTTACTACCTGACCAAATGAACAGTGGTCAAAACTATAGTAGACGAAATCATGCCAGTATGTCGTGTGGATCTTAACCACGTAAGGTGTTGACTGAAAGGTTAGAGAATGGCTTGTCTGGTACCCTGTACTGTGGGCGGATCGAAGTCACATCGGTAGTGGTTACATTATTATCATGAGATTCGGCTACATAGTCGGTAATTCTGTTATCAATTGTTTGGCATTGTAAAGTGACGCCAATTGAAGCAGGGAATGATGCTATAGCGATGACGTAGTGACGTCGCTTTGACACTTGCCCCACGTAACAGGTCGGCTCGACACTATGAATAAAAGATGCGGCTATCGGATATTGTACGAGAATAATGCTGAAAAATAATTAGGTGAACTTTAATCAGCCCAAAGAGGTTTTGGATTTTGCACACGGAATTGTTAGAAATCGACCCGGCAAGATGGGAATGTTGTCGATTGTTGACGATCAGTCTTACCCCGGTTTATCAAGATCCATAGAAACAGAGATTCCCCTGTTTATCAGAAAGTGTAGCCGTCATCGAAATTCAAGATTCCACATCAAATATTACAAATCTAACATGGTCAATGGCCCATTCGACATTTTGCTACAGTAGCTTCACGTCAAGCAGGAACAACCGCGGGAATAGTGGGGCTGCGGACAGTTTCCTCCCTGGTGTAACGGGAGGCTGCATCGTTCTCCAAACACGGATCGCGATCGCAACGCATCCCGTTGGAAATTTGAGCCTTCTCATAGGTCAATTTACTTTGTTTCTTGACGAAACATGACGAAGTTTCCTCAACATTTCGAATCGTGCACCTTCCCCGCAGAGCGGGGAGATGCTGTTTCCAGAGGGTGACGTAAAGTCAACGTGGTGGTGAAGATATCCAGAAACATATAAAGAAACCCGCATCCTTCGGGTCCTGTTTGCGGTCGGCACGTTCTGTTAACTCCGAGAACATACACAAACAAATCGACATGACCGAGCAAGTTACAGGAGCTATCAAGCACGCAGTCATGGGTCACAAGAACGATAAGATCGATCAGCTCAAGGCCCACATGGTCGAGCCTACTGAGAACTCGAGAATTACCTCCGACTACGGTGTCAAGCAGAACAACACCGATCAATGGTTGCGCGTGGCCACTGAGGACCAGACTGGTCCTTCCCTTCTGGAGGACACTTTTGGCCGTGAGAAGGTATGCACATATCCGCCCGAGTGTAGCTGGCGCACCGCGCGAGATCATGAAGCTCGGCCTTGGGTTTTGACATATCTCTGACTGAACATTGCAGATCCACCGATTCGATCACGAGCGTATCCCCGAGCGAGTCGTCCATGCCCGGGGCGCTGGCGCTCACGGAACATTCAGACTCTTCGAGTCAGCGGCCGATGTGACCAAGGCCGGTTTCCTGACAGACACTTCCCGAGAGACGCCCATCTTTGTTCGTTTCTCGACAGTCCTGGGCAGCCGCGGATCTGCTGATACCGTTCGCGATGTCCGCGGTTTCGCCATCAAGTTCTACACTCAAGAAGGTTAGTCAGAACACCACTCAGACGTCAACCTCATTCAAGCACATCCTGAACATCTGAAACACTTCCTTGATCATATTCGAATACTTGGATCGGTGTCTGGCTGGTCGCTAAGCGTTTGAACACTGGTGATGGAGGTTACACGAAATGGATTCGTATATGTGCAAGTGTGCAAATTACCTTTCAGTCAGATTTCCTGTCCCTCACTCTTTCCCTGAGTTTCTCTTTCCCTGAGTCTCTTTCACCCCGAGTCTCTCTTTCCCCAAATCTGCTCGTTGTGGTGTTGTTTTTTGTACTGCACCGCCACACCGCCACAACACCAAAGTTTTGCGCCACGGCACCATAAAAAACATCACCAGTGCCCTCAAACCCTCAAACCGTCGTTTATCGTCACAGAATGCTAACAAAAAGTCGCAGGAATAAACGACATCGTGGGTAACAACATCCCTGTTTTCTTTATTCAGGACGCTATGAAGTTTCCCGATGTCATCCATGCAGGAAAACCTGAACCTCACAACGAGGTTCCTCAGGCGCAATCCGCGCATAACAACTTCTGGGATTTCATGTTCGAACACTCCGAGGCTACTCACATGCACACCTGGGCCATGTCTGACCGAACGATCCCCCGATCTTACCGTATGATGCAGGGTTTCGGTGTTAATACCTTTACCCTTGTGAATGACAAGGGCGAGCGACGTTTTGTCAAGTTCCACTGGACCCCAGAACTTGGTGTTCACTCTCTTGTCTGGGACGAGGCTCTCAAGCTTGCTGGCCAGGACCCCGACTTCCACCGCAAGGATCTTGAGGAGGCAATCCAGAGTGGTGCGTTCCCCAAGTGGAAGTTCGGTATTCAGGTCTTGGAGGAGTCCCAGGAGCACGACTTCGACTTCGATATCCTTGATGCAACCAAGGTTTGGCCTGAGGACCTTGTCCCTGTTCGCTACATTGGAGAGTTTGAGTTGAACCGCACTGTCGATGAGTACTTTACCGAGACTGAGCAGGTCGCTTTCTGCACTAGCCACCTTGTTCCCGGAATCGGCGCTTCGGACGATCCCCTTCTCCAGGGCCGAAACTTCTCGTACCAGGATACTCAGCTCAGCCGACTGGGAATCAACTGGGAAGAGCTTCCAATCAACAAGCCTGTCTGCCCTGTCATGAACTTCAACCGTGATGGTGCTATGCGACACACCATCACCAAGGGTAAGGTCAACTACTGGCCCAACCGTTTCGGCGTTCAGCCCCCTGCCAAGGCCGAGGAGGGTGCTTACGTCGACTACGCGGCGAAGATTGCTGGCATGAAGCAGCGAACTCTCAGCAAGAAGTTCAAGGATCACTTCTCTCAAGCCCAGCTTTTCTACAACTCGCTTTCTGAGATTGAGAAGGCTCACATGCAGGCCGCCTACTCTTTTGAGTTGGACCACTGCGACGAGGCTATTGTCTACGAGAGATTGACCCAGCGCCTTGGTGAGATCGACGGCGACCTTGCTAACACTATCGCTGAGATGGTCGGCGGCAAGAAGCCTTCCAACTCTAAGCCCAACCCCGGCAAGAAGGCCAAGAACCTGAGCCAACTGGATTTCCTTCCTGAGACCCCCACTATCAAGTCTCGACGTATTGCAATCCTTATTGCTGATGGCTACGACCCTGTTGCCTTCAACGCAATGTACGCCGCCGTCAAGGCCCAGAGCGCCCTCCCCTTCGTCATCGCATCCCGACGCTCCCCCATCTTTGCTGCTGGTGAAGATTCATCGTCTTCAAACACTGTGACCCCGGATCACCACTTTGAAGGGCAACGTTCTACAATGTTCGATGCTATCTTCGTTCCTGGTGGTGAAAAGTCCATCCAGACCCTCTCCAAGAACGGTCGCGCCGTGCACTACATCCGCGAGGCCTTCGGCCACCTCAAGACTATTGGAGGTACAGGAGAGGCAGTCGAATTCATCAACAAGGCTATCAACCTTGATGAGATTGCTCTTTCATCCACTGACGGTAGTGGTGTGGTTGACAGCTACGGTGTTGTCACTCTCAAGAACGCTTCTCCCGACACCCTGAAGGAGATCGTCACAGTCGCTTCCGACGCCAAGGGCTTCTTGGAGAAGTTTGTTTACAATGTTAGCTGCCATCGCAACTGGCAGCGAGAGTTGGATGGTTTGAGCACCATGGTCGCATACTAATGACTTTACGGAAAGATACCTTTAATGAATAGTTGAACTCTTCGAATTAGTATATTAATACAACAAATGTATCATGAAACTATCATATCTGAAACACGAAACAGAATGGAACAATGTGAATATGATTTGATGATATTCGTTGTGTTACTCCATTGAAGACACGATGAATCCTGTCCCACGATAAGGCCGTGGATAGCATGCAGTCGGCACAAGCTAGCAAAAGCTCTTCTCGTGTCTATAGCGCCAAGGACTTCGAGAACGAGGAAACATATTTTAAATAAATAAACATCTCAATGATACGCATACAGAGCCAAGAAGGTCGCAGGTAGCGGGATGTGGCCGGGCAACTTTCACGCCTTTGCGTAAGACTAAATCACCCTCGATAAAACCACTAGTGTACAAGAAAAAGAGCCTCAACAATATTCTCGGCCGAGTAAAGACATATAAACATCTCAAAGATGTTTCTTTTTTTAATCTGTTACTCGCGGGGCTCTCGGCGCCCCGGCAGGAGCGGCCCCAGTTGCGACGTCATATACGTCATTAACGATCACAATCTGTATCATTCCTTGCTTAATCTGGCGTCACTTCCCAAACAACAACAAGCACAGTTTATTTCTCAGATCAGATTTAAAAGCAATTTCGTTTTCTCAAGTGACCAACATTTTCCATTTCCAATTCAATCTCCCGTGAACCCTGTCGCAAACATGCCTGGTGAAGTGATTGATCGACCGAACCCTGCTCCATTGGAGAGTCACCTGCCCGATGCTGTTCTAGATCTGGCGAGGAAGGCGCCTAAGACGGATCTTGATAAGAAGATCGCCCAATCGCTTAATGACTTTCAGCATGCCGCGTGCTACATTGCTGGATGTAAGTTGGACTGCCGAAAGGATGATGCACATCGCTGATAACTCTAGCTATGATCTTCTTGAGAGACAATGTGCTCCTTGAACGAGACCTCAAGACAGAAGATATCAAGCCTCGCTTGTTGGGTATGTATACCTCCCTCATAAACAACTCCGCTAACTTCAAAAGGACACTGGGGAACATGTCCCGGTATTATCCTTGTTTGGTCGCATCTAAACCTCCTCATCCGCAACCATGATTTGGAGATGATCTTTGTTGTTGGACCTGGCCACGGTGCTCCTGCTGCGCTCGCATCACTTTGGCTCGAGGGCTCTCTTGAGCGATTCTTCCCGCAAAAGTATGGCGTCAACAAGGATGGCTTGCGAAACCTCATTACCGGGTTCTCAGTTCCTGGTGGTTTCCCCAGGTAGGACAATACCTTACCTCTGTCACGATCAAGCTAACTTGTTCAGTCACATCAACTCCGAAACCCCAGGATCTATCCATGAGGGTGGTGAGCTCGGTTACTCCCTGGCCGTCTCATTCGGTGCAGTCATGGATAACCCGGATCTGATTGTTACCTGCATTGTTGGAGACGGTGAGGCCGAGAGTGGTCCTACTGCAGCGTAAGTCAACCTCCCCTGGCACAAAACTCGACTAACCGTTGCAGCGCCTGGCACTCCATCAAGTACATCGACCCTGCCGAGTCAGGAGCAGTCATTCCCATCCTCCACGTCAACGGCTTCAAGATCAGCGAGCGCACCATTTTCGGATGTATGGACAACAAGGAGCTTGTTAGTCTGTTCTCTGGTTACGGTTACCAGCCCATTATTGTGGAGACCCTCGAGGAGATTGACGCCGAGCTTTCTGGAGCACTCGAGTGGTCTGTCAGCGAGATCAAGAAGATCCAAAAGGCCGCGCGAGATGGAAAGCCCATCACCAAGCCCCGCTGGCCCATGATTGTCCTCCGAACACCCAAGGGCTGGACCGGTCCTAAGAAGGTCGATGGAGAGTTTATCGAGGGATCTTTCCACTCGCACCAGATCCCTGTTCCCGGAGCTGGCAAGGATGAGGAGCATGTCAAGATCCTCCAGGACTGGCTCAAGACTTACGACACAGCTCATCTTCTCAAGGATGGTAAGCCCGCAGACAGCATCTTGGAGATCATTCCCCAGCAGGACGAAAAGAGACTTGGACAACTCAAGAAGACATATGACCCTTACCAGCAACTGCAGCTCCCTGACTGGAAGTCTTTCGGCGTGGAGAAGCTATCCCAGGACAGCTGCATGAAGCGAACTGGTGACTTCTTGAACCAGGTCATCAAGGAGAACCCCAAGAGCTTCCGTATCTTCTCTCCTGACGAGTTGGAGAGCAACAAACTTAGTGCAGTCTTCGAGAACACTGGTCGAAACTTTCAGTGGGACGAATTCTCTCGCGCCCAGGGTGGTAGAGTTATTGAGATCCTTTCCGAGCACTGTTGCCAGGGATGGATGCAGGTAAGAACCACGAAAGTGCTACAAGAATCATGACTGACTCCCCACAGGGCTACACACTTACTGGCCGCACTGCTCTGTTCCCTAGTTACGAGTCATTCCTCGGCATTATCCACACCATGATGGTTCAGTACTCCAAGTTCAACAAGATCGCTCGCGAGACCAGCTGGAGAGGCGACCTTAGCTCCATCAACTACATCGAGACCAGCACATGGGCTCGTCAGGAACACAACGGTTTCTCCCACCAGAATCCATCATTCATCGGATCCGTCTTGAACCTCAAGGCAGAGGCCGCTCGCGTCTACTTGCCCCCCGACGCCAACTGCTTCCTTAGCACTATCCACCACTGCCTCGGCTCCAAGAACTATGTCAACTTGATGATTGGCTCCAAGCAGCCCACTGGTGTCTTCCTGTCCCCCGAAGAGGCTGCGGAGCACTGCCGAAAGGGTGCCAGTATCTGGGGGTTTGCTTCTACCGACAGTGGAAAGGAGCCCGATGTGGTGATCGCGGGTATTGGTGTTGAAGTCACTTTCGAGGTTGTAAAGGCTGCCGAGATTTTGCGGGACTGGATCCCCGAGCTTCGAGTCCGCGTTGTCAACGTCACCGATCTTATGGTCCTGGCTGCCGAGTCCCGTCACCCCCACGCGCTCAGCCGAGCCGACTTCCTCGACATGTTCACCGAAGACAAGGCCGTATGCTTCAACTACCACGGATACTCTGCTGAACTTCAAGGTCTTCTGTTCGGTCGCCCGGGCCTGCACCGCATGACTGTCGAAGGATACAAGGAGGAGGGTAGCACAACTACACCTTTTGACATGATGCTTCTGAACTGGGTCAGCCGATTCGATGTCGCTAAGCGTGCTCTCAAGGGCGTTGCCGAGACCAACGACAAGATCAAGGCTAAGCTCGACGAGACTCTGAAGAAGATTGACGCTCGCGTTGAGGAAGTTAGAAAGTACATTCGGGATGAGGGCAAGGGTAAGTTACTCCGATTACTTGACAAGACTATAACTGACACATCGATAGACCCTGAGGATCTTTACGACATGCCCAAGTTTTAGGTAGACTTGTGAGCTAAGATAATGAAACACGAAGTAAGATCGCGGAGGAGAGAAGCGGAGATTATGATTTCACGATAGTTATCACTTGTTTAATGATCTAATAAAAGTTATTTACTGTAACTTCAATACTTGGATGTAGTCTGTCTACTTATGAGTCCGCGACACTTTTAGTCGATACCGTGACTACAGCAAAGGGCATAAAGTCGACCCTCTCCCCGCTACATACACGTTACACTTCCGCCCCTAGCACCTAGGGCCAGAACTCCGAGACGACTACCCGTCTACTCGATGCCACATTTACATAGGTATAATCCCACCAGGGCTCTAGTTCGGGCCCGCCATTGCGTGCATCGGTTATTGGATGCAGGTTTTGTATGACTTGCGATGGAGAGGAGGCATCTTGTAATACAGTCGTTGGCTCAATCAACGAACCCCCAAGATATCCAGGGGCAAACAGTGAGCGTCTATCTATGTCAATAATAGTCTAAGTACTAGACAAGATAATGCAATACGTCCTAAACATAAACACCATGCTGCGCCGTCGATGTTGTCCATATATAAGTGCATACACCCATCGTGTGGCACATCGAAGCAAACACCATCTAACGAATTCCTTCAGGCCAAGCAAGGCAATGTAACCAAGATAGTCATGCGCACATACGATCCATAAGAATCCAGAACCTGTCACCTACCAATGCTCTGATACAGCGTGGTTGTTTGTTCAGGTCAGTGGCACTGGCTTGCACCTGGCGTGCACTTCCATTTGGGCAACTGCTTATTTTCGGGTCGCGACTTCCGGCAGCGCATCACTGTTTGCTTCAAACCACGCGCGCAGCCCTCTTGCACAGACAGGAGAAGTGCTGTGGTATGCGATATCGGAGGCACAACTATCGCGTCCTAACACCTACAAACTTCATCTCATACGGGCATATCTCCCACTTCTCTCATTATCAGTTTACCTTCATAAATATCGAAAGCATACCTATCTCTTCTCAAAATGGGGAACGGCCACAGCAGCTCCATCCAAAACTGCCTCAACAGTATTTGTGTTAATCGCACCGCCTGTGTCACGTACCCAGGGGATCCGCTCTTCGCGTGGTGGTCAAAACCGTTCAACCTCGAGTTTCCCGTTGTCACTACCGCTATAATTCGTCCTCAAACCGCCAAAGAAGTCGCCGAGGCTGTCAAATGTGCTACGAAGAATGGACTCAAGGTGCAGGCAAAGTCGGGAGGTCACTCCTATGGGTATGCTCTCCGCGAAAGATGCATAGCAGAGCTGACTGTGCAGAAACTATGGCTTAGGCGGCGTGGATGGAGCGGTCTCTATTGACATGTTCAACTTCAAAGACCTCAGTATGGACAACAGGACGTGGTATGCTAGATTCGGCGCCGGCCTGACCCTGGGTGAACTGGATGCGCATCTGCATGCGAATGGAAGACGAGCCATCGCCCACGGAACGTGCCCTGAGGTGGGCACTGGAGGACACCTGACCGTCGTGAGTCTCTCAGACACATATGTCTGACTATCTCTGACATCCTAGGGCGGCCTTGGGCCAATATCCCGCCAGTGGGGAAGTGCTCTCGACCATCTCCTCGAAATCGAAGTTGTAACAGCCGACGGTACTATCCAGAGGGCCAGCTATACCAAAAACTCTGGACTCTTCTGGGCTATGCGCGGCGCGGGCGCAAGTTTCGGCATTGCAACCAAATTCCTAGTCAAGACTCGTCCGGAACCTGGCAAAATCATTCAATACAGCTACAACTTTGCTTTTGGCTCGCAGACCGAAACGGCAGCATTATATAAAGAGTGGCAACAACTCGTGCGAGAGCCTGATTTGGACCGTCGATTCGCAAGCCTCTTCGTTGTTCAACCTCTAGAAGCACTCATCACTGGGACCTTCTTTGGCACAGAATCTGAGTATCAAGCTACCGGTATCCCTGGTCGTCTTCCTGGAGCTGGCAAAGGTGCTTTTTGGCTGACCGATTGGGCGGGTCTTCTGTTACACGAAGCAGAGGCTACTGGCTGTGCTTTGGGAAGCATACCTACAGCCTTTTATGGCAAATCGTTATCCCTCACCGAGCAGGATCTACTCAGTGACTCAGCTATTACCCAACTGTTCGAATACCTTGGAGATCATCATAGCCAATTGTCACCTTTTACAATCATCTTCAATACCGAGGGCGGCGAAATGATGGAATTCCCCACCAATGCAACGGCATACCCGCACCGAAAGAGCATCATCATGTATCAATCCTACGGCATCGGAGTGGGGCAAGTATCGGCAGCGACACGGAACCTCTTGGACGGAGTTCACCAACGGATCCAGCGGTCGGCTCCGAGCGCCAGGTCCACTTACGCCGGGTATATCGATGCATGGGTGGACCGAAACACGGCCCAGAAGCTTTACTGGGCGGACAATCTACCACGATTACGAGAATTGAAGAAGGTGTGGGATCCAACAGATGTCTTTAGCAACCCGCAGAGCGTTGAGCCGGCCGATTAAAGGCGGAATTGGTGTAATTTGAGGAACTGTCACGAGATGACATGCCGGACGAATGAGGGACGAGATTGTCAAACCAACGGCTCCGAGCGTCCGATGGGTGCCGACAGAGGCCGGGGTTGCCTAAGATTACATGTGTACACAAGTATGAATTCATTTGCTCACCGATATCTTGAATTGTCACGAGCTATTGCGTAGCATCATTGAAGTGACCCGCTTCAGCTTTCTAGTGCCATGATTTCCCCGCGTATTAAGAGCTTCTGGCGTCAACTAACAGAGTGGGGAAATTGATTCAAAATCCGGGGTAACAACAGATGGTAGTACAATGAAGTAGAGTTGACAACTCGTCAGCAAAGACTTGAGTGGTCGGAAACGTCCATCGAGAAGAGCATACAATATTTCATGATATTGAATATCAAACATCTCCAATTCTCAACCCTGTAACTAATACGACACGGCAATCCACGACAATAACAAAACCTTGTCAAAAACGCCCTATGTCCACTTAGTCCCAAACCCCGCATTGTCTTGTCACGGTAACTCAGACCAACTCTTGTAACACTTACCGCGTGATAAAAACGGCCAGACACGGCATTTGGGGGGAAGAGACCCGCCTTGACATGACACAACAAAGGGCGTTTTGGGGTTCGTGATAGTTTTTGGTTGGATTGGAAAGGGGGGCATTTTGCGGGGGAGGGGGCGAGTAACAAAACCCGGGCTTGGAAGCTTGTTCTTGTTTCTTACAACTTTCATACACCATCTTGTTTGAAGAATATTGATAGGTGATTGGTTTGAGCATTGTTATGAGGTATGTGTTGATGATTTGCATGGTGTCACTTATACCCTGGTCCTTACTGTGATGCATTGTGTTTATTGTCATGACGATTTTACAGATTCACTGACATTAATGCAGAATACAATCAATATGACACTACTACAACGTTCAAGATTAGCCGCTTTAGGCCTCTCAAGGTGTCGTCCCGGACTTCAGTCAGTGAGAGGATACCAAAGTGCCGCCCTAGCATCTACACTTTCTCAAAGAGACGGAAAGTCTTCACTATCTTTATCAGCCAGCACACCGAAAAGTTCAACAGCACTTCACAATGTCTCACCTACAGCAATCATGGCTCGTCCATACTCCACCGCCAGTGAAGACATGTACACAGCATCTTTTGCCTTTTTCGAGGCTATCTGGGATGCTGGTATAACACATTGCTTCGTAAACCTGGGTACAGACCATCCTAGTATCATTGAAGCCATGGTTAAGGGACAGCGTGAGAAGAAAGGCCAATTTCCTAAGATCATTACATGTCCTAATGAGGTACGTCCTAAACCAAGAATCTCGTGAACCAAACTGACGGAAATAGATGGTTGCCATGTCTATGGCTGATGGATATGCCAGATTAACAGGCAAACCTCAATGTGTCATCGTACACGTCGATGTCGGAACTCAAGGTCTCGGCGCAGCTGTCCACAACGCTTCAACAGGCCGTGCACCAGTGTTAGTATTCGCCGGTCTATCACCATTCACACAAGAAGGCGAACACCGCGGAAGTCGAACAGAGTACATCCACTGGATCCAAGATGTCCCAGACCAAAAGCAAATTATCTCTCAGTACTGTCGATACACGGGAGAGATCAAGACGGGAGCCAACGTTAAGCAAATGGTCAACCGCGCTTTGCAATTCGCTACTTCAGATCCTCAAGGACCCGTGTATCTGTGTAGTGCACGAGAGATCCTTGAGGCTGATCTTAAGCCTTATTCGCTTAAGCAAGAGCACTGGGAGTCTGTTGAACTTGGTGGGCTCCCTACAAGTGCTGTTGACAGAATTTCTGAAGCTCTCGCCGGTGCAAAGGCTCCTTTGCTTGTGACGGGATACAGTGGACGAAACCACAAGATTCCCGCCGCACTTGTGGAATTGGCAGATAAGGTCAAGGGTCTTCGGGTTTTGGATACTGGTGGTTGCGATATGTGCTTCCCTGCAGATCATCCCGCTTGGCTGGGTCTCAAGTTTGGCGTTGACGACGCTGTTACTACCGCTGACACAATTATCGTCCTGGATTGCGATGTACCCTGGGTTCAGACGCGGTGCAAGCCTAGAGAGGATGCAAAGATCTTGCATATCGATGTTGATCCTCTGAAGCAGCAGATGCCTACTCATTACATCCAAGCTGATGCGCGGTACAAGGCTGATGCTTTGACAGCGGTGGAACAGATCAGTCAAGCCCTTGACAAGAAGGAATTCGCTAGCAAGCTCGAGTCCAACGCAGAGGCAGAGAAGGAGCGTGCAGAGATCCACCAGAATAAACTGGCTACCATCGCCAAGGCCGCTGAACCTCTTGCGGACGGTAGTTTCGGCACTGGACACCTCAGCAAGAAGCTCAAAGATCTCTGTCCAGAAGATACCATCTGGGCTATTGAAGCCGTTACAAACACAGGCTTTGTCCACGATAATGTGCAGCCCACGATTCCTGGATCATGGATTAACTGTGGTGGCGGTGGTCTCGGTTGGTCTGGTGGCGGTGCACTGGGTATCAAGCTGGCGACAGATGCTGAGAACGGCGGCACCAACAAGGGCAAGTTTGTTGTGCAAATTGTAGGAGATGGAACATATCTCTTCACAGTCCCCGGAAGTGTATACTGGATTTCAAGACGATACAAGATTCCAGTGTTGACTATTGTGCTCAACAACAAGGGTAAGTCATCTCACTCTCCCCAAAAACATTTTACTAACAAAAGCAGGCTGGAACGCTCCCCGTAGATCTCTACTGCTCGTCCATCCCGATGGTCTCGGCTCAAAGGCGACAAATGAAGAGATCAACATCTCTTTTGACCCAGTGCCTGATTACGCTGGTATTGCAAAGGCTGCAGCAGGTGGAGATATTCACGCTGCGAGGGTTGACAAGGCGTCGGATTTGGAAAGTGTGCTAAAGGAAGCTATCGCCAAGGTTCAAGCTGGACAAACGGCAGTTGTAGACGTCAAGGTTGCGCCGGATTGCTAGTGAGGATATAATGTGGAGGCCCTAGACCTTGAGGCTGAATGCCATTATTTAAGTTAGCAGCATTGTTTCTTCATGGATCCCCGATATTGCCGCCTGGGCATCGAAATGTTTCACGGTCCCCTGTCGTATTTGATCTGCAAGTCAGTCTTGGATTCTTGTCGCCTGATCAAAAGGAATTACAGTCGGCCCTGAATTCCGATACTATCCAGGGTCTGAAACCAGCGATTTCTAGTTGATAAGGCTAATCTGTTACCTAACGGACCTTGTTCCCACGAAGCCGCATCCATTCGCCACCAAAACAGGCGATACAAAGACAAGCGCGTAACTGCATGATTGTGTGGTGTTTTTAATTCACTTTCATGCAGCAAGGGTCAGCAGGATTGGGAGGTCAAAGTCATGGGGGACATAGATCCGGGGTGCCCGCATTAGAAGGCGGCGTTTTTAGAGGTCGGAAAAAAACATGAGACGACGCCTAAATGGAGTCTTGGCAGGGAAGATCATCATCTCTTTGCGGCTCTTTTTCTTTTGCAGAGGCAGCTCCAGCCTCTAAGAGTCCAAGTTGGGGATTTGTTGTTGTTCTAGATCCCACTTGAGGGTATTGTATATCCGTATCCGTATGTAACTATATTTCTCGTATGCTCGGAGTCTACCGTGGAATAACACCATCATTCATCAGCCTCCAAACAGACTCTCACAATCCCATTCCATTAGACTATGACTAAAATAATGAGCCGAAGAATAACACTCTGATCAATTGAGGCTAACATCTCATCTTAAAAAACTCCCCCGCACCACGTGCTCGTGACAAGCAGAAAATACCAAGCCCGGGAGGGAAGGCGCAGGCGCATATTGACCTGAAAGACGGCGGCAGAGGAAGGTGCATGCAAGGCAAGTGCAGGTGCAAGACCGCGACTGCCTGCATGTGCGGTGCGGGCAGGTGCCTTTTCCAAGGTTGGGCAGCCGCTGATGGTTACAATTTGAGTCAATGCATAATACAAAAGCAAAGAAATTTATCTTCAATCATTAACCTCGCCATGATTCCCTGATCCTTGATTTCTTTTTGTTATGCTCTTTTACAGGCAACTGCCACTGTCCATGCCGACTCATCTCGGACAAGTACATTTCATTTCTTTCGCCCTCGGCACGCGCTAGTCTAGTCGGTCCGGCTTATATCGTTCTTGTCCTCTTCCTCTCGACCGTTGCGTTGCGCAATACGATTTCCATACCTGACATCGATATAAAACCCACCTACCATCACGGACCCCGTTCTGGTTCTTGCTCGCTTCCCATTTTTGCGGATACCGGTACGGAACTCCAGCTGGAAACCTAACCTCCAAGGGTCCCAGGTCCAGATCTAGAGGCCCACTTCCGACTTTCTCGTCCCACTTGAACGTCGCAAGTTTGCGCTCGTCTTAACGCCCAAGGGAACAACAAAAACTAGGCCTAGCCTACGATCAAAAATTCTCTGCTTTCACTCTTTGACAGTCATCATCAACGAGGGATCATGAAAGGTGTAGAACCGGATCTTCAGCGCCTTAAACGATTGAGACGCGTCAACAGCTCTGTATCTTGACCAACGACCAGAAACCGACAAGCTTTTACCATAACAAACACACCCAAGCCATGTCTTATCAGACAACAACTACCGAAATCCAAGCCGGAACAATCCCTCTGCGACATCCTGATACCATGACCGATCAACCACCACCTCCTCCGGTACCTTCGACAGACCCCCGATTGATCGCCGACGATAACCCCTCCGCATCGAAACCCGTTGCCGATCATGGCCTCTTCGAGATGGCACCCTCCGAAGCTCTCGCTCTGTTGAGCGCTGGCGTTGAACTTCTTGTTAGAATAACAGGCGATGTTCCTCCGACACCACCTCCAAAGTCTCCTACTGTACCGCATATGAGTGGTATGCAGGCCGAGAAAGAGAATATTGTACGATCATACTCGGATAGGAGTTTGGCAAGATTGAGGAAGCAGGCTGAACTTGAAGCCAAGAAATTGGCTGCCAAAGAGTCGAAGCCTGAACCTCAAGAGCCGGAAGATATTGATGGTGTACGATTGAAGTCTCATCCAGGATTGATGTCGCCACCTCCTCAATCAGAGCCATATGTTGTTGTTGGAGCCGATTCTCAGCCGGTAAACCTTCAACACAGCGCCATTACACGCAAATTCTACAGCAAAAACGAACCCCCGATTACTATCAACCAATACCTCCAACGCTTACACCAATTCTGCCCAATGAGCACTGCAGTATACCTCGCGACATCACTGTATATACACCGATTGGCCGTTGAGGAGCGTGCTATTCCCGTCACCCGACGCAACGCCCATCGTTTAGTCCTGGCAGGTCTCCGAGTAGCGATGAAAGCTCTTGAAGATTTATCTTATCCTCATGCCAAGATGGCTAAAGTTGGTGGCGTCAGTGAAGCGGAACTAGCTAGACTCGAGATAAGCTTCTGCTTCCTCGTTGGTTTTGAACTAGTGGTTGGTGAAAGCCGATTACAGAAACACTATGAACGACTCAAAGACAAGACAGCCCGTTATGGCTTTGATAACACGGATGTTCCTATATTAACGCTCAAGCCGCGGCCACGCGGTCAAGTTCAGCCAGCAGCATAAGACAAGCTGGCACACTACATAACATATTTATATGGATTGGAGCATTTACATTGGGGGTGCATGTCGTTTTTCTCTTCTTTTCTTCTGGGACATGCATATAGGTTCAAGCACTGTACTTGGTCATATAGTAGGCGTGGGATGATGGGCATATCGTGGAGTTGATGATGAATTTATACCCGAATTTGATGAAAGATATATCCGGTGCCTTTTGAGATTTCAAATCGGAATTTTTGTCGGGTGGACAACGTCGATCCGCCAAGCCAACTTGACTCGTAAAATAAGGGTCCTTGAGGTTTTACGAAGATGTAGTGGTTGCTACATGTGATCCATCAAGACCCGCTTAGACCCATCGTCGCTTTCTGGAATGAGGAGCCATCTTCTAGCATGGCCCATAGTATCCGTATTCTGTCGTATAGACGGTATGTGACTCTCACGATCTTGAGTCGTGTTTGTCTGTGGAGTTTTGCATACCTCCAGCAAACCAGACACAAGCTGCATAGCTTCAGCAAATAAACCTCCACTCTGTGAATCCTTTGGGATTGTCTCATTAGTGCTTATGTAGCTATCCACGCGCAGCATTACCTTGTTTGTTTCTGCCGCACTTAACCGCTTACCCCGACTCATACCATCTTCAATCGTCACATCATCTCACTCATCCTCACCAAACATTCCCCAAGTCAAGTAAAGCAGCGTTCATGTCGAAATGGGCGCCAAGACATCCGAAGACGAATACAACGGAGGAAATGGTACATATCTCATCTCATCTCTTAGTCTCACGTGAATTGACACTTACATACTACAGGCCATGGACCACTCTCATCCAAGCCATCCTCCGCAGGCGGAGAACCTCGCGGTGCACACTTCGCCCGTGACGGAGACGGTAGTCTCGGCGGTGAAGGAGGCGACGACGACGACGACGACGATGATGACGTTGCCGCCGGACCGTTAACAGCTGATGGTGAAAAGAAGAAGAAAAAGAGAAAGCCAAAGAAGAAGAAGAAAACTGTTACGCAGCAATCTTCCCCGCCTAGGGTTCCCCTGAGCGACCTCTTTGCAAAGAAAGATTATCCCGTCGGTGAAATCCAAGCTTATGCAGATGACTTCAACACCGCCCGTACAACAGGTGAAGAAATCCGCGCCAAGAGCCGTCGTCAACTTGAAGATCCCACGTTCTTGAACGATTATCGCAAAGCGGCTGAAGTCCACCGTCAAGTCCGACAATGGACGCAGGAAAACGTCAAGCCGGGCCACACACTCCTCGAGATCGCTAATGGCATCGAAGACGGTGTTCGTGCACTTTTGGGAAATCAGGGTATCGAACCTGGTGAGAACATCAAGTCTGGCATGGGTTTTCCCACAGGTCTTTGTCTAAACCATGAAACTGCGCATTATACGCCTAATCCGGGTCAAAAGGATGTTGTTCTCAAGTATGAGGATGTCATGAAGGTTGATTTTGGCGTGCAGATTAATGGATGGATTGTCGATAGTGCGTTCACTATGTCTTTTGATCCTGTTTATGATAATCTTTTGGCGGCGGTTAAGGATGCTACGAACAGTGGTATCAAGGTGTGTACCCCCTCAAGCTCATAATTCAGTATTCCAAAGGGAGGTAACTGACGCATGCAGGCCTCCGGTATTGATGTTCGTATCTGTGACGTCAGCGCCGCCATCCAAGAAGCCATGGAAAGCTACGAAGTCGAAATCAACGGGAAAACATACCCCGTCAAACCCGTCCGCAACATTTCAGCGCATAACATCCATCACTACCAAATCCACGGTGGAAAGTCGATTCCGTTTATCAAGAATCGGGATCAGACTAAGATGGAGGAGGGTGAGGTTTTTGCGATTGAGACGTTTGGAACGACTGGTACTGGAAAGCTACATGATGATGTAAGTGCACCCTTACTAACATGTCATTTGGATGTGATGTTAATGAGTGCAGGTTGGCATCTACGGCTACGGTCTTCAACACGATGCTCCAAAGCAAGTCAAACTCCCTTTTGCGACAGCGAATAAACTCCACAAGGTTATCCGCGAGCAATTCGGTACCATTGTGTTTTGCCGTCGTTATCTTGACCGTCTTGGTCTCGATCGATATCTGGCTGGTCTAAACTCTCTGGTTTCGCATGGAATTCTCGAAGCGTATGAACCGCTCGCTGATATCAAGGGTTCTTACTCTGCGCAGTTTGAGCATACGATTCTGCTTCGGGAGGGGAGTAAGGAGGTTATTAGTCGTGGAAGTGACTACTAAACTCGACTGACTGTTAAACTGAAAATGTTTTATTGTCTTCGGGATGTTTAGGGGGGGATATGGTTCAACAACTTGGGATGGCTTCAACACCATTCAATGCTGGAGTAGTCGCAACACTGCTTCACTACTAGGCCTGGATTCAACATGCCCGCCTTTTTTACTTTCGTGTGATAGTTTAGTCTGTCATTATCTATACAAACACTTTTATTCACACAAATACTTGTCTCGTAATTCTGATTGAACTACCGAACCTGCATCGTCGGCCATTTCCCGAATTGGAGTCAATCGAACATCCCCTCACTAACGCAGTGACTCACTCAATGCAAGCCATAATCACCAAGTCAAAGAACTATCAAGTACAGTACCTGATCAAAGACCCCGCACGTCAAAATCAGCATTCCTAAATAAACTAAACTACCCTTTCCCACGGGTGCCTTGTCCATCGGGTGTCACAAGGCCGACGGGTATTCTCGATCGGCATAACGGGCGGACCAGGATCAACGTAGGACCAAACTTTTAGGCAGAAAGGCGAAATTCGCGACCCTGCTTTTCATCCCACGGTTCGTGAATGCGGATTGTCGCATGGGAATGCACAATTAGGAACTGGTTCTTCTGTTTTGAGAGCGACATGTACTCTGCATTCGGATGAACTGTCAATGTGCCTCAAACCTACATCGCCCGTTATCTTCAATGCTCTGATCAACGGCCTCAAAATGAAGTTCTACCAAAGTCCCAATCCGACCCCATGTTTCGAACCGTGGTGTTTAACCCCCCACCAAAAAAGAACTTTGGATTAATCCCTGTTTTTTGATGCAGGTAGCAGATCATTCTTTTTACACTTTGTTTTTTATTGCCGACGCTCCGGGTTCGGAGTGTAGGACTTAGATGTGATGTCTCAGTGTGCAGCCTTTTTCACTTACACATTGATCATGAGACATGGTGAGATTTTTCTTTTTGTGATTGTGATGGGCTTTGTACCTGCTTTAGTCTAAGCCATTGAAACCAATGTGGTGAGTTTATCTGTAAGTCATGAAGGCGCATTCACATTCATTTTCACTGTCACAGAGATGAGATGAGATGAGAACAAAAGTTTGATAACCAAATCCATTCCGGATTCCTCTTTTTTTCTTGTTTTGTGTCTTGTATCTAGCTAGTGTCCTGTAATCCCTAACTGACTGGTACTGGTATCCCAAATAATAACGTATACAGAAATGTCTGTCCCAAATCCCATTAAATCAAATCGCTAAACCGCTTAAGTAAAAACCCTGATACAAGACCAAAAGACAACAAAAATAGTACAATGCTAAGCTTCAAAATCACTCGTAGCGGTAGTCGAAAACATCTGGCCTTCTGCCTCCAGAAACTGTCAGTCGCCGCGTGGGTTGCTTAGACTGAAGACGCTCACGGAGACGCTCGCGCATCTCCTCTTCCTCCTTCTTCTCCTCGCGACGAGCTAGGCGACGGGCCTTATCGTCACGGCGCTCTTCTTCAAAGCTCAAGCGACGCATTGAATCAACGGGGATCTCAACGGAGGGACGCTTGTATGTAGCTGAACGCTTGGGAGGAGCTGGGGCAAGGGCAACAGGACGGCTGGCGATCTTGGCATTGGCTTCAGCAATGCGAAGACGGATCTGCTCCTCCTTGTCTTGTGCGCGTCGCTCTTCTCGGCGAAGGCGCTTGAGCTCGTCGTCTTCGTTGGAGTGGCGGCTGTCCTTGGAGCTGCTGGAGTGGTGACGGTGGTGCTTGGACTTGTGGTGTCGGCTGTCGTCGACGACTTCGATCTTGACTCGGCGCTCAGGTTGACGAGTTCGCTCGTCAACGATGACAGGGCCGCGTGATGAGTCGACCATGTAGGTGTTGGCATTGGGAGAAGCAGGAGCGGACCATTGTTGGGGAGGAGTGCGAGGGCTGTCAACCATGACAATGCGCTCCTGGTGTCGAGAGTTGCGACGCTTGCGGTTCAACTCAAGGACCTTTTGGCCATTGACGTAGACTCCCGATGGTCTATCCTTCTTGCTTGAAGAGCTGGTGTAGGAACGGTCTGATTCATCTCCCGAGCGGGGTGTTGAAGGAGCAGGGCTGTACTGGGGAGTAGGAGGATAGTAGGATGAAGAATCGTAAGAACCAACGAATGAGGCAGGATGGTCGAAGCGGTAGTTGTCGGCACAGACTTGACCATGGCGAGAGTTGGCGCAGAGAGTTGGTTGAGAGTATTGCTCACGACGACCATCAGGGTAGTCGTAAGTGTAGATGTTGGTAACACACATAGTGTCGGTGTTTTGAGGTTGAGAGCGCGGATTGCGCGGAGGGGGATCCTCTTGGATGATAACAGGAGGTAGCCGATAAGTTCTTTGAGATGTTCTCAAGGTTTGGTCTGGTGAAGTTGTAGTAGAGTTGCGACGACGATTGTTGTAGATGGTGTTGTCTATAACAAGTGGTGAAGACAGCTTGGTAGTGTTGAAGCTTTATAGTATAAGAGTCTTGAGTTGAGATGAATTGAGTTGTTTGTTTGGTTGTTGGGAAAAAGTGCAGGTGGTGGTGGTTATATAGAAGTAGTGGCAGTGAGGGAGGGTAGCTTGAAAGTGAACTTGAGTAAATGTATGTGTAAGCCAGGACAGGTACTAGTACTAGTACTACCGATAAAAGATGCCTGGGGACTAAAGTAGTGCACAAAATACTAAGTGGAAGAAGTCTAGTAGAGAGATTGATGCCTGGTGTGTAATGTACATTCATGATTGTGGTTCGCAAAATGGTTCGCGATATATATTAGAGAGATGTGTATTGGTGGTGCTCCCTCCCAGAGGCTTGGAGAGAGAGGAAGGCAGCCTTGTGGACACAGAGTGGAGAAAGGCCGTTTCTGCCTACCGGGTGCGGCCACTAAGAAACCCCTGCATGGCCCCTGCGAACCCTCCTGCCGATGACTCCCAGAGCATCTCAGCCACGACCCACGATCCACTGAAGTAGTACCTAGACTGTGATAGTTGAGGCTCTTGAGGGCTGGGCTGATAGTTGGATCGAGGAATTGAGGCTAGAAGACGGGTATCGAGATGAGGTCACGGACGAGAAATGATATCAGAGAGTAACTTGTCTTCAGTAGAATGACCTCTATTGTCATGCCTAATCTAGGACTACAGGCCCTTCAACGCGCGGCCAAGGTTGAAACAGGGTCCAAAAGATACAATCTGTCCTACAGACTCTAAACTCCCGAAAAGTGTTGCACCAAATCCTCCCAGCTCGGTGAGCAGTCCAAGTTACCGAAATTGAACTTGTACAGTACTGTACTGTACTGTACTGTACACTTACAGTATGTTCTGCATCATGAGACCAGACCGGCATTGAGTCATCAAGGACTCGATTAGCGCTGGCCTTAGGACTTGAATCTCTGACCATTGAGAAGTGGACAAAGAATTTCTGTTTTCTCTCATTGGGTGGGTTCATCTTCAACGGCCAGGCCTGAGTCAACTGGGGGAACCCCCCTTTAGTCTGTAGTCCAGGGCAGTGCAATCGAGGCTTGGTCTCTGTCCTCAATCCACTTCCACCTGCAACCCTCAGCCTTAAAACACTACCAGGATATTCTTGATAAAGGGTTAGTTTTTGGAACTTCAGCCTCGCATTAATTAATTGCATCTGTGATAATCTGATCGTCTTCAAGGATCGATTGGATGCCTCTTCCTTCATATCACTTTTGACATGCATCGTCCCGAAGCGGGAACTAGTGACAGGAACCAAAAGCAAAAGCATGTCAGAGCCAACGAATGTGCACTGTTGACTTACACAAATGATGCAAGAGCTTTGACATTAGCAGTGATTAATTAATCGTCAGTGTAAGTCAAGGGCGCGCTGCGTCATGTCAAAGGTCTTGGCAATTACACTTTGCGCGTTACAATATACCACTCATTACTAAGGTAAGGTATTGTAGGCCCCGACATACATGAAACTCTAGTTGACCAAAGATCCAAAATCTTTGTGGTTTAGTTTGGCCAAGGACTGTATCTGCATTTACGATGCTACCTCATTGGCTCATGGTAACCATTGCAATAAACTGATTGCCTTCTTTGAGCAAGTGACTTTCGCTTTGTCCGACGGATAACCATGCCTGCCCGTACCGACTCCGAACCTGCAAGTCCGAACGGCCCCCAACGGCCCCCAAGCAAGGGTCAAATTTACCCTCTGGTTCTCTCTGGCTGCCTCTTTTTCAACCAGTAAAAAAGATCTTTTGTCAATATTTCCAAGAAATCCTATACAAGTCTTTATGCATCGTGTCACTTTTGGTGTTTCGTAGCTATCGTCACGATAATTCTCTCCGTTGACGTGGTGTTGAAAAATGGCTGAGCAAGGACCAAGAACGAGTGTCTGTATAAACGTACCAAAAAGGAATAGTCTCATCCAGCCCTGTAAGGCAGAACCTTGACCTTGACCTTGTACCCCAGCTAGGTCTTATTCCCAAGACCACTGCCTCCTCCACAGTAGAAGTAGGCGCAGTAATTCAGAAATTCGAGACTGATAATACCGCATTCCCTTCATCATCGTCATTGTGTTCCTTGATAACTTGTCTTTCCATTTTGATACTGGTGGTATATCACTGCGGGCTGCCTCTTTTTCAATTTGGCAATCAGTTCGCAAACTTCACGATCCGTCACGCGTGCAATTTTACCCCGTCGACCGTACAGCCGAGCTTTGGACTACTTGCTTTTGTGTTCAATTAATTTGACTTTCATATCGTTTCATGTCGGGTCGCTCGTTGGCTAGATTACCATTCCCTCGGAACAAAGCAAGCACACAGCACAATTTCGACGACAACTATAGGGTATGCGCTTTGACAGCTCGGCCGCATCCAAACGACCGCGCGTATATGGACGATTGGTTTCTAGTTACCTAGTGTTGGCCCCCGTGAAAGAAATCAGCACGGTTGTTGATGATTGGTGATTTATTTTGGTTGTTGGTTTGCTGTTAATAGCATTCATTGCTAAACATATCCCCAGAGTGGCGAGCGTAGGCCGCATGTTTCATCATCCGCGCGCGGTTAAATACACGCAATCATACTGAACGAACGATCAACCGTTTCGATGCCATTTATAATGAAGGCGAAATAGGTACTTGCTATATCCGTACGGAGTAGTCTATATGGGGCGATTTGTTAATCGCCAGCCTGATCTAATTCAGGTACACAAGTTACTATTCTCAGATACTCACACACCACACAACCATCATTAGCTAACAGTACTTAGACCTTCTAGTTAAGCCTAATGACAAAAAAACCCTTCTCAGGTACCGGCAGCATCGAACACCTGACAACCTTTCCAACGAACCCATGCCGATAACTGCCTGCTGCACCGAAAAGTACATGATGGCGCCTGAAATTTCAATAGCCGCGCGTCAGCACGTACACGTACCTTTCCCACCACGCTGTATATCGCCGGCTATAGACGAGGGCTAGGACTATTGTGCCTTGCATGGAGCTCCAGTTGAAGGGTGCCCAACTGATTGAGACAGGGGCGTTGATGTTGCGCTAGAAGGAGCTGTGACAGCGATTGGCAATCAAGTACACATGGGGAATATTCCGCCTAAAGGGTTTGTGTACGTGAGGGAACGGTAGGGTAATTGTGTTCCGAAGAGGCGAAGGGGGCCGACGACTCCCTACATCACTGTTGAAAATTGGTGCGAGGGAGGGTAGGCAAAGTGATCTTTCTGATGCATTTGGCATACTTCGACATTGCGAAGTAATCAGTGATTCACTCCCAGCCTGATCGATCCTGACAAAAATGATGCGTACACTTGTGCAGCAGAAGCCTATCGAGGAGAAATCCTGGCATTATGCGCAAGTGTGAGATAGAAAGTTCATCGACTGCTGCGTAGACATGTAACTGAACATGTTGAAGATCATGGCCGCATATGACCGCTGATGACCATAGCCAAGATGCCGGTTGAAAGTTCAAGAATTGTGACTGCAAGGAGGATTCCGATCGGTATCTGCAGTATGATGGTGAACAGCCGGGCTAGAATGATCATATTGGCATACCAGTTGGCCACACGCTCAGAGATACAGACCGTGTGGACGACGCAGCAAGAATGACGAAGTACCACCGGCGAGGGCATCCAGGATTCGCAAATATGAGTCTATTGTGTACATCGTGAGGTTTCATCTCGTGACCAAGCCGTTCTTGACCCATCCATGTCTTTGCGATGCCAGAGGTACATGTGCACCGGTGTGTCGTAAAGGCAACCGCATACTTCGTTACTTGGACATATGTCACGAGGGGAGCACTGTACTCGTGGTACGCCGATGGAAGTCGGGAAGTAATTTGTACGAAACGTTGCAACGGCTCCCTGAGTTATCGTAAATATGGTTCCCGTGGATCGGGAAATAACCTGCATCCTAGACGGTATTGAAGTACAGCAATGGCGCAACCATGACGCTGACTTGCGTAGTTGATCAATATGAGGAAGGGACTGACGCTGGGATCGTCAAGATATGTCGCAATGTTTCAGGGTAAGGGGTTGAACCCAAGACCCAGCGAAGAGGGCGAGGGTGACGTTGCTTGGTGATGTCCATGTCATCCAGTTGAACAGTCCGAGGACTTTGAACAGCAAATTCGGGACCCGAAAGACACAATCCAGATCAGGAAGAACTTGTATCGCGTCATCTTCCATACGTTTGGAGTGTCTTCCCTGGCGCTGTTGTCCCTGTACAAAGCCTTGGTAAGGGCGATGTTTGCCAATGAGCTTGGCCACAGTATCGAGGATAGGTATACAAGGAATCGACGAACTAGACCAGCACAATCTTATCCAGATATCTGGGTTGATAGTAGTATGCTAATCTACCAGGGAATGTCGTTCGACAGACCCTTTTCTCTGTAGAATGTGTTAAGTTTGAGTACTTGGATGATGGACACGACGTATGCGCCTACTGCAGAACCACCAAAAGAGACATTTGCCATAATCGCAATCAAAATACGCTCTTTTTGGCTGAAAGGTCTGGGATTAAAGAAGAATACCCAGGAGAATATCCGAAGCTTCTTCGTTAGAAGACACTTCGCCAACAATATACCCAAAAGCATGGACAGCAGTTGTACCACATGTGTCGACAGACTGATAGCCGGCATTCGGAGGGAGACGAATCGTTCAATTGACGTCCCCAAGAGCACAAACATCGTTCCACCTGCAGGAAGAGAACTCTGAACGTCCCTACAGGTAGTGTTAGATCGTCCGTCTTCTCGACGACAGCCCGTACTTCAGGGTAGATGGAATTATCGACAACAAGCCAGCTCTTCATCTTGTTGCTCACCATTTTTGTTTTCGAGGTAGCTCGGGCTGATTTGAGGACGCTATCCGGAAGGCTTTGATCACGTTTGTGCTCCTCAAGGAGACATTGTGAAGAGGATCTAGGAGCTAAAAAGAAGAGAAACATGATTGCCACATCGTCGTTAAAACACTATACCTGTTATTCTCACCAAGAAAATGGTCTCCTGGAACCGTTGACAAAGTCCATTGACTATCTCGGACAATCGTATCGGGGAGAGGACCGTATAAGTTAATGCGAACGGTTTGAGCGATGTCACTATCTTAGAAGCTTCTCAGATGAGCAATGGACATAAGAGACGATCGAAGTATAAGTCCGACGTGAATTAATGTAGGTATTCGGCATTGAAATTTGAAAATGATAACAGGAAAGCCCAACACAGCATCCTGAATACCGCAGGAGTGCCGTGTAGATGTTCTGTATGCCGTATCCTTAAGGCAAATGATGCGCCGAGATACTCCTTTTCGTTCTTCAAAAATGAGTCGAAGAGAGCATCCCCCGCCAATAGTTGATCGCCGCTGGAGAAGCCTCTCCTGGCCGCTCCAGTCTAAAGTTCTTCAAATGCGAGAGTCTACCCTCGCCATAGATCTTAATGCAATCGACATTCGACTCCTGGTCCTGGTCCCAATCTCATTTGATTTAGTGTCGGGAGCACCCTCCCTATCCAAATTGGAAGGCGTTAGGGTATGGCCGATGCTGAAGCAGGTTGCTTTCCCCAAAGCCCTCCGTGACCCTACGGCGAGTCGTCACAAGTTCGGCCGTCATTAAAAAGGACCTCCGAACCCAATTCTCCAAGTCGATCTCGATGTGGCGCAGCAAGATATCGTGATTTATCGGGTCGTGATGATAGGATGCTAATGATCCAAAAGGCCCAGCCATAGAGTCATATCGAGGCCGTTGCCAGGTCGTGATTAATAGTATTTCAAGGTTATAGAAGTTCCAATAAGTCGGTCCGTCGTGAATGTCCAGAAGTCGATGTCGCTAATAATGTCTATCGAGAAATCCGAGTCCTAAATGCAAATTGCGCCGTCGATGAATGCGTTTATGTCGAATCGTATGCCAAATCTCCATTTCCATCGTTGTCGTCCTCGTAATGTAATTCAGTCGCTGTTCGTCGCGAGTCTAAACGTCGTGCCGGAATGAAGCCCGTTTCTTGAGGCTGTCGAATGTAAAACCTCAAAGAATCCCCATCTGTCGCCAAGGATCGTTCTCCCTTCCACGTCGTCTATTTCTTCTCTCCGCTGCGCGCCTGGCGTCGCCAGTACAATCGACACAGCCCCATACAGCGAAAACCAATCTCCAGCCACTGCATCATTGTCATTAGTAAATGACACTCTCCGTGAGGGGAATTTTGGTGAGGGGCAAACTTACACCACCGCAATCAATGCCCAAAGTGCAGCCATAAGCCACAGTTCTTGCCTCCTGTGGGTTGGGTTCTTTTCGGAGTTGATGTTGAGGTTTGACACCCACATCATAATGATGCCGCCCACACACAACGCCAGCGCGAATAAATCGTGCAGGACTTTTCGCGATGTGACCAATCTGGGGACTGTAAACGAGGTATCTGTCACCGCCAGAATCTCCCAGCTGTCATTAAGCATTGCGATTGCGCACTATCGCGCGTCAGCCTTGTGCAACCAAACTCATCAAGAGACCAAACTTACCCCCACAGCACCCGCGATAATGACCTGGCTCTTGGACGACCATTCTTTGCAGACATACGCGAGCAGCAGAATAGCCGCGAGGCTGGTGATCCAAGCGAGTAACCTCACACCAGCCTGCGCCAGCGCATAAGGCCTCGAAGGCCGCGCCTGATAGTGATACCGCCGCCTAGAAGGCATGGCTAGGTATCGGTGGAGAAACGATATCAGAGATGAAGCATGAAGAAAAGAAACAAGCAAACAAATAACAGCAAGAGAGTTGGTTTGAAGAAGGGTGAGGTTGAACAAGAGAAGGTAGGAAAAGAAGTGGAGGGAATGGAGATTCGGGGACTCAAGGGTGTGTGCAGCCAATGGAATGAGGGCAGGCTAGCTCTGGTGGGTGTAGTGCAAGGGAGCTAGGGGTTGATCAAGCCGCTGGGGAGAAGCAAAGTTGGTGGATCAGTTCGAGACTTGACTCGCTCTAGAATTTGCATTCCAATATGGTTAGATCTGGAATGGAAGACTTTCAATCAAATTGACGTCAAAACCAAGGGGAATAATTCAGGAGTTATGCCATAACAAACAGTTTCAGTTAAAACAGGGTCAAGGTGCGGTGGGAGTCTGATCCCCTTGCTAACCGTTGCTGTGGCACAGCAAACAACCATGATTTGATGCCAAGAGTAGAATCGACAGAATGATTTAGTCACTTTAGTGAGACACTAACACTGTCGACTTCTGTCACCTGAATCTCGAAAATGCAACATCTCTGGTCCACCAAATGCAGAGAGTGACATGACCCCTGTTCCAACCTCTTTCAAAATAAGCTGCAGCAAACATCGTCATTATTGTTTTATCGTATCCTATCTAGAACGAATATTCCTCCACATGAAGATATATCCCCTGCGCACCCGTTCCTTTATGGATAGCACGCTCATCACTCAAACGACTAACGCAATTCCTTGTCCTCGCCACAATTTCTCGTCCACCACAGACAACAACCCCTGTCTCCCCCCAAGCTTGCTCTACTGGCTCGCGGATCATGGCCTCAATGTCTGGGCGGCACGTGTATTCTCTAATGAGCTCGGGCACCGAAACGGCTTTTTCCACGCGACATGGTGAATCGCTCGGACATCCTTTTTCGTCTGTGCCACTGTTGCAACAACATCCTGTAGATCCCTTTGCGGGTTGGATATCGTCGGAATCGCTTGACCTCGATGATGCTGACTCGGGGCGTGAAACGAAAATTGGACCTTCTGTTTTGGTGTCGGTCCCTGTTACTGCGATGTGGATGCTGATGGCGATTCCCTTGGCGCGCACCATTCGGCCTGCTTCTTCTGCTCTTTCGACGTAGTATTTGATCTCTTGTGCTGTTCTTGCTGTGAGAACAACGTCAACTCTTCGTGTGCAGTTCCACTTTTGAGCTGCTGCAATACTTTCAAGGATAGGGATAACGAAACTCGCTCCTGTTGATGCTCCAATCAAGACCAGCGTCTCGTAGATATTCCACTGCGGGGGAACGCCATAGGGTCCTGAGACGAAACCTGTAAGCTCGGAAGCTGAATTCTTTGTTGCATATTCGTGAATTCGTTTGGAGAATCCGCCGTGGGCACGCACCACAAGCTGAATACTGTTGCAGCAACATGTTCCCTCAAGTTTGTGCGCGCATGCAATCGTATATGGATGCGCCTCGAATGGACCTAGACGTGGAATCCAGAGATAGATATGTTCTCCAGCCTTCCATTTGAAGTGCACATCCTTGATAGTGATGACAGTGGTTGCAGGTCCAACAACACGAGCAGCGACTCGATGTCCAAGATGCTTCATACCTTGACAGGCTGTTCCTTGAGGTCGTACACGAACATTCTGCCATAGGAGAAGTATCCATCTCATAGCACGGTCAAACACAAGGAATGAGATACTCATCCATAGAAGCCAACGAGCATTCGCAGGGATATGTCTGTAGAGCAACCACAGCATAACAATACTGGTGAGAACATGCTGAGCTACCCACACCTCATACGAAAGCCTTCGAATAGGTACAATACCAGTTATGACGTTCCAAAGCAGAATGGCCCAAGCTGCAAGTCCATACTTGACTAACGGCATGATTTCGAGGGCATAATCGAGAAACTCGGCGCGCACCCACATAGTCCAGAAATGGAATCCGTGAACAGTCGCGGTAACAAACATGGTGCGCGCAACCCATCGATGCAGCCAGTTGAGTCTCTCATGACTGGATCCTGTCAAGAATCCGATAACGTTGACTTTTGTCGATAGGAGGTAAACCAGGGGGAACTGCATCAGAGTGACCCATGCGTTGCGATATCCAATACGTTCCCAGTAGTACACATCATTCTTTGATACCTGCCAGCTCATCATGTAGACGATAACGACCCAGTAGCATGCTAGAACGATTATACGACCAAGAGGGAGTGGCGTCGCCCATCGAAGACCTTTGATGGGGATGTAATATTGTGGGTGGCCCATTTCTCGAATGATGGCTGTTGCTGTTGCCCATGCTTGAGTGAAGGGTCCTCGTGGTCGGGTTGGATGATCTATTGAAGGATCGCGACATGCTTTTAATCTTTGTGATGTTAGTATCTCTGTTGAGTAAGTGGTCGTCGTGGTTACCTTTGTTGAGCTTCGAGGTGATTGATGCCGCGGATAGCGAGGAGTGCACCGACGACACCAGCGATGGTGTACCAGTACTCTCGAGCGAAGGCATAGTTGACTTCCATCCGTAGACTGGTGTCATGATGCATGTGTCCCATATCCATGATGGGCTATAGTACGCCGATGGCGTTGAGATTATGGATTTGAGTCAAGATGGAAGGATCGCGACGGCCAGCGTCGTGATGTCGTTGTATAGTGTCAAGATACCGAGATCTCAATTGGAGGGATCTTCGCTGCCCCTCAATAGATCATGCTGTTCTGGCTGAGCCAGCTTTTGCAGTCAGCTGTCGTCAGCGGAATTGTATGATCAATCCAGAGTCGGCGAATGGTCGAGGTAAGAGGGTGAGAGTGATTGAGCAAGTTGATGAGAGGAGGATGGCTTGGCTCACTTGATGATGAAAATGCCAAGACACAAAGGGTATACAACAAGACAGTGAAATGAAGGAAATTCAATGTATGTAGAATGATGAGATGTCAGGTTGAGAAGTGAAGTTAGACCCCGCGGTAGTCGAGTGAGAAGGCACAGGATATTGTACATAAGCCACACATACCAGGAATAGCAACTGATTCCTCAAGATGGACCTAAGTCAATGATCTGGAATAAGTCTAGCTTCAAAAGAACTGAATTAACCATGTCCCATTTACGTCTCAACCATAACTTGTGTCTAGAATATGCTCTTCCCCATTGACTCCTGAGGGGCCATCTAATTTCTCCTCGAGCATCTAACAGATACCTTCCGTCTCATCCGTCTCCATGCCGCATACCCGAATCAGCTCAAAATGATCTAACAAATACCTTTATGAGCTCGTTTAGAAAATGGAAGTCACAAAAAACTCGCTCACTTACAAGAGGGAAACTTGCTCAAACAACCGCAAGGCCCGTGCACGATCGTCGCTGATTGGACCCTCCGCATGTTCAGGGGGGGACCCTGGTTTTTTGGTTCTAGACTTTTGGGGTAAAGTTAAGACTCAAACGTGCTCGCCGCCACTAACATGGCGTTTGGTGATGGAAACTCGAGCTGGTGAAGCTGCATTCAGGGCTTCCTATGCTGTTAAATAGCTCTAAAAGACATGGAAATTTAACTGTCGGGCGTATTTTGTGAGTGAATTGCATGGAAAGGCTTAGACTAGTGGAATGGCTTGCATTGACTTGGGGTCTATCATGGGAACACAGAGCCTCAATGACGTAGCATTCATGATGGAAACTTGAGACGTGGTACAAAGATATGATGAGGAAAATAAGAATACTCCAAACTTATCACTTGCCTTCCTTACCGCGAACATCATCCCTTAGGATTAAGCATTTGTTATAAGTCTCGTAATGCTTGGCTCATGAAACTCTGGTTCGGTGAGGGTGCCTTCTTGATAGAGAAACCCGCGCACGCCCAGACTAGAGGCAGGTAGTTCAGCCTCTCCCTCCTTCCCCTGCCGAGATCCGTGGCTGCTACAAAAAGTGTCAACCGCCCACCACCTTCAACGTCTAATCTGACACTCTCATACCACACCCCAATTCTCTACTTCTTCTCTCCCATATACCAGATAACCACATCAAGACCATGCGCTCTTCACTCCTCCTCTCAGCAGCCGCCCTTTGCGGTCTTTCCCTCGCCCATTTCGAAGTTAAGTACCCCGACACAATCGGCTTCAAAGACGAGGACGAGGACAAGTCCCCCTGCGGTGGCTTCACCCCCGATCTCTCCAAGAACAAGCTTGTCGATTTCCACGTTGGTGGTGAAGCTATTGCTCTTCGTTCTACACATCAACAAGGCAACTGGCTCTTCCGTGTTACTACCGACGAAGAAGCCTCTGGAGGCTGGGAACAGGTCTTCCCTATTGTTCAACAGAGTGGTCTCGGCGATTTCTGTCAACCACAAGTCACAATCCCCGAGAAATATGTCGGCAAGAAGGGTTGGGTGAATGTCGTGTCTTCAGCTGTCGATGGTCTTCTCTACCAGGTGAGTACTCTTCCGTACAATAAAGTTCACGTCGCTAACGGCCATAGTGCATCGCTGCCAATTTCGTCAAGGGCAAGGCCGATGCGCCAAGCGACTGCAAGAACGCATCTTCCGTCAAAGCATACTTCACCGATGACGGCAAACTCTCTGCTCTTGTAAGCGGAGGATCAAAATCTGAAGAGTCCGGTTCAACTGGCACAGCTTCCGATACCGGCTCGGCGGCCTCTGCCACAGAAAGTCAAGATTCGGGTGCGGCGCCATATGCTAATGGTGTTGGCATGATAACCATGTTGTCCATGGCAGTTGTTGGAGGCGCTTTGTTTATTTAGATGCGACACTACGAATACACGGATAGAGCTTGGATTGGGTATCTCACTGATGGGCCGGGTACTTTATCCTACGCCACGATGCGATGAATCAATAAAATTTTACAATCGAATCGACATTTCCTCACTGCGCCGCCTTACCGCAGATGAATGAGTGTTGCCCTCATTTCCAGACATGCAACGACATGGGATCGCATCCTTCCTCACCAACAGTCAATTAATCAACCACTGAACCAAAGTACCAACACCAACACCAACCAAACCCCATCCGGCCATTGATCCACGCTCAACAACGACTCTTCCCCACAAGATCGTCGCTACATCTCATTGGATACTGAGTAAATCTACTGGGGTCTGTGTCTGATCTGATGCGCCGGGGGGAAACAAAAAAGAATTCACCGCTAGCAGAGACCTCTCACTTCCCACTCACTACACCCTTTCACGCAGTTGTCTGCGACATCAATTGATACCCTACCGCACAAATGTGCATCTCAATTATCTGATTGATTAGATACAGTGAGCCAATGGCTACTTATTCATCGTTACTTGTGTTGTTTTCCGCGCGCCACGAATAGAGTTTTTATGTGTGAATCGCCCAGCCCCGAATATTACAGTACAGTACAATCCATTTGTATGTGCCCGCATCTCCGTTTTCCGTTTGTATATCTATCGACGCCATTTGTCTTGAACTATATCTCCTTTGCCTATTGTATACGCACAGTAATATCTATCCACTTATCAACTTATGTACCAATCGATCTACCAACTCTTACCATCAGCTCTTACCACCTACACGAAGCTTAGCTAAGAACCTTATTCAGGCCTTCAACCTTGATCTTTGAGCCCCGAGCTCTGGCTGTTGGCCAGTATGGCAGCCGTAGACCTCTACCACGCCAGCTTCTCAAAGCAACTCTTCAACTCGCCAGTCTCTGATCAGCCTCTCTACCAAATATGGTCCGAGTCATGGCCGAAGCGAGAAATGAGCGTCATGCTCGGTGTCGACATCGCTTCATGCACGATATTGTTACTTTACCTCTGCCGCAAACCGTTGCAGAGGTTACTTCCTCAATGGCTGAAACCGTTTGCTCAAGAAAGTGAGCCGTTTCAAGCAAAGAGTAGAAAATGGACGTTTTGGACATTGTGCCTTATGCTTATTGCTCTTGCTGGGCTGGGATTGGTTATCAGCTATGCTGTTATACATCCTGATCAGAAGACTGCTTTTATGGGACTTGTGCCATGGATAGTGGCGACCCTTCTCACAGTCATCGATCTTCCGGTTCAAACGCCCAAGTTACTGTTTATGCAGTATCTACTCATGATGGCGACGGCAGTCATCCTCCGGGCACTTTATTATCTGAGCTTTAAGAACAGCTCGATAAACGCCTTTGAGATTGCGCATCTCACTCTTGAGGCACTGGCAATATTGGTCATCGGAAACATGCCCATTCGAAATCCCTTCTGGGGTACCTCAGACATCGGAAGCATCAAAGCCGCTCCATCAAACCAGGTTCGAAGTCCGGAAGATAACCTCACGCTCTTCCAGTTCTGGACAATGAAATGGGTCAATCCTCTATCTAAAGTCGCTAGCGAGCGTGAGATTGAAGTTAGAGATGTGTGGCAGTTACCCTACGAGTTTCAGCATTGGAGGCTTTACATGGCTTTCAGAACGTTAAGGGGTAAACTTTTGCCATGTCTCATCGAAGCCAATGGGTTGGATCTCTTTATATCGACCTTTGCAGCTGTTGTGGAACGTGTGGCTGAAGTTTCTAACCTGCGACTTACGAGTAAGCTGTATCAGGCTCTTGATAAGAGTGATCCTGCAGAAGCTGGCTTGTGGTGCCTTGTTATTCTCAGCATTGATACACTCCGTCAGGTCGCGAGGACATCTTCGGGATGGTACTCTCGTAAAGCTTATGAGAGGAGTCGCGGAGAGACGTTCATTGGACTTTTTGGAAAGCTTCTCACGAGAGCTGTTCCAGGATCTGAGATGACGGAAAAGGATCCTTCAGCTACTGAAGAGACAAATGGCTCCTCATCAAACGGAAAGTTATCCAAGTTCTTCAAAAACTGTCGCGGACGCAAGAAGAAGCCAACCCAACCATCCCAAGACCATCAAGCCTCCAATGCAAAAGTCGTCAACCTTATTCGTGGAGATACCTACGAGATATCCCAACGATTCTGGGAATTCGCACGCGTCGTCGCCACACCCATCAAAGTCATCGTGACGATCTACTACCTCATCGACATAATGGGCTGGCCATCATGTGTCGGCTTCGGATTCATGGTCATCTTCATCACATGCAATTCGTTGCTTGTGAGACAGGTTATTAAGCTTGAGAGACAACGAACTGCGCATTCTGATCGAAGAGCGCAGGCTGTTGCGCATTTTGTAGAGGCTAGTCGCCCGCTTAAGCTCAATGGCTGGACATCTTCGTGGAGAGATCGCATTTTGAGATTTAGGGATGTTGAGATGAGGAAGAGACTTCATATCTCAATTGTCAATGCGGCAATCTCAACTATCAACGTCTTTGGTGGAGCGGTGTATCCTTTTGCGAGTATCTGTCTCTACACGCTTATCCTCGGGAGAGGACTACCCAACGATGTCATCTGGCCCTCCCTTCAACTCTTCGCGCAACTTGAGGCCAGTACTAGAGAAGCATTCGATCTTATCTCAGCAGTTTGGAAGTGCACTATTCCTGTTGAACGTGTCAATAAATACATGTCCGAACCAGACAGAGACGAAGATGCATTCAGCGGCTCACAAGACCGCGATATCGAATTCACCAACGCTTCTTTCTCACGTCCTGCGACCGACCACCTCGTTCTTCAAGACCTTACCCTTAAATTCTCAACAGGTCTGAACGTCGTCCGAGGAAAAGTCGGTTCTGGAAAGTCAAGTCTTTTACTCGCTATTCTCAACGAACTTGAACATCGCAGTGGTGTTTTCTCAAGAGCTGATGAACCAATTGCTTATGCACAGCAACTCCCATGGTTACAGAACAAAACTATCAGAGAAAACATTCTTTTCCATGAACCGTTTGAACCGGAGCGGTATAAGGAAGTTCTTAGTGCTTGTGCCCTGTTACCGGATCTTATGACGTTTCCTTTGAGTGACAAGACGAAGCTTGAGGAAGCAGGCATTGGTCTATCAGGTGGTCAAAAAGCGCGTGTTGCGTTAGCACGAGCTGTGTATAGCAAGTGTCGGATTCTTCTTTTGGATGATCCTCTTGCGGCTTTGGATCATGATACGGCTAGTTACATCGTCCAGCACTTCCTTCGGGGACCGCTTGCTCAGGGTCGAAACATCGTGCTTGTCACACATCGAGATGATCTTGTTCTGAAGCACGCCGACCAAGTCGTCGACATAAAAGATGGTTTTGCACACGTTCTTTCACAAGAGCAACTCAAAGAAGAGCTCGAACATCCTCATCATGTCAACTCGACTGCGACCGATGTTAAAGCACACGAAACTTCCCAAGACCATACCTCCGAAGATGCCCCAGGATCAAAAGACGTTCCGGAGCAGGTAACAGAGACAGGAGCTATCCCATTGACAATCTACCAAAAGTATATGAGCGCAGGAGGTTGGCATCTGTGGCTTTCTCTAGCTCTGTTCTATGGTCTTTCTCGATACTGCGATATTGCTCGTGCTCGACTCCTTGAAGCTTGGGGTCATGAATCTGCTGGTCTTGAGGATATTGCTATCAATGGTTATTGGGGTCTTCCTAACCCAAGTCAGCATCCTCGACCTTGGCTATACGTTCTTGCGGGGTTATCTATCGCGCAGGTTGTGGCGTATGCTTCTGCTCAGGTCCTACTGGCTTCTATCAGCATTCGTGCAGCTAAGGTGCTTTTCCGAATTGCCATTGACAGAGTCAGTAAGGCTTCTTTCCGGTATCATGATACCACGCCGACAGGACAGTTGAAGAACCGTCTCATCTCCGACATGGGTATGGTCGACGGTGGCATCCTCGCACCTCTCGAATCCTTCGTATATAACATGATCGCCCTCGCTCTCAGCCTCTTCGCAATCATGACGCACCAAGTCTTCCTAGTCCTCATCGTCTTCGTGGTCGGAATCCTCTTTTCATACTTCTATAGTATATACGTCCCCGCCTCCCGCTGTCTCCGCCGAATGGAAATGCGCTATCTGACTCCTATCATTGCCAACATCGGAGTCATGCAGGACGGTCTCGTTACTATCCGTGCTCTCAAAGTCGAGGAACGCTTCCAGGATAAGCACCTGGAAGCTGTCGATGACTTTCAGAAACATGATCATTTCTTCTGGAGTATGACTTTCTGGCTTGACTTTCGGCTTGGTATGTCTTCTGCCATCATGCGGAGCATTCTTGTTTTGTCGATGGTGTATATGGGTACGCCTGCTAGTGCGGTCGGTTTCGTTCTTACGCAGACGAATATTGCTATGGTTGCTGTTCAGCAACTTTGTGAGAAGTTTGCGGCTCTTCAGTTAGATGCTGTGTCTCTTGAACGAGTTGATGCACTGAATCGCGTACCTGAAGAGCCAAGTGGTGATATCGAGCCTCCACAGGACTGGCCTCGCCCTTGCGATAGCGTGCGCTTCGACTCCATGTCCTTTAGATACGCCGACGATCTTCCCTCGGTGCTGGATGACGTCTCCTTCGAGATCCCTGGTGGTTCAACATGCGCAGTCCTTGGCCGAACAGGATCCGGCAAATCAACTATCGCAAACGCCCTTCTCGCCACTCAAGCACCATCATCGGGGGCAGTAACAATAGGTAGCATCAACCTCGCGCAAGTAGACCGCACAGCACTCCGTCACCGCGTAACATTCATCCAACAAGACCCCATCCTCTTCCCCGGCACCCTCCGCGACAACATCGACCCAGAAACAAAGTTCTCCGATCAAGAATGCACAAACGCCATCCACCGCGTTCTCGGCTCGGACTGGACTCTCGATTCTCGCATCGACGCAGGTGGCAAAAACCTAAGTCAAGGACAACGACAACTCGTAGGTATATGCCGCGCTGTTCTCCGACGCAGTGGTCTCGTTATTCTTGACGAAGCGACAGCGTCGATTGATAGAGGAACCGCAGCAACTGTGCAGAGAATTCTGAGGCAAGAGCTGAGGGAGAGTACGGTGATTACCATTGCGCATCGGTTGGAGGCTGTGCAAGATGCGACGTGGTGTTTGAGGTTGGATAGGGGAAGGGTTATTGAGTGTGGTCCTGCGGAGAATTTGGGGAGGGAGTAGATAGAATATTTATATAGATAGAGATTGGAAAGGGAAAATTTATAGGGATTTGGCTAAAAGGTAAAATAGGTAGTCGGGTATTAATAGCAAGATTGAAGATTACTCAAGGGTCAGGCTGCCAGGTGAAGTTGAATCACACGCTTCCTACGTTGTGACAGCTTTCAACCATGCAGCCAAGCGATTTCGATTCTTATCTGTTGCGGCAGCTGTCATCCTTTTTAGTGAGATCTTGAGAATATCACCATGGTAGTACCCCCTAGCTGTTCAGGCATCACATGTGCGGCCGGCAGTTACACTGACAAGGAGAGGGTGTCCTGAACTTCCCACCCATATCGAAATTGCATCCATCGAAACGTACGGCTTCAGACCTAAGCGATCAGTTCGTCCTAGCGTGCAGGTTAGACTTGGACGATACCTACAAACAAACGTTAGCTGTAATGTTCTGTGCTTAGTAATATAGGCTATAGGTGGTAAGGGGCCTTATGTATTACCTATCTATATCTATTTTTATTCCTTGAACCGGTAAATAGCCAGCAGGCTGTATCCTCATCAATCTCACAGTTGCGCCTGTGGTGATTATGCAGTTATTCCTGGCATTTGGCTTATCCCAGATGCACCATCGGGTCAGGAAAGCCTATGCAGTTTGCCATTCATGTTGTTCACTGGGCACGGAGCGTGGATCATGTGTTTGCGCATGATCACGTCCATTGGGACTATAGTCATCGCCGTTCTGTAGTGGGACTTAATCGTCGTTCTGCTCGGCTTTCATAGCCCGGTAGTGAATTACTGTCGTCGTTACGACCGGTTTTTTGTAAGATGAGACGTCGATAAACGCCCAAGTAACACCGCAAAATGGGTGTGTAAAGATAGTCCCACAAAGTTGTGTGTTACACATCACCATGAGGTGACAGCTTCTGAACTCAGGTTCTGTATGCCCGCCATGGGTTTGGTGGTTACTGTGGTTTCGTATCTACTCCGACACAACGCCGCCCTGTATTTGGAACATCTGGGATAACCCGAATAACAGATATCGGGATAGAGAAGAAGTCCCATTAGGTCGAATCATTACGGCACTAACTACATATATCGATGCCCGCGACACCTCAATGCCCAAATGCATAATTGGTGGTTTACCCCCCCATTAAGAACCAACGAAACAAGTTTTGAAGAGGCCGTTATGTTCAACGTATGGAGGATTGCTTCGCTGTCCCTGCTGGTGCTTGGAGCAAGCTGGAATATCCTTTCGAGAAGTGCACAATCGCCCCATTGCACAGCCCACCTCGGATTGCAACCTCTCTTCTTGATGGCGCAAAAGCCCCGTTTCATCTCCAGGTTAGCTTCAACTGGCTATCTCGCTGGTGGGATATCCCAGCAGACAAAGGATAACAGCAAAGAAAGCTCAACGAGTTCCTTTCTTCATCCCGTGTAAAGCGCCAACCTCGGAAGTTTGGGTACAAGACCATGTTTTTCCGCATACGCAAGGGAAGGACGAATTTCCAACTCAAGGATATCCATACCGCCTGACATCTATCGTATATCTATGCAACGATGGGTGGTTCAACCCTCACCACACAAGTCCGGCATGTCAAGATGGCGGTCGAATCTCTGCTTTCAGGGAAGTGTATGTAGCAATGCTACATACCGATCGCACCGGTAAACCGCACCATCGAGTCCCTGAAAGCACAAGTTTAACGGCAGGCGAGAGCAAGAAGTCTGTGGGACTATAATCACTGTCTCCTCGATTTGGAGTTTCTCACTCACAGGCCCGGTCTTCCCAGACCGTTCCCGGGTTTGCGGTCTCGCGCAGAGTCCCACCGCCTCCGTCTATTCAAAACACCAAAGACAGCGGGTTTCGTAATATACCAAGTATCCTGAGGACGGTCAGCCCATCAGCCAAGAATCCAACAAAAGAATGAAGGACGTGAACGATAACACGGGCTGAAAATGGCATACAGAAGAATCCACGCATAACATCCGAAACACAATGGCACCACTATTAGGCAACTATCCCAACAAGCAGCTGACCGTTTTCAAGTCTTTTGAGCTTTCCTTCTGTCTGTATATTTCATCGACTCAGACCACACTCACCTTGTTTCTGCGCCACACGCCCATTCGACATTTTCGCAATCCCCGACCAGCTATCCAAAGCTCATCAAGATACCATTTTGTCAGAAGCTGATGTATTCCCGGACTTCACATAGTAAAGGCGATCACACTCAAGTCAGGTAGCTAACACAAATAGCAAACGGACTCAACTGAAAGCAATCGCTGGCCCCTGTCGTTACTAATTTTCACTGGGCGTTCCTGAATTTGAGAGTTTGGGGGTTACGAGACGAGCCGCAATTTGATGTCCCGGCTCTATGCGACTTACAAGCCTTCGCGTTATGCGGACCAATCAGCTGGTTCGGATTTCAAGCGCCTCGCTTCGGCGTGTAATTTGACAAGCAGACACTTCCCTTCATGAAGCCATGTTGGTAAGGTACTCACATACTCAGTGACCATGACAACCTCATAATGTGAGAACATAGTCAGAAACACAGGTCATCAGTTAAAGAGTCATTGTCCGTAGCGACAGCGGATAGTTCCCTCAACTCTTCGGCTACAATTCAACGGGCGCGGCTCCGCGTTGTTAGTGGGGACATACAAGTCCGGCGGGAAATGTAGCGGATGGTAAATTAATTGTTACCCAGTTCCGAATCTCCGACGCTCCGAGCTTTCTGTTCCGAGTTGGGGTAGTAAAAGGAGACGGGATTGAACGGAAGATATAGGAAAAGAAGCCGTGATTGTAATGCTGGGAAAGTAATGTTCCGCGGCTTAGGATATTTGTTTGGGCGGTTGATGTTTTAAACGGCTTATATCGTCTTAAAGTCGGTTGCGGTTTGGAGATGAGGATACTGAGGTTGACACTACCCGAATCTCAATCCAGAGGATGGATATCTCTAAGGCATAACCAGTAGCATTCGACAATGTCTAAAGTTGAAATAGTGACAGTACAATATCGAAATAATTGAGAATTCTAACAGTCTTGCTGACTCAATAGCAGACCTCGGCAAAGCTCGGTCATACGCTTGCCCTTTTCATGATGGTTTGGAGAGGGTGTGGATTTAATTTGCTGGTGGGTTGAATGCATAACTTGACTGTGGGGGAAAGATGTTGATTGGTTGTTATTTGGAGGTGTCTTGTTTTCAAAATACGAATATTCCCAGGTGAATTGTACGATTGAGGATGGCCTCTGTTGTTCTCAGAGATGTAAACTGAGCGAATACAAGATGTCCTTTAACTGCACTATATATACCACTCACACAGCTAACTCTCTATCATAATATCATGCCTAAGCCAAGCCATCATGACACCCAGCTTTGGGAGTACCTTAGCTACGGGACCCCGCAATATCACAAGCTCGGCTACCCGTCGGCAAAGTACCGACGTCACCTTTTACTCTCTCGGTATGTATCATCTCATACACCGAGCAATAAAGATTTCTACACCTAGACTGAGTCATCTGCTCGTGATCACCAAACATCAATTCTTTTTCCATGTGTTCGGCCACATGGATGGTGGTTCCCTACCCCGGTCCTCCGCCTGCCCGGACCAGTAGTGGGGCCCAAGTAAAAGGGTTTGTTGCCGACGTCAGAGTTATGAAGATCTATAGACATTATTGAGTTTGGGTTTAGATCAGCTTGCATGTGAGAGAGTGAGCAATTGGAGGTCATACTGCACAGCTTGGGGCAAAGGATGTACTTGAAGCTGTACTAGACAAAGCCAGTAACTACTATAGAGGTGTATTCAAGTCCTCGGTCTTCCATTTACCCCCAATCCAATGGATCCCAAAACTCCAACTCACTTTTCCCCGTAATTGACCAAAATGTGGGGTATCCTTTCTCCAGTCCAGGTGTGTAAATAAGAAGAGCTAAGGCTCGGTCCATGACCGACAAGGATCCTTTTCATGTGCGCCTTCTTTTAAATTGTTCCTCTTCTCCCTCTTCCCATCTTGGTCCTATTAGTCTTTTCGGTTTCTTTCTTCTCTTAGTTCTGGTCTCTTCCTGTATCTTGGTGTCGCTTAACTCAACTTTCTCTCGATCCACATCCTCGGTTCTGAAACGACTCGGCGCAAACTCTCGGACTTGCGAATAACCCACGCGACTTGATCTCAGTATACATATTATCTCGGCGCAAGATCACAAACGATCAGTAGCTGTCGCAATGGCTTCAAAGAACGGCAATGGCAACGGCAAGAAGGCGCCGCCTTCAGCGGCTGTTAACTTGATTGGTATGTTGAAAATCCAATTCCACAGCCTCGTGTTTGAGGAAACGGTTATTGAAAGCAAGAATTGAACAACAAAGCTAACGTTTCTCACAGCCGGTGGTGGTGCTGGTATGATGGAAGCTCTCGCGTGCCATCCCCTCGGTAAGCTCCCCAATGCGCCAACTGCCCAACCAGCGCAAACCTTCTCCCAAAGAGGACCAGAAAGCTAACATGTGAAAAAAAAGACACAATCAAAGTCCGCATGCAACTCTCAAGACGCGCCCGCCAACCCGGCGCCCCCAAGCGCGGCTTCCTAAAAACAGGCGCCGCCATCGTCGCAAAAGAGACGCCCCTAGGTCTATACAAGGGTCTCGGCGCCGTCTTCACAGGCATCGTCCCCAAAATGGCCATCCGCTTCACCTCCTTTGAGAAATACAAGCAGTTCCTCGCCGACGAAACAGGTGCTGTCTCTGGCAAGAGCGTCTTCATCGCTGGTTTGGCTGCCGGTATCACAGAAGCTGTCTGCGTCGTGACGCCCATGGAGGTTATCAAGATTCGTCTCCAGGCGCAGCATCACTCCATGGCGGATCCGCTGGACGTTCCCAAGTACCGCAATGCTGCGCATGCGCTGTATACTGTTGTTAAGGAGGAGGGATTTAGTGCGTTGTATCGTGGTGTGAGTTTGACGGCGTTGAGGCAGGGTTCGAACCAGGCTGTCAATTTCACGGCGTACAGCTACTTTAAGGATTGGTTGAAGCAGTTGCAGCCGCAGTACGAGAACACCAACTTGCCCAACTACCAGACTACTCTGTGTGGTCTTGTTTCTGGAGCTATGGGACCCTTGAGTAATGCGCCTATTGATACTATCAAGACGCGTCTGCAACGAGGTGGTGCTGAGCCTGGAACTAGTGCTTGGACTCGTATTACTCGAATTGCTGCCGATATGTTCAAGTGAGTCACACAACAGACTGCAATCTTCGCTTATACTGACTATTCCTAGGCAAGAAGGATTCCATGCTTTCTACAAGGGTATCACACCCCGAATCATGCGTGTCGCTCCTGGTCAGGCTGTCACCTTTACTGTCTACGAGTTCCTGAAGGATAAGATGGAGAGGAGTAACCTGTCTCTCGTTGGAGGCAAGTACGAGGAATAAGACACTGAAAATCACGTATATAAGACCGGAAGGGAACTGTATATGAGGAGAAAGGAAGGACTAAAAGTATAGAGGAAGATATACCATGCATAGGAAGGGGGCTGTTTGGGTTCTTACTGCGCGCATGCATTCTTGGATAAATACCAGCATTTGTAGTTTGGACAATTGACTTTTTTGCGTATCATTCAACAGTCATAAGTATATATATACCATGATATACTAAAGAGAAGGAAGAGCAACCATCATAACATTCTGATCTATCGACCAGGTCGCTTAGGACGGCTAAAACCCTGTCGGGCCGCAGCCTTGGGATGCAAATCCTCCAGAACCGACTGCTCGGTAATCTCACTAGGGTCCTCCACCTCAAACTTCTTCTCAAGCTTAAGTCCCGCCTGGCTCTCCGCAACCTCAAGCACGGAACGCTTCATCAAGGGATACATCATGCGGAACTTGATGGACTTGTTTCCGGGCGTCGCCGGGCAGGTGTAGAAGAAGAGCACGGGACTCGACTCGGCACCGTCGTGCGTGTGAGTGTAACGGTAGAAGGTGAACCGCGGCTCGGTAGATGAGATGGCCTTTGTCAGGTCTGTGATGCCGCTGGGCGTGGGTGCCTCGGGAACGAGCTCCACTGTCTCGGTGCTGGGGTTGATTTTCTGGGTCGCGGCGGTCAGTTTCCGGCGGGGAGTTTTGGAGACTTTAAGTACTTACCAGCATTGTCACAGTTCGACCGCCGTCCTGGCCAATTTCCTTCAGAGCAGCAATGGCATCTTCGGAGACGGGCATGGCAAAGTTCTTGCTCAGATGAATCTCCTTCTTATTCGTTCCTGAACCAGCCTCTTGCTCAGCACGCTTGACCTCGCCCAATTGCTGCTCCTCCTCGGTGAGAGGGGCAGCCATCTTATTATGCGCATCATGCTTCTCGAAGCCCTTGGCGCTCAGCTCCTCGGGTGTCGTAACGAAGATGGTCTCTCGGAAATGTTCTGTACCCAACTCACGAACAAAGGTCAAGCGAGTTGAAGCAAACAACATCTTTTGGCGGACCTTCGCCGAGTCGGGGACGTAGGTGATGGCTATGAATCGAGGAGCATCTTCGTGACGACGAAGAATAATGTAGAGGGCGGTATCGGTCTTAAGGTGAGGCTCGAGGCCGGAAAGGTTATCAGAAAAAGAGCTCGACTTGGAAGGGATCGTGGTGATGGGGACCATGGACTCCTTCTCGATGGTTGCGAGGAGTCCAAAGGTGTCGTTCGACAGCAACGAGTTGAACTCGTTCTGGAGCTCCTGAGAAGCTGCAAGAGTTAGTTCTGGCTCCTATACAGAGCCATCATCTCCCATACCTGATATTCCCGACTGCATTTTGTCTATAAAATTTGAAATGTAGGTGTAGGTGGGATGTCTGTCGAGCTGCTCCGTTGCGTTGTCAAGTACCCCGCCACTTCCCCTGGTGTTGGACGCTTGGAGCTCCAGTGGGGTCGTCGCCAGCTCATGCCATGAAAGCTTTACGTCAGATCCATACAGCTTTGCCTACCCTATGCTTCAACCGAATTAATCTAGTTTCAGAACTCACGACGGACAATAATCAGAAAATGAAGTATAATACAGTTTCAAATGATTTGAGACGTTCATTCTATTGATATTACGTCTATAGCTGTCATCTGCACAGATTGTGTCTTATCTGAAAGCCCATGATGAGAAGACAACGCCCGACGCCCTTGTCAACATGCTCGATAGTTTGAGAAATGTGACTGCCATCACTTCTAATTCCTTTCTGTTAAAATGTCATAATAACCCGACGACCATAGCATCCCAATACATTGACTTCCCACCCCTAAGAACCTTTCACTACCATCTCACCATTCCAAAAAGCATGTCGAGCGCTGTCATTGTCCTTCACTCTCAAACGAGTACTGCGGCGATGAGTAGCAGTTCAGTCAATGTGACTAACAACTTGATTTCGAAGTGATTTGCCTCTGACATAGGCACTTCTGTGACAGCTGAAGAGGTGGTAGGCAAAGGGTCCGAATCTGTGAATAGGGTCTCACCAGCGAGAGAGGATTCGGATGCAGACGTGGAAACAACTCCGGTACCCTCCGAAACTGAGACTGGATCTACCACTGGGGTTCCTGGGGTTGATGGAGGTTCATCATCCGGCCAAGTGAGACTGGGTTGAACGTGAACGGTGGACGTGATAGTCGCCATAACCCGGCCTACAGAAGTAGTGGGTGGATCGACGGGAACAAAGCCAGATGAAGGAAGAAGGCTTCCACCCTGAGGGGGTCCTTGGGCAGTAGCTGATGATGAAGGAACTGGAACCTGTCCTGGTGGGAGTGTTGGTACTACTGATGAGGAGGAGGTTTGCCATGGAAGTGCAGCTGAAGCAAATGACTCCACCACAGTAGAGACGGGAACGAGGACTGTTGATGGTTCAAGCTGGTTCCTCTGATTTCCCGGCTCGATTTGAGACCCGGCAGGCTGGACGATTGCAGGCTGGATGACAAAGAGGTTCGAGATACCGGTATCACCGTCCTCAGGGCAGCCGCCTCCACACGTGGGAGAGTTGGGAGATTCGTTGCATGGGTTGTTACAGAAGCCTTCATGGATAGCCTTGATGGCGTTGGGATTGTCTCCGCAGCGGCAGGCACTGGATCTGTTAGCGAGTGGTCGAGGAAGGGACTTTGTCGAGACTTACCCAGGGGATACAGCAGCGAACATGTGGTAGGCACAAGCAGCTTTGCACATCTCGGGAGTCAAGACACCATTGGGAAGGGGAACCGGGTTGCTGAAACCAGCAGCGTCAACAGTGGCACATCCCCAGTACTTGAAGCGTTGAGGAGTCGGCTGATAGGATCCGTCGGACCCAGCCTGGCAAAGGGCGATCGTGAAGCCAAGGATGGCGATGAAGACACGGGAGAACATGATGAACTGTGGTGAGAATGAAAGGACTGTAAGCGAATGAAAAGAGTGACTGGTCAGATTGGCGATGGGGATGAGATTGAAAAGTTCTGATGCAGAAGATGATGAGGGGAGAAGCAAAGAGTGAAGAGAATGGATGGAGGGAAGGCGATCAGGCAGCTCGTGGTGGGTGACGAATCTCATGGTCGACGGGAAGGCACGTTTCTCGTAGCCACGAGGCAGGCGCTTGCCGCATCTTCAACGAGCATGACGCGAGATGATCAGATACGATGAAGTCGCCCAAATCGGGCAGCCGTTCCTTCCCATAAGATGGCGGATTGGATGCCTGCCTCACAAGGCACAACGAACCACATCGAAGACCAGGTCAAGTGGCCGCACTGCAATGGAAGCCTTGTAGCGCAAGCCATTTGAGGTAGCATGGATATTGGGAGCTGCTCTCAATCGAATGTGGACGTGTTCAACTAAACTGAATTAAACAAAGAGTGAGAGTATCTACTCTGGGTATCTCACTGCAGACCTACTTTAAGCCCAACTCCCAAACGCCTCTCAGAACCAGTCATCGCTTTACCACCAGCGAGCCCTTCACCGCTCGAACCCCCCAGTATTATCGCCCGTGAAACCATCCTCCTAGTCAAATGTCGCCGAGCTCGCTGGTGACATCTCTTCCCCTCCGCCTTGTTTCTCCTAGTTACCAGTCGCAGGAGGTTGTTCAGATGGCTGTGGCGCCGTCGCAGGTCCCGCTGCTGATGAAGAGGCTTGAGGTTCATAGGTTCCCCCATTGCGCTCAGCAAGCTCCTTCATGGTCTTCATGTCAAAGTTGTCCAACAGACGCGCTACCTCGTTCACGTCGCGGTCAATCTGCACTTCCTTCTCTTGGCGATGAGCGTCGGCTCGATCGAGTGGTCCAAATACCCATAGTTCCTTGATTGTGCGCGATAGAGCGAGAAGCTCTTTAATATTGTCGTACTGTGCCGTGTCAGTTTGCGACGGTTGGCGATGCTTGTCAACTTACCAACTGATCGAACTTTCTTTGTGTCCTTATTTCAGCAGCTGCCATTGTTTCAGGGTCTCTGAAGTTGAGCTTGTTCTGTTGAGCTTCATAGTCTTTTGGGTTAGACTTGTCCATGCCTTGGACTGTGGCGCAGTTCATCAAGTCACGATAGCTTCTAAGGATCTCAAAGATGAGCTTGTTGTGCTTGTCTAGAGGATGTTAGCATACTGAAAGTCAATTCGAGAGTAGGTGTTTTCAATTTACCCAGCAAGTTGGCAGAAGCTGTAGAATCCATATTTAATGACTGCCGTTGTGCGTACAATAATAACAGCGTATATGTAGTGGATATCTGTGATGTGCTGAGCTCAAATGATGATTGAGATGAGTTGTAGGTAAACTTCAAACTGAGGCTTGAATGGAAACAGGTGGGGGTGGGGCCTTATTTCCGAGTGGGGGACCGAAAATCAAGGCGATAGTTTCAGGAACTTGATGATAAGAATATGTTGGAATGTGATTACTTGGCTTCGCCCTTTTCGTCTGTCCTTGACTTCATTTCTAATGCAATACCTTTCATAGTATACTGAGCTTTTAAAATTATCTCATGATAATGTTACAGACCTCTACCCAGCGCAGACATTGCAGATTGCCAAACCCAATACCAGACGCCCATCCCGTTATAATTCCAGAAACCCAGAGACAAGGGACGATCTTGAGAATCTCCCTTCAAGACGTAACCCATAATGGTCTACAATTAATCGTGCAGCGCAGAGTTTCGCAACGAAACTTCTTCGATCGTAAATACTTCAAAAAGAACGACGCGAATCCATCGTGATTGTTTTCCTATTCCTTAAGGTTGACCCTGCCAGCCGCGGTTCTCTCCCTTCCAACCAATCTGGGGCCAACCCTTGGGAAGGGTTGAGAAGGGAGGGAGTGTGTATTGGCTTTCGCATTTGTCGGCCTCGCACTGCATATCGCACATGCCATAGTTCTGGCAGTAACACTCGGCGGCATTCGGGCAATGAACTGGGTCCTTGCCAAAGATAACTAAATGAAGAATCAGTATCATGATAAATCGTAGCGGGTGGGTAGAACGTACTGTGCCAAGAGTATTCAAGGACTCTACCGCTGAGGTCATCGCCAAGAGCAGATACTATCAACCACTCGCGGAATCGCACATACTCGGCGCGGGGACGCTGGCGGATGGTCTCGCGACGGACAGCAAATTGGGAGCAGCATGTAACACCGACTTCTTCGGGCATCTCGAGACTAGGGAAAAGTTCCTGGAAAGCGGCCTTGTAGACGTGGCGGGCGTGAACGGGCTCGCCCTCCTTGGCAGGGGCTTCATCCTTGATGGGTCTGATCTCAGCAGGGCAACCGAGAACCCAGACACATCGCAAGTTGGCGTAGCCGACCTTCTTGAGGTTGTCGAAGCGGAAGTTCTGGAGGAGAGGAAGAGCATCGTAGTCGGGGTTGTCGTTGTGCCACTGGAAGCGCTCGGCGTGGTGGAAGACGACGTTCCCGGGCAGGGAGTCGTATCGGTCAATGATGTAGCTGCAGCGCATTAGCGAAAGAGATGGAATCAGTCTTTGAAGAAACGTACGTCAGAAAGACCATGGCCTCGCGACCCTTATTCATGGGCACAGTCAGCTTAGCCTTGTTGTCGTCGACAACGTAAATGTTCTTCTTCCATTCAGGAAGGTATTCGTCGAGCCACGACACATTCTCGTGCTTCATGCTAGCCACCACCATCTCGACGGCATTATCGTCGAGATTTAGTGTCGGATAGTCATTTCTGTGTTTGCGCGCCGGTGTATTTGATCCCAGAAGAATGTCGCGATAGTAGAAGACGAAGATGACGAAGAGGACAAGGCCGATGATGGGGGCTCGATTCGAGCGCTGGCGAGGGGCCCAGTGACCAGCCATGGCGGTCAAAATATCGGATCGAAGTAGGACAATTCGGGGGCAATGGAATCGGTTGGCGGCGAAAGAGGACAAAAGAAAGTCGTCAAAGTCCTGATGTTGGAGTTGAAGCAAGGATTGATGATACTCGTAACAGTTGGGTTTCGCTCATAGGGGGTCCTGGATCATCCCTTGAAGTGACAGCAGACAGCTGGAGCTCGCCCTTGAATGGGGGCCTGACTAGACCCTTCAACGCCGCAGTGGCTAAGCTTGGCCGGATATGGATCCAAGGACCCCTGTCTTAGTGCGATTTTCTGAGCCGCTGACTTCAAGACTGGTGATCAGGAACGTTTTCTTAATTTTATTGTTGTAGTTATTTACATCATTGAGCCTAACTGGAATGAAGTAAGAGTTTATCAATAGGATTAAGATTTATTTTGACCTTGGACGGAAGACATCAAACGTTGAAACCCTCATGTGACGCACGATACTCGACTCGCCAAGCTGGTGACACGTGCTTACGCCGTACAGAACCTCGATTCCAATCAACAGACATCCATTCGTAGAAACTCGATTGTAAAATATTCAACGTCCTTGAATTGCTCTAGGTCTTTGTTCTTTGTATCTTCTTCAATCTGCATTCAATATACTACAAAACCAGAACACATATGGTCTTATCATCCACTGTCAATTCCACAACCCAGTCAGTCCAGCCGCTTTACTCTCTCTGTCTTAGTCCTGCCCTTCCCCAGACCTGAGATCGTCCGTGATCAACAGAGATCTTCTAATTGAGGCATTGAAGTTCCAGATTTGACGAAACATGTCACATTTGAGCCCCATCAGAGCTTGATAAGAAGCATGCACATGGGATGGCGCCAGAAACCTTCGTCTCTGTGTTAGTTAGCCGTACATCAGGGTATGCAAAACTTAACCACCAAGGACAATAGAGATAAAATAATGTCGTTATATTAGGACTTGGGCCGTTTATTCGGCCGTCCAGTTCTATCGCCTTTAAATGATATCAAGCTAACCATATGGTAGACGGAGAGTCTTAAGAATATGTCTCTTGGATTGATCTCAAGCTCGAGGACGTGGCGACCCCAAACCAGAGACATTGCTTTTACTTGGCAGGTGAAAAGAGCATTTATATCGACATTCTATTCTTGCAGGATATGATCGGGACATCGCTCAAGCTGCTCGATGATGCCACCAGGTAGCTCCTAGCCAACCAAGTTGTATGAAGTAACCAGCTCGTCATGATGGAAATCGCCAAACTCTTTCACAATCGAACCGCTGCTTGTGCGGCATCTCTTCGATACCAGCCGTCCCGTACTTGAAGCTTGTGGCAGTTAACTTTAAAGCTCTTACACCTTGAAGTTACCGACTACTGGCTCGTTGCGAACGGTGACAAGGAAAGGTAATGTGATAATGGGACAATATGTATTGTCTCCTAACGGGTCACTGTCCATTCGTTCACACTCTAAGCCCAAAGGGCTTCTACTGAGGATGCACGAACTGTTCAATGCACTGCTCACTCTCCCGCACCACGGCAGTCGCCTTCATCCGCTTGTTTACTTTCCATGCGAATCTTCAAGACCATTGGCCAAGGAGCTGTTGTTCTGGTAGAAGGCATAAATGCCAAAGCTCAAGACAAGGTCAACAATACACTAAATCAGACGAGATTACACACGGCTCAAGTGCTGGTTAAGTCATCTGCCACGGATACGGGTAATCAAGTTTACGAGGTATTTGCTTTGACAGCAAAACGTCATATGCTGATCTCAGCGCATGGTCTTCAGGAAGATAGATGATAGGGGCTTGAGGAAGTCACTCTAAGCTCTCTGGCCAGACGGATATTGAAGGCGACGGCAGTTGACAGTGATCGAACTGTAAGGAGTAGGTATGAGACTCTGCCGGTGAAGTCACATGCGCAGCAGCCAGTGCTGTTGTCAAGAAGGAGGAAATAACTCTCGTATTACAGGGAGTCTGCCGATTTGTTATTGACCATCTAATTTCCTACAAATCAGAGGTTGGCTGGACTCCTGTCTCAGTTAGTGCTTATTGCAAACTTGTCCCTTTCGAGAGGATATAATTCTCCGCGCCCTTACTAGAC